GGTCTAACAAGGACTGTGGTCCAGGACACTTGAACTGAAATTATTTGAATAAATCTTTTTGGATTGTATGGCACTAATGTAACTGAGTGAACATTTATCATTCAGCCAACTTCAGCTCCGTCAGACATAAACCAATATAGATAAACCTTATTTTCAAACCTTTTAAAGCCTGAATCCAATTACTCCATGTCATCGATCTTTGAACTGAACTAAAATGTCCGTCTTTCTAAAAAGTTCCTGGACTCTCTCTGCAGAAAATCACTACAGTTTGACACTTTTTTTTCAAAATGAATGAAATATTTATTCATCAACTCAAATAAGACATTTTTATAAAAACGGGCGACATCTGCTGATAAGAAACAGAACATTATGAGGAAAGTGCTTCATCTTTAAAAAATTAAAATTCACAAAAACATTCCACTTCAAAGGGTCTGTCACCTCTTCCTGTTGTGACATCATCGAGTGACACAGACTCGATGATGACATACAAATATAGTTCATTATATTAACCTTTTACTCACAAAGAAAAGTCAATGGAAGCCCCAAAGGATCGTGATGATTGCTTCAGTGAAAGGTATAATACACTTTTTGATTTTAAAACTGCCATTCTCCTGGTCCACCACTAGAGGGCAGCAGAAGACCATGCGCTTCAGTTTACTTAGAGCTGCAGTTGTGTTTTAAAAATGGGAATAAAGCTCAAATAGGAATCTTAATTATTGTTCTCATGCATAAAACTCATTTACTGCATAAACTGTATTTAAAAAACTAATAATGCATAATTTTCTGTGATTATTATATTAATGCCTTTTTTACGCATCATTTCTTTGTTCTTTCTTCTTGAGCCATTGGAGTTGCCTGTGTATGAACTGTGCGATACAAATAAACCAGCTCTGCCTTAATGTAAAACCTGAGGCACCTAACTGTGTTTCATGAATAATAAATGTTCTTTGTTCTGACAGAAAATCTCATTCAAGTCAAATGTGAAGAACAAGTTTGTGAGAAAGAGTCACTGTTGGACTTTGGTTTCTCTTTTTACACTCGTTTTGTTTTCTTTGTTTAGACGGACGTGTTTCTGCTGCTTTTCGACACCTGCGTTTCTCCATCAGGGATTAAAAAAGTGTCCATCTACCTATCCATCCACCTATCAATCCATCCATCTACCTATCCATCCATCCATCTACCTATCCATCCATCCATCCATCCATCCATCCATCTACCTATCCATCCATCCATCCATCTACCTATCCATCCATCCATCTACCTATCCATCCATCCATCCATCTACCTATCCATCCATCCATCCATCCATCCATCCATCCACCTATCAATCCATCCATCTACCTATCCATCCATCCATCCATCCATCCATCCATCCATCCATCCATCCATCCATCCATCTACCCATCCATCCATCCATCCACCTATCAATCCATCCATCCATCCACCTATCCATCCATCTACCTATCCATCCATCCATCCATCCATCCATCCATCCACCTATCAATCCATCCATCTACCTATCCATCCATCCATCCATCCATCCATCCATCCATCCATCTACCCATCCATCCATCCATCCACCTATCAATCCATCCATCCATCTACCTATCCCTCCATCCATCCACCCATCCATCCATCTACCCATCCATCCATCCATCCACCTATCAATCCATCCATCCATCTACCTATCCATCCATCCACCTATCCATCCATCCACCTATCCATCCATCCATCCATCCATCCACCTATCCATCCATCCATCCATCCACCTATCAATCCATCTACCTATCCATCCATCTATCCATCTACCTATCCATACATCCATTCATCCATCTACCCATCTACTGTATCTATCTTTTTATCTCTATCCATCTTGTCCATCACATCTCAGTTTTGTCAGATGCGTTCCTGCAAAAACTCGGGATAAAATCTTTCTTTGTTTCTATGACACTGTTCGATTGTTGTGGTGAAAGTTAGGTACCCCAGCTTTAACCTTTACTTTACCTTTTTACTTTTAAAAGCTGGATTTTTATTACAGAACGATTTCAAGTTTTGTTGCACGACAGAGTTTTGGCACAAGCTACACTGCTTTTATATAGAAAGCTGCATTTATTGGTCCTAATATTTTCTCAATTAAGTAACATAATAACAGTTACATATAATTTTCTTGATGTTTTGACTGAGCAGAGTTGCAGAAACACTGTCAAACATAAAAAAAAACTAAACTTTATAAATTTGATGAATGGCTAATGTTATTTGGTTCTTCTACACCAGTAAGCTAGCGATGACATTAGCCCGACATGCTTCAAGGTATGACGTTGCTAACTTACTATTGTCTAGAAGTGCGTGACCTAGAAATGTCTATAGAAGAACCAAAACACCTTATTCTACTCAGAAAATCAGTACCAGACTAAACAAAACAAAAAATCTTTCATGTATGAGAGCTTCATTCACCGTTTAAAAACACTAGTAATATGAACAGTTTTCAAAAAGATGGAAAAAATGGCAACGCAAAATCCTCTGCATATTTGTCCTAACAGGGCTCCCGTAGATACAGACATGGCACCGATGTTTGAGGCCAACATAATCGATGATTTTTGTTAGTATGTAATAAACTCTCTTAAGTCGGTAACAGGCTCCGCCCACATTTTTTTTACATTAACAAATAGACTGGAGCCACGCCCTCTTTAAACTTTTTTTTCTTTACAGCGAAACAAAATAAATTAAAAGTGTTTGATTTCCGTTTTGTACATACTTACACGGTAAAGGCTGTGACGGACCTCCACGACAGGACGCTTATTCCAGATGTAAAAAAAGACAAAGGAAAACTCTCGTACCTCCCCCCAGAGTTGTATCAAAAGATATTTGATATAAAAAACATACAATCTTTACGCTTTGTTTCCCCCCGTAAAATCGTAAAAATACAAAAACTTGGAACGGAAAAAATATGGAGATATGACACGCGTTTAAAAGTACGACATTTTTGCTACGATTGTCCGTCGAATAGTCTGCAGGAGCGGTTGTAGTTCTGAGCCTGAGAGACAAAACTCAGGGATTAAACTTTTCAACGATTGGGAAAAAAGGCTAAAAATCTCCTTATGTCGTGATGCTTCGAAGTCGTGTTGTTTTGACTTTACCAAAGCTTTTCTGTATTTTATAACTATCATTCAAACCCACATTCCTTCCACATCATACAAAAAAAACATTACTTTTCCCGATCTTTTCAACATCGTCCGTTTTGAGGCTGCAGTAAATCCACAGTTCAAAAATTGTCCTCGCAAAACTGCAGACGTTGGGAAATGTTTCTCGTAGCGATTTGCAGTCAGTATTTTTTTGTTGTTGAAGCAATGGAGAATCCAAGGAGGAATGGGCCAAAATACCAGCGTCCTTTTACATCCATTGGTGCTTCCTGCGGTTTTACTGAGCTCTGGTTCAGGAGCGAAGAGTCAACGTCCCTGGACTGTTTCAAAGCCGATGATTGGACTGAAAACCTGCATCCCCGATCTCAACTTGTCAACAAAAATTTTCAAAATGCACGTAGAGGTTGGGAGATCATTATAAACTAGATCTAAAGTCTAGACTGTAGTTTTTAAATGATGCACCAAAAAAAAAAAATTCTGACTATAGAAACGAGACCAGATCTTGCGCTGGAAAAGGATTTTTTTGTGTGCAGATTTTTTGAGAATTCTTTGCCAAAATATTAGTTTAAAGAAGAAATAGTATGAATTATTTTGACCTAATAACAACAATCATGAGACAATGTACTTTGTCAGTTCATGTTTTGTGAAACAATAAGATAGAAAATATATGATGAAGTAAGTATTTAAGGTAAAGAAAAAATGCTATTGGCCTGCTGTGTCCCTGTGCTACCACCAGAGGGAGGTGTTGAAATAGTTTTTTTTTTCCTCTCCAAATTTTAAGGTTGCCAACATCATTTCAACTGAGGAATTACCAAAACTAATACATGGGAAATACTTTTGTTTGAAATACTTTTGTGTGACGTCATAGTGGGACAGTGAGTGAGACAGAGGGGGCGGAGCTACAAGTTTGTGAAAGAAGTTCCTGTTGTTAGTGTGGATGGATCTCAAAAAGACTCCAGATCTGTTTTTGATGAAAGAAAAAAGCTCAAAGCATGTTAATTTAAATGACTAGACTGAGATATATATTTTGAGCACAATTATAACGATATAGGATAAAGTCACTTGTATATTATTACTTATTTCTTAACTATAGATTTATTGATCATTTATCTTGTGCTGTTGTGCTCCTCATTCCTGATGTTCTCTAACTGGTAAGACAACACTGAAGTTTCCCCACAGTGGGACGAACAAAGAATTTCTCAATCTTAATCTACACTGCAAAAAATGATATAATATGGTGTTTTTCGAGTGGTTTTTATCTTGGTTTTATTTCAAGAACTGTTGCTTTATTTTTCAAATAAGATCATTTTGTTTTGTCCCGATGGAAAATCTTGTTTTGAGGCTCAGTCAGAATGTGCTCGAATTAAGATACATTTTTGCCCCATTTTCTGGCTTTTAACAGTGCGTGAGTTGTATGGACCTTTTTTTTCTATTTTATTGTTATTTTTATATTCATAAATAGATGCACATAGTGTTTTTCCCATTTGATTTTTGATGATGTTACTATTTTCCTATGGATTTGTTTGAATTAGTATTTCATTGTGCAGCACTTTGGAAACTGTGTTTATGAAATGTGCTCTATAAATAAAGTGGATTGGATTGAAATTTGAGCCAATTTTTCGTCACTTTTTTCCGTGTTTGTGTCCAACGTTTTATTGTAAACGGCAAAATCTCGTCTCGTCTCGTTCCATATATTTCTCCTGATATTTTCCTCAGTCTCGTCTGATCCCTGTGATCCCCGGTCCGGTCCCTACATCTCCGGTCCCTGTAGTCCCAGCCCCTGCAGTCCCAGCCCCTGCAGTCCCAGCCCCTGCAGTCCCAGCCCCTGCAGTCCCAGCCCCTGCAGTCCCGGTCTCTGAGTTACATGTTGTAGGCCACGTAGATGGGGTCCAGCTGGTCGGCCAGGAACCCGTCTCGCAGGTGCATCCGCTGCTTCTCGCCGCGGGAGTTGATGGGGATGACGCCGATGTCCACCACCACCACCACGCCCACGATCAGGTAGTGCTCCTCCAGAACCACGTTGGTAACCATGGGAACCAGGTCTAGGGCCTCGTGCTCGGACCCGTCCAGCTCCACCACCACCACCAGCAGGTTCGTCCACGTGAACACCGCACTTTTGGGGAAAAAAATAAAAAAACACAAAACCAGATAAAGTCTTACTGTTTTGAATATGAGCCCTTTACACTGCAAAAAGTGTTATTATTATTATAAGGTAATACATGTTTGAATCAAGTCTTAATTTGAGTATATTTTGACTTTCTTAAAACCAGATTTGCCCATGGAACAAGCCATTTGGGTCATATTTCAAGCGCTGTAGCAATTTTTGTCAAATTCCAAGGAAGAGATTCCTTGGATTATCTTGTACCTTTAAAGACAAGAGATTTTTGTCTTGTTCCATTTTAGACAATTTAGTCAAAATGTGCTTAAATTAAGATAAAACGACTTTATTCGAGCATTATTTCAAGAACACTACTCAATACAATACTCAAATGAAGATACATTTCGGCAAATTTGAGACATTTCTTACACATTTTTCCTCATTTTTGCAGTGTAAATATTGTACTTTTGAACTTTTCTGTAACAAGTCAATTCAATTCAGTCGTTTTATGCTTTATAAATGGAGACTTAAGACAGATGGACGCAATGCTGCCCTCTGGTGGACGATAATATACCACTACTAATAATAAACTGCTCCAACCTGCTCTAAAAACCACTTGTGAGCGTAAATAACTAAAAATAAACAACGTTATAACATCAGACTCAGACCCGGACCCGGACCCGGACTCGGACCACGTCCCAGAGAGGGGCTCGTACCACTCTGTGATGCTTTTGTGCGTCCGGATGACTGAAGTCTCGATGTCGATGGGGTGGTACCGCATCCCCCTCAGCTCCATGGCCTCCTCCAGAGCCCCCACCACGTACAGCGCATCGTGACGTTCTACAGAGACACACAATGACACACACACACACCCTTGGATTCTCAACATCTAATAATCTCAGTTTGTTTAATAATAATAATGCATCGGTTTTACAAAGCGCTTTTTTGGACACTCAAAGACGCTTCACATGTCATTATTCATTCACAACACGGTGGTGATAAACTACTACTGTAGCCACAGCTGCCCTGGGGCACACTGACAGAAGCAAGGCAACCAGTATCGGCCTCGCTGACCACCACCAACCATTCACACACAAGACGTGTGTGTGTGTGTGTGTGTGTGTGTGTGTTGTATGAGTTAGTGAGGCTGGAACCAAATCAGCGTGATAATACATCATTAAATAATAATACATAAATAAGTACATAAACTACTATTATATGCAGATATGTATTTTATCATGTTTTAGAGCAGTGGTCCACTTGGTCCTATTGTTTTTGATTTTTTATTTTCATGTGGAACAATGTGACTAAATGAACTAAAAAAAAGTGTTTTTTTTTTTATCTTGTAACTCGACGCCCCCTGCTGGTCGTACCTCCATTGGCGTCTGTGAGCTCGGTGCGCCGCAGGAAACCCAGGTACCCGGTGCGCGCCCACAGCGTCTGCGTGTCTCCGAAGCTGAGTCTGGAGCAGAAGTGGTCGGACTGCAGCGCCTCGTCCCCGTACACCGTGAAGTACCCGCTGGCATTGTGCCCGCTGTGGACCCAGATCTGAGGACCACAGGGACCAGACCACAGGGACCAGACCACAGGGACCAATGAGGGGTTAGAATATGCACACAGCTATGTTCATGTAAGTAAGTATGATTTATGTAGCAACTATCATGTTTTTAGCAGTAGGGGAAACTGGAGCACCTGGAGGAAACCTAGGCAGTATCAGCCGTTCCCTTTACGCCCCCCTTTAATCATATATTATCAAGAAACACACAATGACACACAATGACACACAATGACACACAATGACACACACACACACACACACACACACAATGACACACACACACACACACATTTGGTCCATATGTTTTCTTCTGGTTTTGTTTTTCTTCTGGGGTTTCGATTAAATATGGACAAAATTGACTTTGTGTTTGCTTTTGCTGTAAAACAATTATAGAAGGACCTGGAGGAAAGAGTGAGTCAGCACAGAGCTAGTGATGGGGGAGAGGTGTAGGGTCGGAGAGTTTTTGGGCCTGTGTCGTGTCTGTGTGAATATATGTGTGTGTGTTGTATGCCCTCTTTAATAATATAGAAGGACACACTGACACACGCAAACACATACAGACACATTTGGACCCCTGCAAAGACTACACTTCCCAGCATGCCTGGCGCCCAGTGCACCTGCGCAATGCGTGCCTATCTATCGCACACATACAGCTGTGCAAAGACACAAAGTATTTGAAAATAAAATGACACACACACAAACATACATACATTCTATAGTTGCATAGCTCATACCTCTCCCAGATGCGACTCCCCCATTGGTCCCTTGGTCTCCGGGTTTGCAATGATGATGCGGACCCCAGGAAGGATCTGCGGACACGGGAACGATCATATGAACATCAAAATAACTCAGGGGGACGTCAAACTGGATCCAGGCTGATGCGGCTGCAGTTTTCATTCCAACCAAGTAGGAGCACATCAGACGCCACCCATTTCCTCAGGTCTTCAGGTTAGGACTGGACTCACCTGTGGAGTGTGGTGTGCTCCTGCTTGGTTGGAACAAAAACCTGCACGTCTGAGGACCAGTTTGACACCTCTGAACTAAACCTTTTTTTTTTTTTTTAACAAGAAAATCAAACGCTTACCTTTCCTGATTCCATGAGGGGTAAACTGTGCGGTGAGCCTCGTTCCACCAATCGAACCCTGTGTGGAGAAAGCAGCGTGGAATTACAAAATAAAGTTTATGTACATATTTTGCAGTCATTGTATTGTTCTATGTCTTTTATCATGGTCTTAAAGGTCCCATATTACGTTTAAGGTCCTCTCGTCTTCCACGTCAAACTCTGGTGTTTCTCTGCTAATGTCTGCGACTAAAAGTGTTAGCATCATGTCAACTTGGAGAAAATGTATTTTTTGGGTGTAAAGATTTTTTTTTTATTTTTTTTTTTATTTATACTTTATTAAGGACTCACATGCAAGCACAGGATCCATAGCTAAGAATAATTAAAGAAAAGTTTTAAAAATAACAGAACAGAGTTAAAACACACATAGTAATCACATATTCACATATTTAGACCAAGTCACACATACAGAGAAGCACGCCAGTGACTCCAGAGCAAAGAAGTGAACCTGACTGAGCTAATGTAAGGACAAACCAGTGACTGTACAATAGCATTAGGCACCCTCACCACTCTACACATGAACCGATAGTAGCAGTGACGTAGGGCAGCAGGAAAGGAGCGCACCCTGCACTCAGCAAACATCTGACTCGCACTACTGTGTCTGGGGATCTTCAACAGCATCCTCATCGAGTCATTATAGGCAACAGTTAACTTCTGCAAACTGGCCTGCTTATAGCTCCGCCATAGTTGGGCTGTGTATAAGGGAGCACAAAAAGATTGGAACAGGGAGGTTTTAACATTCACAGAGCACATGTTAAACTTTCTGACCAGCATGTTGGATTGGCCATACAGTTTACATCTCTGTCTGTGTATATCCCGGTCGTCTGTGAGGTCACTGCATATGTAATGGCCAAGGTACTTTACCTCCTCACTGACATTTAGAGCATTACCACATAGGGAGAATGCAGGAAATACAGATTTTATGTCATTTTTTGTCCTCACAATCATGATGAAGCTTTTACTAGAGTTATATTTTATATCATTTTGAAGACCGTACTCAGAGCATATCTTGAGGAGCTGCTGAAGTCCTGCACTGTACGGACTGAGCACAACCAGGTCATCGGCATACATGAGGTGGTTAATCACTCTGCCTCCCACAACACACCCAGTCTTACAGTGATTGAGCTGTACAGATAAATCGTCCATATAGATGTTAAACAACAGGGGGGACATCACACTACCCTGCCGGACTCCATTACTGACCTTGAATGAGTCTGACACTGACCCACCCCACTTCACCCGCATACTCTGCTGTGAGTACCAAAATATGAGGACCCTAATAAGGTAGCCAGGAACACCTCTATTAGATAACTTCCTGAAAAGCCTCTGATGATTAATCCTATCGAATGCTTTGGATGCATCTAAGAAACAGGTGAAAATTGTGGAACCTTGACTGTGGTACTTGTCCAGAATTTCCTTAAGGGCAAAAATACACAGATCAGTACCATGCTCTTGTTTGAATCCAAACTGGTTTGCAGCTGTATAAAGGTATGGTTCAAGTCTGTACAGAATGATCCTCTCAAAAACCTTGGCCACACAACTGGCCAAGGCAATAGGCCGATAGTTGTCCTTACTGTTGAGTTTCCCAGCCTTGTCTTTGATTACTGGGACAAGTAAGACTGACATAAGTGACACAGGCAAAACCCCATGAACAAAAAAACTAGTAAAACATAGAGCAAGAAGTGGGTATAACTTTTTGCTTGCATATTTTAGGTGCTCAGATGAAACTGCATCTGGTCCACATGACTTGTTACTCTTCAATGTTAAAACAGCATTAAAAACCTCAAGTGGAGTTACGATCACACCATCATTATTATCAACAGCCCCTATAATAGCATTATTGTCTTTACCACAATTATACAATTCATAATAATATTTCATCCACAATTTACATATATTGTCCGAACCAGTCACTCCGTCAATATCACAGGGAAGAGAAGTCTTGCAACTGTTCATCATTCTAACTTCTTTCCAAAAGTCAAAGAAGTTGTTGTTTTTCAGTTTGGAAGCAAGAGATTCTGCTCTTAGGCGATTCTCATTCCGCTTTATATAGCGCAAGGCACATTTGAATTTGGCATTTGCACGTTTCTTTTGTTCAAACAGTGACCCACTCCTGTGCTTCCCAGCTTCTGTCCAAGCTTTAAATGCACACCGAGCGTCCGCATGAGCTCCTTCCACGTACATATTCCATCCAGGTTTACCACTGTGGGTGTGCTTTTTATGTTTACTGAGAGGTCTACCAGCTGCAATCAGGGCCTCAATGACACCATTGTATAGTGAACATATTTGAGAGCAGTGCTCCTGACTTCTGCAATTAATGTCACGGCACAAAATGGCATCTTTGGGTACCTCGATACTGCTCAAGCACCCATGTGTCCTATTGGTGAAGGCAAAGATGTTCTCATCCGATAGTTTTGACCAGTCCAGAGTGTCTGTGTTGGGACATACTTCATTAGGTGTTACTTTTGGGATGTTTCCCAGGTTACATTTGAGAATAAATGGCATATGATCAGATATTGCCAGGTCATACAAAATCTGCATGCTGGTGATGGTGGTATGCCCATCCGTAGTACTTAGGCAATGATCAAGCCAAGATGTGGTGTGCCAGGCATCGCTAACATACGTGTAGCTTCCTTCTGGCAGGCAAACCTCACTAGATAGTATAAGGCCATTATCAGCACAAAATAGTTTTAAATGTTTAGCAAATATTGATTTGTCATCAGCGATATCCGCATTCATATCTCCCACAACAATTATACATGTTGAGTCAATGGCATTAATGAATGTTGAGATGCTGGCAAGACATTTGACATACTCATCCTCATTTTGTGCACACTCATAAGGTGTATAAATGTTTAGAATTACTATCTTACTGCTATCACAATGCACTTCAAGGCCAATAGCCCAGTTTACCCCCAGCCTGAGCACCTTGACCATATTGTCATATTTCTTATGCCATAGAACAGCGACCCCTCCTGGTATTCTGCCTTTAACATGTTTAGTATTTAAGTCAGTGGTGGACTCCCCTGCCCCATGGAAGTCCTTGTGTACACTATTGAGGCGTTCTAGATCTTGTTTGGTCAAAAATGTCTCTTGTATGCACAGTACATCACAGGTTTCTAATAGTTTATCCACTGTGAGACGGCGTGCTCTGTCTCCATCACTATGCCCCACACGCAGTCCGCGCGCATTATAGGATACCACTGAAAAAGCCATGTTGAGTGTTAACCATTATACGCATGCATCCTTTACGCATTGGTCACGTCACTCTCCACTGCTGCATTACCGTGTTCTGGTGAGGTATCCCTCACCGCACCAGACATCCCTGCTCCATGAATTCCACCAGCCCTGCGTGGTTCATAGTAGCGGCGCACAAAGATGCCAGCCGGCCATAGATTTGGGTCATAGAAACACGCGACATCGGAGCATTCTGCCGTGACGTGAAATGAGCTGTACCGGCTCTGAATTGTTGCAATCTTTCTACACACGACTGAGTTGTTGTTAAGTTTCTCCGCCAGGTAGCCACATAAAGTTTCAGCATCAAGCGCCGGGTCAAAGCGGGTAGCAAACACACTCACCAGCTGTGACAACACTATTTAGATTCAGATTCAGATTCATTTATTTGCCATTTGCAGTAAAACCACATTGGAAAAACTGTGCAAGACTACCCCAGTGTGCACCTGACAGAGAAGACGACACACAGAAGAGAAAGAATGACGCAAATGTGGCTGGACTTTTTTTCACAGGGATCTGCCTCTGAAATAAGCTACGAATATGTTTATCTGCGAGCACCAAAGACTGCTTTCAAAACTAAGGTTACCTTGAAACTGGACTTACTCAAAGGCTGGTCTTGAAGTCTGGGGTTATTCCCATAATAATAGTAACAATAATAGATGTTAACGAGGAGCATACATCTGTAAGTGCAGTGCTACAGTCGCCATATACAAAAAAATAATTTATTAGGCTCAGACTCTGGTTGTTTTATGCCGTATCACCCAAATTATTATCACACATGTGTTTAGGATGGACTGTGAAAAAGGTAGAAGAGCACAATATGGGACCTTTAATGTGGGAACTATTTGCATTGTATTTTTCCTCATTTTACTTTGTGCATTGGAAAAGTCTCAAATGGAAGCCGTCGGCGTGTGGCGTGAGGCGTGTGCAGTCTGGCACATGAGTCACCGGTGGGTTTTGAGGCACTGGAGTTTGCACACTGTCAGTTTTAACCAAGAAACTTTTCATTATGTTTCCAGTTTCTCCCAGAGTCACCTCCGCAGCACTCAGGAGGCGAAGACAGACTCTGGCTCTGAACCCGATAACCTCCGAACTCCAGTCCACCGTTTCTTTTCTTTTCTTTTTCTTATTTGTTCGGGACAACACACGCTAATGAACAATCATATACAAGTCGTACACAAATTGTAAATGTGCCAGATTATAGCAAAACTGCAAATTTACATCCGTAGTCCCGACGCAGGTCATACAATAATAAGAATACAAAACACAATATACAACTATACAAGTTACAGTTAGTTAAAATATATGTCGAGCATTCTCTTATGTCTGTCGGAAGGTTGCTTCAAGACTGACCTCCTCTGACTGACAGCACAGTTTGTCCAAATGTTGTGTTTCTGCATCTCCACACATGTTCAAGCAGACAGACAGTTTGTACACAACTATATATTTCAGGATCTAAGAGCTATCCACTGAATGACTATCCCAGTTTTACATTTATTACATTTGAAATTGAATTAAAACCAGCTCTGAGAGAACAGACACTTCCATATTTAGTCCAGGCGAATTTGTGCTCAGAGAATTGTGGTCACATCAAAGCGCACGTTCTGCCGCAGATGAAGTTAACAAAAAAAGCAGCTACATTTTCTTTCCCTAAGAGCGAAATTATGCAATGATGACATTTTCCGAGTATCACATTCAGAACAGAAAATGGATGAAAATGATTTTGTCCACATATAAGCCGCACTTGAATATAAGCCTCAGATTTTCATGTTGTAATGTAGTAGACGACTGTTTTAACTGGACACAACATGATTTAATGGACTCTGAGGAGAACAGGGACTGGACTCCTGTTAGTGCCCAGAGTCAGAACTAAACATGGGGAGGCTGCATTTCAGATTCATGCTGCTAAAATCTGGAACAGTCTTCCTGAAGATGTGAGACAGGCCTCCTCAATGACAATGTTTAAAACCAGGTTAAAAACAGTGCTGTTTAGCTGTGCATACAACTGAGGGATTTTATCTTTTTATCTTTCTTTTTAATGTACTGTGATTATTTATTTGTCTTGTTCAGCACTTTGAGTTGCCTTGTGTATGAATTGTGCTATACAAATAAACTTGCCTTGCCTTAATGACGATGAGTGATGGGAGCTAACAGTTCTTACTCATTCACTTTCCTCTATGTTGATAATAAACAAGTGTCCTGTAGCTAAGTCAAAATCATAAGTCCATAATACAGGGTGAAAAAGCAAAAACAAAAAAGTGATATATACATATGTACACACTCACACACTAACTACACTAAAATATATGGTTTGCTTTGTTCTTGTTTTTTCTCCTTTTTTCTTTTCTTCCATATGTCTGTGTGAATGTGGGAACTATGTTTAAAAATGCAATTAAAAATATTGTTAAAAAATAATAATAAGTCCATAAACTCTGCTTTGACAACTCAAAAAAAAATAAAATACACATATTAGCCGCATCGCTACAGTGCCTTGCGAAAGTATTCGGCCCCCTTGAACCTTTCAACATTTTGCCACATTTCAGGCTTCAAACATAAAGATATAAAATTTTAATGTTTTGTCATGAATCAACAACAAGTGGGACACTTTCGTGAAGTGGAATGAAATGTGTTGGATAATTTAAACTTTTTTAACAAATAAAAAACTGAAAAGTGGGGCGTGCAATATTATTCGGCCCCTTTACTTTCAGTGCAGCAAACTCAGTCCAGAAGTTCAGTGAGGATCTTTGAATGATCCAATGTTGTCCTAAATGACTGATGATGATAAATAGAATGCACCTGTGTGTAATCAAGTCTCCGTATAAATGCACCTGCTCTTTGATAGTCTCAGGGTTCTGTTTAAAGCGCAGAGAGAACCATGAAGACAAAGGAACACACCAGGCAGGTCCGAGATACTGTTGTGGAGAAGTTTAAAGCCGGATTTGGATACAAAAAGATTTCCCAAGCTTTAAACATCTCAAGGAGCACTGTGCAAGCAATTATATTGAAATGGAAGGAGTATCAGACCACTGCAAATCTACCAAGACCCGGCCGTCCCTCCAAACTTGGTGGGGATGGTGTGTTCAGTTTTTTTATTTTTTTAAAAGTTTAAATTATCCAATAAATTTCGTTCCACTTCACGATTGTGTCCCACTTGTTGATTCATGACAAAAAATTTAAATTTTATATCTTTATGTTTGAAGACTGATATGTGGCAAAATGTTGAAAGGTTCAAGGGGGCCGAATACTTTCGCAAGGCACTGTATATAGCCCGCATCACCATATAGGCCGCATCGCTATATAGGCCGCATCGCCATATAAGCCGCATCGCCATATAAGCCGCATCGCTATATAGGCCGCATCGCCATATAAGCCGCATCGCTATATAGGCCGCATCGCCATATAGGCCGCATCGCTATATAGGCCGCATCGCCATATAGGCCGCATCGCCATATAAGCCGCATCGCCATATAGGCCGCATCGCCATATAGGCCGCATCGCCATATAAGCCGCATCGCCATATAGGCCGCATTGCCATATAGGCCGCATCGCCATATAAGCCGCATCGCTACATAAGCCGCAGCGGTCAAAAAACTAGAAAAAGTGGCAGCTTAGGGAGGGGAGGATGCATGAAGGTAATAACTAGGGCTAGAACCAAACAGAGAGAGGGGGGAACTAGTGAGATGGATTTTATATATTATTATTATTCATTTTTCTATAGCTCGGAAATGTAAAGTCTGAGATGATTATACACTCACAGCAAAAACAGAGAATATAAAAGCAGCTGCTGTACCTGTCGTGGCGCAGTGCTCTCATGTCCACAAAGACCGTGGTGGGGTCTGGACCTGATGTGCCCTGAGAACAAAACCATTTATCATCAATATATATATATATATATGTAAACAACAACAAACCACAGCTTCTGGAGAGCGTGCACTACCCCCATACACCAGAGGAGGAGCTAGAGAGGAGCCTACAGGCCTGACCATGCGGCGCACACAGGACAAAGTAGAGAAGGGAGAAAAGTTGATGCGGAAATTCTGAATATGTCTTGATTTTAGCCACAGAACAGAAGGAAAGAACCAAAAACCAAACATTTTTTCATTTTACATTTAAAAGACTATTAAATATGATGAGCACAGTTTTCACTTCCAGGTTCAAGGCTGCGGCAAATTAACGGCGACATTTTTGGTGGGAGCTTTACAGAGCTTAGGAGAGTTTAATGTATTTGTGATCAGATGAGATAAACTTTATGGATCTCAAAATGGAACAAATCACAAATGAAAACTGAAATAATCATAATAATAATAAGTTCAATTTGTATATTGTGGTTTGCCGTAGTTTAAGCTATAGAGTACCTGAAAAATATAAAAAAAAATATAAAAATCCATGCCACTCGTTCCTCTCTCTCGAAGCAGAGAGAGTGAGTCGGGTTCTAGTCCTAGTTCTCACCTTTATGCTTTTTTCTCTCTGTCCCATTAATAAACCAGCTCTATCGTTTAATACAAATAATTAATTAATTTAGTTAATTTCATGATATTTTCAAATTACTTTAATAGATGTCCATTTTTCTCCTTTTTTAATGTAATAATACCTATGATAATAATGCATTGGTTTTATATAGAACTTTTCAGGACACTCAAAGATTACTATATATTACTATAATTATTTTTTTACAATCAGTATTAGCATCATTATATCTATATTTTTTGTGCCTTTGTGATTGTTTTAATAATTCATGTTTAATTTGCCTTTTTTTCTCTTCTTTTTTCTTTTTAAATATAATATGTTTTTGTTGATTTCACTGAAACTAAAAAAAATAACAAAAAATGAGCAGCATCTTGGACCTCTTTTCGTTCAAGATGACCTGAACCCTGGACCTGGAAGTGAAGAGCTTTACCTCAGATTTGGAACAAGAAGGTTTTGATTTTGCGACACATTTTTTCTATATCTATATTTCACTGCAAAAACAATTTAGACGTAAAAAGTCCAAGATCCAATTCCATCACGAGGACAGTAAATACTTCACAGCTGCTCCCAAAGCAGAAGCCAAAAACCACCCATGTTTGTCCACACTGATACAAGTTGGGAATAACGACGGGAATAACAAGGGTTTTTGGATGTTTTTGTGTCTTGTGTGTTGGATTTGTGGTTTTACACTGCAAAAAATGATCAAATATGAGATAATAATTGCTAGAATCGAGTTTTTTTAACTTGACTTAAGTTCATTCTGACCGTCTTAAAATGAGATTTGCCAATGAGACATGCAATTTTGACTTGATTCAAGAACTATTGCTTTATTTTCTCATTCCAAGAGAAAAATATCTTGTATCTTTTTAAAACAAGACAATTTTTCTTGTTCCACTGGCAAATCTTGTTTTAAGGCAGTCAAAATGTGCTCAAATTTAGATACATTTAACCAAATTTTAGCATTTTTTTGTCTTTAATTCTGTCATCTTTTCCAGTGTAGGCCATGTCCACACAGAGACTAATAGTTGGACTGGCAAAAGTGATAAAAAAAAAAAAAAAATGTGGTAAAAAAATTCTCAAATTTGGCTAAATGTATCTTATTTTGAGCAGATTCTGACTGCATTAAAACATGATGAGACAAAGCAAAATTATCTTATTTTTAAAAGATACAAGAAAAGTCTCCCTTGGAATGAGAAATTAAAGAAACCGTTCTTGAAATAAGAATAAATGGCTTTGTCCCATTGGAGAATCTTGTTTTAACACAGTCAGATTGTGCTCAGATTAAGATAAAAACCACTAGATTCAAGCAATTATTACCTCATATTTGATCATTTTTTGCAGTGTACAGGTTATTATTATCATTTGTGACATTTCTGTTTTTGTGTGTAAAAAAAAAAAAAAATCATGCATTATTTGAATTCTTTCATACTTTCTTGTGGTCTTTCCGTACATTTTTCTTAAAGTTGCCAAAGTTCAAGCTGTAGATACACTTTCCCAAGGCACTGTAACTTCCTGGCCTTGCAAACCAACCGTATCAGTGTGGACTTTTACTAAAATATAATGCTCTAGTTTCCAGAGGGACGGTGGATTTTTGGGGCTGGTGTTGGTGACCTACCTGCTCGGCCAGCTTCCCCAACCTGTGAGGCTGCAACAGTGAACACGGAAAAGTGGAAACGGAGGAAAACGGACAGAACAAAAAGAAAAAACAGAACAAAAAAACACAGGTGAGGGCGTGGGAGTGGTTAAAAACACAAAGCAGGAGGAAGAGAAGAGAAAATAATGTAAATGAAACAAACAGCGTCAAGATGGTGCAGAGGAGATGGTGCAGAGGAGATGGTGCAGAGGAGATGGTGCAGAGGAGATGGAGCAGAGGAGATGGTGCAGAGGAGATGGTGCAGAGGAGATGGAGCAGAGGAGATGGTGCAGAGGAGATGGTGCAGAGGAGATGGAGCAGAGGAGATGGTGTAGAGGAGATGGAGCAGAGGAGATGGTGCAGAGGAAAGGGTGCAGAGGAGATGGAGCAGAGGAGATGGTGCAGAGGAGATGGAGCAGAGGAGATGGTGCAGAGGAGATGGTGCAGAGGAGATGGTGCAGAGGAGATGGAGCAGAGGAGATGGAGCAGAGGAGATGGTGCAGAGGAGATGGTGCAGAAGAGATGGTGCAGAGGAGATGGAGCAGAGGAGATGGGGCAGAGGAGATGGTGCAGAGGAGATGGTGCAGAGGACATGGAGCAGAGGACATGGTGCAGAGGAGATGGAGCAGAGGAGATGGAGCAGAGGAGATGGAGCAGAGGAAATGGTGCAGAGGAGATGGAGCAGAGGAGATGGAGCAGAGGAGATGGAGCAGAGGAGATGGAGCAGAGGAGATGGAGCAGAGGAGATGGTGCAGAGGAGATGGTGCAGAGGAGATGGAGCAGAGGAGATGGTGCAGAGGAGATGGTGCAGAGGAGATGGTGCAGAGGAGATGGTGCAGAAGAGATGGAGCAGAGGAGATGGTGCAGAGGAGATGGTGCAGAGGAGATGGAGCAGAGGAGATGGTGCAGAGGAGATGGTGCAGAAGAGATGGAGCAGAGGAGATGGGGCAGAGGAGAAGGAGCAGAGGAGATGGAGCAGAGGAGATGGAGCAGAGGAGATGGTGCAGAGCAGATGGTGCAGAGGAGATGGAGCAGAGGAGATGGAGCAGAGGAGATGGTGCAGAGGAAATGGAGCAGAGGAGATGGTGCAGAGGAAAGGGTGCAGAGGAGATGGAGCAGAGGAGATGGGGCAGAGGAGATGGAGCAGAGGAGATGGTGCAGAGGAGATGGAGCAGAGGAGATGGAGCAGAGGAGATGGTGCAGAGGAGATGGTGCAGAGGAGATGGGGCAGAGGATATGGAGCAGAGGAGATGGTGCAGAGGAGATGGAGCAGAGGAGATGGAGCAGAGGAGATGGTGCAGAGGAGATGGTGCAGAGGAGATGGTGCAGAGGAGATGGTGCAGAGGAGATGGTGCAGAGGAAATGGAGCAGAGGAGATGGGGCAGAGGAGATGGTGGTTTTCTGTATTACTATGGAAACACTCGACTCGGTGTCTCTCTCTATTGCCCCATCTTGTTTCAAATGATCCAATAGTCGTGAAGTTAAAGCTGCGGTCTGTAAGTTTGGAGCCGGTACCTGCAGACAGATGGCCAGGTTGACTCTGCAGCCGAACGAGGTGCTGACGGCCCGAGGGTGCAGCCCCAGGTCTTTGAAGAGTTTGGAGAAGGACTGAGTGAGAGCGATGCGGGGGCGCTCCTCTGCTACCACCACACAGGTACGCACACGGGACAGGTCCAAGCCTCGCGACTGCACACACACACAGAGACACACACACACACACACACACACACAGTTTTAATTGACACTAAAGCAGCTGCTACAAGTACTATGCATTAGCTCTGTCCTTTGCCTCTTGTTGGTATGGATTTTTCCCTTTATCTGATGTCCATGTCCAATCCAGTGGAACCTGAGAGTAACCTCACAGCCAGTATATAGAGAGCTGGAATGGACTAGTTTGGGCTCTTGGTCGGTGTCAACTCTCTGCATGATGTAGCGGCCTAATACTGAGGTTCAGAGCCTCCAGGGTTCTCTCTCTCTCTCCAACCATCTCTCCTTGGGGTATGATATTTTCTGTTATGTCTGCATGAATCTTGTTATAATGAAGTGTCATTACATCTTCTCTCCTCTTTTATATCTATTGGTTTGGGCCTAGTATGTACAGCAACGATTACACTTTCATGATAACACCTCTTTACCTAAAACATCTTAAGAATATTTATAGAGAAATGTTATGATGTAGAAAGTGAAACACATGCGGCACGTTTACAATTGTCGGCCTGGTTCACTTTAAATGGACCAAGTTTGTGTCATTTGGAGAAAAAAATCTCCACGGATCGGATTCAAAGGACCAAACTGATACCACTACAAATATGGAATTGGCTCCAGGTATCTCGTTCCATCTCTAGTTTTCACACCATTTCTGGGTCATTCTGATCCATGGCTTCTCCGGGTTCATAAATGTACTTCTTATTACGCTAAAGCTAGAGATTTTGTATTAGCTTCTTTATTATGCTAAAGCTAGAGATTGTATACACGCTTCTTTATTATGCTAAAGATTGAGATTTTATTAAGATTAAGATTAAGAGATCCTTTATTTGTCCCACAGTAGGGAAATTTCGGTGTTGCATCACAAGTTATAGAACAGTAGGAAAGAGGAGCACCCGGCACACGTTAAGTGAACAATAGCTATATTAAAATAATACAAAATCTCTAATGTATACTTGCTTCTTTATTATGCTAAGGCTAGAGATTTTATACTTGCTTCTTTATTATGCAAAAGCTAGGCATTTCATTTTAGTATAGAGTTATCAATTTCCCCACTGTGGGAGGAATAAAGGATCTCTTCATCTTAATCTTATTCTTAAATCAGCGTGTGGGGGTCCCCGGGTCCCTCACCTTCAGGGCGTCCGTCTGCAGCCCCAGGCCTTTGGTGCAGAGCTCCATGACGCTGTAGGAGCAGAACGTGTCTCTCACTCTGTACTGACTGACGGCCGACAGCCACAGGGCGGGGTTCAGCTCCAGCTCCGAGGGCGGGATCAGGATGGACTGGTGACCGCTGTACACGCTGCAAAAGTCAAAACATTTTTAATGTGAAACAGACAGAAAGTTGAGTCCTAAAATGCCTCAGTCCTGGATCTACAGCCTCAGTCCTGGATCTACAGGCGGCAGTAGCTCAGTTGGTAGAGCGTTGGCCTTTGAGCCAGAAGGTCGTGGGTTCAAGCCCCGCTCAAGACTTTCACCATCGACTCCCACTGACTACTGTCGTTGTGTCCTTGGCAAGACACTTAACCTCTGGGAACACCAGCCACAGTGGGGCGGCTGCGGCTGTAAAGTGCCAAACTGCCGTTGTGTCCTTAGGCAAGACACTTCACCCCCATTGCCTAGAATGAGTCTGGTGTGTGTGTGAATGGTTGGTGGTGGTCAGAGGGGCCGATGGCACATACTGGTTGCCTCGCTTCTGTCAGTGTGCCCCAGGGCAGCTGTGGCTACATTAGTAGTTTATCACCACCGTGTATGGAGTGAATGAATAATGACACATGTGAAGCGTCTTTGAGTGTCCAGAAAAGCGCTATATAAAACCGATGCATTATTATTATTATTATTACAGCCTCAGTCCTGGGTCTTCAGCCTCAGTTCTGGATCTACAGTCTCAGTCCTGGATCTACAGCCTCGGTCCTGGATCTACAGTCTCAGTCCTGGGTCTACAGCCTCAGTCCTGGGTCTACAGCCTCAGTCCTGGGTCTACAGCCTCAGTCCTGGGTCTACAGCCTCAGTCCTGGATCTACAGCCCCAGTCCTGGATCTACAGCCTCAGTCCTGGATCTACAGCCTCAGTCCTGGATCTACAACCTCAGTCCTGGATCTACAACCTCAGTCCTGGGTCTACAGGCTGTTCGTCCACATAGGCCTCCGAGGTTTCTCACTTTTCCCCCATGTTTTTTCTTTCTGGGACTGCTGTTCTGATTTCGAGCTATACAAAAAAAACATTGAATTGAGATTGAGGACTACTAAAAACAATAACAGAAAAAAAATAAAAAAAAATATGTTCAAAATATGTTGGGAGTCATTTGTGGGAAGTCAGGTCACTGTATAGAAAGCAAGTGGACTATGGAACAAGTAGATGTAAGTGTCTGATTAGAATGTTGTGTTCACTTTGACTAGATCTAAAGTCCCTTCAGTAACAACCAGGAGTGGGCCTGGGGTGAGCGTGGTCATTGTGTGGTTAGTGTGTGGTCAGTGTGTGAGGAGTCTGACCTGCAGAGGCACCAGAGCACGAACCCCAGGCCGCAGTACGGGTCCAGACAGATGGCCACTTCTCTGGACGGGTACAGCTCACACTGCAGCTTTATGGAGCGGCAGAAGGCACTGGTGGCACTGTGGGACATCTGAGAGACACACAACACGTGTTACCGTGACGCAGACATGACATATCTTTCCCGAACGCAGAGGTTTGGAAATAACACGCCACAGAGACATCATACAGTCATCCACCAACCTGCCACTCGCCGTTTCCAAAACACAACATTTATAACAGCGAGAAAACACATTCTCAAACTTTTCCTCACCGTTTTAAATTCTTAACATGTTTTTCACCCATTTATTTCGCAATCAAATCTGCTAGAAATGTTGACGAGAGCTGTAACTAATTATTATTTTGTCATTTATCTCAAGCAATTTTAGCTGTGATTCATTGATTAGCTGTTTAAAACACAAATATATTTAGAAAACTTTTAAGAGAATAACATATTTTTTTCTATTTTTTTTTATAGACAAAAATATTACATCCTTATTTTTCAATTCAAGTTTACTACAGACTCTAGGTCCAATTTAAAACACAAAAGAAAATAACAATAAATATTTACATTTATGCATTTTTTTGTAAACTGTAATTACTGCTCTGTTTGGGTCTTGGTGATGGGGAGAACAACCAAATTCATTCAAAAAATTGACAGATAAAATGTTGACAGTGTAGTTTTTTTTAAGTTGCCAAAATTGATTAAAAATATGTCACAAAGAGACAAAGTGTTCATGGTTCAAAGAAGTCTAGTCTCTCCAACCATCGACATACATTACTATTGCACATGTTGTTAGTAATGGGGGAATCCGGAGAACCTCGGAACGATTGCAGACACAAGAAGAACATGCAAACTCCAGAATTTAGGAGAAAAGAAAATGTTACCTTGACCCCGGCCAGCATCCCTGTGGTGGACACGCTGAAGTCCAGATAGGCCAGAGTGTCCGGGCTCAGAGGCTTGTGCAGCAGTGGGGGCTTCTTTTTGGGCAAATCGTCTAAAATACACAATATACAACAATCAACAAATATATACAGTATACAAGAACTCTCTAAAATATACAAACAAGTTGTCACGGGATCAAAGTCTTCCCATCCAGCCGTTATGCTACCACGGAATGTTTCACCTCATTTATTTGACTTTATTATTGATAAAATTATTGATAAAAATCTTTAAAAATCTGCCGTACTTGCACAGTAATAATATGTTGAGTTGAGTGAATGTAGATTATGATCCACAATCACTACATAGAATTTTCTAACATCTCATTGATCAACAAATACTTATTCTTATTATAATATTGTACATGTTTCAAACTAAAAAGTGGGAGAAAGAAAATAATGTTCAACGTACAGATAAATGCCAATGAATTATAAACAAAACTTCCATAGATAAATTGTTGCTTATCTTCCCTTCTCTTCTTTAACTCATGGACTGCCAGCCGTTTTTGTTGATTTCACGGATTTTCAAGACCCACAGAATATTGTGTGATATGACGACGTGAAATATGAAACCAGATTCTGAAAGATTGGATTGTCTACTTTCATCAGAAAAAATATGATTGTTTTAAGCTATTTTTGTTCTCCTGTAATCTCCAGTCGAAATCACCATCAGTCAAATACGTCAATGGCCGTCTATGAGTTAAAATCAACCATCATCCCCTCCCCACTGCTGTGTTAGCATGAGCCCTTTCCACAGGTTTATATCACAGGCAGCCGTAAAGATGCAGTGATTTTTCCAGACGCATTTTTTTTTTATATTGTGGGAAAACGTCCCTAAACCTCTGTTTTCAATTAGTTATGGAATTGACCACCTGCCTATAGTCTCCAAAAATTAATAAAACATAGTGTGGAGCGGACCGATAAAAATAAACCAATGGGATTCGTTCATCCCCAATGAACCAATGGGATGTGTTTACCCTCTTCACCCGCTTCCTGTTTCTCGCGAGTGCACCAGAGTTATCAGATTTTCTAAAACCTAAAATGGCTGAACAGAAAATGCCAATTTCACGTTTGCCGCCCACTCTCCCTGTTGTGACAAAGAAAAGAAAATGCTGGATGTTTGGTTTGGTGGAGAGGGAGGGGAGGGGGGAGTGGTTTCCAGTTGGTGCTACGGCTAAGCTAACAACATCGCTTACTGCCCCTTTAAGCAAAAGCCAGTCAAACTTTGGAAAAAAACTGTCTTTTTTTGACTGGACCATTGACATTGAGCCGTGTGGTGGGACTCACCGGTGTCTATGACCGGGGGCCAGGTCCGCAGGTCGACTGTGGCTGTGGCTTCTTTGGACCGCAGCAGTTTGGAGATCAGCTGAGTGGTCATGACGCACACTGAGCGACTCACCTGCCGAGCACGGAGAGAGAGAGAGAAACATATTCTTATTCAAATCAATTAAATGTAATGTTGTAAAGCCCTAAATCAAGGCAGTTGGTTTTTTTGGGGGGTTTTTTTCTCCACAGAATACAAGCGTTCTTTCCACTCATGGTTAGTGCTGGGGTGAGGGCATATGCTGTCGTTAGGGTTAGGGTTTTATGTTATTAAAACCTGTTGGAGTGTGAGCCCAAATTTAGCCTGAAATAAATAAAAACATCAAAGTAAATAAAAAAACAAAAAATTCTAAGCAAAAAACAAAACAAAAAATATAATAAACAAATAAAAGGAAAAAATATTGAAAAAATAATAAATACAATTGAAAAAATATAGAATAATAAATAAATACAAAAAATAGAACAAATTCAAATAGAAACACAATAATACATAAATATAAAATAATATAGATTAACAAGATAGATAATTTTTTTTACCCAGGACCAATACTATGGTTGTTTGGTTTGGTTCATTTCTACACCAGGGCTAATTGGTGCCACATTGGAGCCATTGCCTATGAGCCTAAGTGTTGTGAATACTGATAGAGTTCTGTGGGAGTGGGTCACCTCCACAATCATCTTGACCGTGGGCAGCGTGGTGGCGATGTTCTGAGGATGAGGAGGTCTCACTGTGATGGGAACACAGCCGGCGTACAGGCAGCCATAGAAGGCCACCACCAGGTCCACTCCTGAAGGGCAGAGAGAGGCGACCGTTAAGACTCCAAGTGCTCGGACTGAATTTCTTTATCATCTCAAATGTTGTGACCTGGTTAGTAGTATTAGTAATATTAGTCTATTTTTGTCCTTGTAATTTATGTGTTTTCTTTATGTATAGAACGTGAATGGATATGTATGCCTGTAATCTCTTAAGTGAGGTAGTGAGGTACCCCAGCTTTAAAGAAGAAATTTGTGGACTTTTTCATTTCACATTTTAGAATAAACATAAATGAATGTTATATATAAATAAATATATATGTGTGAAAATAATATATATTTATGAAAATATAGGGCGAAACACGTCTGCCTGCAACACCCTATGCAACCACCAGAGGGAGAAGTTAAGTATTTTTTTGCCAAATTTGAAAATTACCGGCTTTAACCACATCCATGTTGTTGTAAAGACCATAATTTCACCTGAGAAATAGCAAAAAACTGATTTATATGACAGGGTACAATGACATCATACTTTTACAGGACTGAAAGTGGAGAATTTTGACTTTTTGATGTTTGTGCCTCATAGTTCCTGATATTAGTGTAGATAGGCAAGGCAAGTTTATTTATATAGCACAATTCATACACAAGGCAACTCAAAGTGCTGAACAAAACAAGAAAGCATTAAAATCATAAATAATCACAGAACATTAAAAAGAAAGCTAAAAATATAAAATCCCTCAGTTGTATGCACAGTTAAACAGAACTGTCTTTAACCTGGTTTTAAACATTGTCAGAGAGGAGGCCTGTCTCACATCTTCAGGAAGACTGTTCCAGATTTTAGCAGCATGAATCTGAAAAGCAGCCTCCCAATGTTTAGTCCTGACTCTGGGCACTAACAGGAGTCCAGTCCCTGTGCTCCTCAGAGTCCGGGCTGGTTCATATGGGACTAACATGTCACTAATATATTTTGGTGCGAGGCCATGGAGAGACTTGTAACAAGCAGAGCTGTTTTAAAGTCTATTCTCTGAGCCACAGGAAGCCAGTGCAGAGACCTGAGGACCGGACTAATGTGGTCGTACTTCCTGGTTCTAGTCAGGACTCGAGCTGCTGCATTTTGAATGTACTGCAGCTGTTTTACAGCCTGTTTGGACAGACCTGTGAGCAGGCCATTGCAGTAGTCTAACCTACTGGAGACAAATGCATAGATAAGAATCTCCAAGTCTGCTTTAGACACTATGTTTTTGATCCTGGCAATGTTTTTTAGATGGTAAAAAGCTGCTGATGTTACTAGATGTATAACAAATCCAGATCTGTTTTTAGGCAAGAGAATAATGTTGGAACATGGTTAAAAGCTCAAAAATAAGTAATTTAAAGAAGACATATCGTGCCTTGCTAGCTAAAGTAGAGAAAAGTAGCAATAACAAAGAAGCTAATTTTCAATACGTGCATGTAATAGTTAAAAATATAAACATAAGTGTATATATTTCTGTACCTGGAGGGTAAACTAAGGCCACGTGGTCTCCGTCCTGAAGGTGTGCGCGCTCAGACAAAATGGCGGCGATCTTCTCTGCTCGCTTGTGCAGCTGGACACAGGTCAGCGAGGTGGCGATCGTTCCCTGTCGTCAAAAACAACACTGAGTATTCGGCTTGGCACAAAATGAAATTCAACAAAACTCAAATTTTATATATAGAGTATTTTCCCCAATTTTTACCATATTTATTTATTTATTTCATCCAGACTCCGTTCATTCAGTATTCTACTTGAACATATTCATTAACTAGTGATGTCACACTGTTACAGCCGAAATAACAATATAACTTCACATCCAGTCTTTACAATGGGACCTATTTTTATCTTTTCTATTTATTATTTGTTTTATTACCTCATACTTTATAATTTTATTTTGCAGTGTAACAGTGATTGAGCGTTTTTTACCATAATTTGAGCACATTGTGACTGTTTTAAAACCAGAATCTCCAATCGGACAAAGCCATTTAGTCTTATTTCCAGAACTGTTGCTTTATTTTCTCATTACAGAAGAGACATTTCTTGTATCTTTTCAAAACAAGTTAATTTTGCTTTGTCCCATCGGAAAATTTTGTTTTAAAGGTAGCACCAACTAGAAACCACTCCTCCCCCTCCCCTCGCCTCTCCACCAAACCAAACATCCAGGTTCGCTCCAAAATATGTTTTATTAATTTTTGTAGACTATAGGCATCTGGTCAATTCCATTACTATTTGAAAACACATGATGACTTGACTACTTTTAGGGTTTAGGGACGTTTTCACACAATATGTAAAAATATGCGTCTGGAAAAAAATCACTGACTGCGTCTTTAAGGCAGTCGGAATGTGCTCAAAGTAAGATACATTTAGCCAAATTTGAGACATTTTAAACTTATTTTTCATTACTTTTTGCAGTGTAGATAAACACATTCGTATTATTCAAAATGTTTTATTAAACCAACATTTTTACATTTTTACTGAACATGTAAATCAACTCTACATATATATATATACATACTGTCACTGCTAAATGTCTATTGTCTATATATATATACATTATACTATTCACTCTTACAACATGGTAGCACCTTGAGGCAAAGCAAATTCCGAGTTTCTGATTCTGATATGGGTTATTATCTGCCTCGTTACTATTATTATTATTGGTGCTGACAAAGCCATAAATGGTGGACCTCTGATGCAAACACACGTCACACACGTCATTAAGGAGTGATAAAGCGGACTGACCCTGGAGTTGATGAGAGTGTAGAGGACGTGGTCAGGAGTGGTCTGAGCTCTCCACTGCAGAACCTCGGACAGGAACAAGAACTACACACAAACACAACACACACATGGTTACGACGGATCCTTCACACAAAGTTTAAACATCCAGGGACAGAACAAATACGATACTTTACAGGAGGAAAGACGGCTTCACACTGCTCTACAAATAAACTCGCCTCGCCACATTACAAAACATGTCTGGAGGAGTCATTGGGGAAGAGACATATTTGGTGAATAACTTCTTTCTATGTGAATAAAAAGTACAAATACATTATACTGCTTTTACACTCTCCACTATCAGGAGATAAAAAAGCGCGTGGTTCAGTGAAGTCTAATAAAGCCATTCATCCGGCCTGTGCCCAGTGCTGTCCGTGAGAGGAGGAGGAAGAGGAGGAAGCAGAGAGGGGAATCTCCAGCTGAAATGGAGATGTTTTCAACGCTGCCCCCTGCAGGTCTGTCGGCTACAGGCACCGCCGAGTTTAACAGAGAAGAAGAAGGATGACAAGCAGCTGACAAGCCACGAAGACGGGAATAAAAATAGACGTATTATTGAAGAGTAGGGATGCACAGTGGCAGAGTGGTTAGCTTTGATAGTTGAGCCGTTGAATTGGTATATGTGTTATGTAATGTGAATCTATTGTATGTAATGTGTATTATTTGATGTGTATGTAATTTTGTCGCAAACCATCACATCAAATACTTGCAAATGACAAATAGATAAATTAAATAAAAAACATATCTTTAGAAAAAAATGGTTACATAAAAAAACAAGGATTTTTTTTAAACAACATATACACATTTACTCGATACAACAAGTACAAAAAGATAAAGTAGAAATGATATGAATGCATCGGTTTTATGTCGAGCTTCTTTGGACACATTAATTCAAACTATAAACTGTAGCCATAGCTGCCCTGGGACACACTGACAGAAGCGAGGCAACCAGTGTGTGCCATCGGCCCCTCTAACCACCACAAACCATTCACACACACACTCATTAACAATAATAAGAATTCAACAGAAAAATGACACAAAAACTTCTCAAAAAGGATAAAATAATTGTACATTTTTCAAGATTTCTTTAAGTATATGTGACACTATCATCATCTATCATTGAATTTTATACGTTTTTTACCATACCCAAGATATGTATTCTTAAAAATAAAACCTTGACATGATTTTGTCGCTGCCCAAAGCAAAAAGCCTCAGTTTTGATTATGAATAAATCCATATGGTGTTGGACTACTGTCAGAATATTTCCACTCCAGAGAGAGTAGCCGAGCCGTTCAGAGCCAGAATACATGGAGTGCCTCAAACTGTGAAATGATCTCACTTTTCCCATTTCTGTCGACAGGGAGCAGTGGATTTTGTGAATAGAAATACTTGTTACTAGTATTTGAGTGCGCAGTGTTGAACGGAGAACAAGATGGATCGTCTAAACGGCTCACGGACCTCGTTTTGGATGTGAAGATTGAGACTGAATCAAGCAGATCCAGCTGACAGTGTGAGTGCATGTGTGTGTGTATGTCTATGTATATGCGTGTGTGTATGTGTATGTGTGTGTGTATATGCGTATATGTATGTGTAAGACATATATTAGGAATATCTGTAAATAATCTGGAATAATCTCCCTGAAGATGTGAGACAGGCCTCCTCTCTGACAATGTTTAAAACCAGGTTAAAGACGGTTCTGTTTAGCTGTGCATACAACTGAGGGATTTTATACTTTTATCTTCCTTTTTAATGTTCTGTGATTATTTATGATTTTAATGCTTTCTCGTTTTGTTCAGCACTTTGAGTTGCCTTGTGTATGAATTGTGCTATACAAATAAACTTGCCTTGCCTTGCCTACGAGTCTACCAATAACCTTCTGGGCCAATTATCGGCACCAGTATCGACCAATTTTCTTAAAAAAATAATTAGTCAAGTCCGGTCCCACCCACTGCACATGTGCCTAAACAAAGAACATTCTCATCAGTTCACTTTATTTTGGTCAAAATTAACATAATTTGGATTCAATCTTGTGTTCTTTATTTTTTCAGATGCACATATGTAGTCTAATTTAACATGGTCTCATTGAAAAGTAAATTCCTCTCTGCAGGTCTTTCTAGAAACATTTATGCCTGTTACCTTTGACTATGTGACTTCCCCACGGCTCAGATTTTCTCCCGATTTTATGCATTTACAGATCACCAGATAATAATCGGCAACTTCAGCTGCTAGGATTACCCTGGAGTAGAGTCCCAGTCTTTACCATCGTCTCCTCCAACTCTCCAATACCCCCAACTCACGCACCATCTTCATAATCACAATTTAGACACAAAAAAAATATTGATAATGTCCGTATACATTGTCTGTCTGTCTTGATTTGTAGACAATTTTACGTTTTTCTTTTAAACACTGTAAAAAGTGATGAATAACGAGTCAAAAATGTGTCTTTTTTGGCTAAAATAAAGAATAGAAAAAAGACTAAATGGCTATGTCCGTTGGCAAATATTGGTTTAAAACAGTGACTTTATGCAGTGAACAAAATTAATCAACTATATTAATGCAGACTTTGTTTTAACTATTAAAAAACGCATCCATAAGCAGTAAGTTAAAAGCTCCCCACGGCTAAGTGCTGCCGGCTGCGTTTCTCCGCTCTGAAAAAGTCCTGAAATATTCATGAGAGCAAAACAGTGAGTGGTCCGTGAAGCATTTACACGTGCCCAGTGTCTGACAGCTGGGACAGGGCTGCGTCTACTGAGTCTGCTTTTGTCATCTAATTTGACCAGATTCTCGTAGAGATTTGAAATGGAAACTGTGCTTTTGTTTTTTCACTGCAGACTCAAGTGGAAAACGTCATAAATCCATCCATTTCCTTCAGAACAGAGATGCCCAGACGTTGATTTATCCACCAACGCTTCTTCCAGCTCGTCCTGGGGAAGCCTGAGGTGTACACAGGCCAGCTCAGAGCCAGCATGAGCCACCATCAGCGGCTCTACTCCGAGCTCCAGACCTTTTGATCCCGACCCTATAACCTTGCGTCATGGGGACGTAAAACGCGCAGGTTATGTCCAAGAATTATTCTCACTGTAATGAGCCTGTCAACTCACACAGCGCCTATAGCAGTAACACACTCTGAATAAGATGGATTCTATATTATTTTTCACTTTAATGCAGGGTATTCTGGCACAAAGGGGTAAAAGGAGTATGTGGGTGTAGAAAGAGCATTTACATTTATATACTGTAGGTATCTGTTACATTTACAAAAGTTAGTGAAAATTGGGGTTAAGGAGAAGCCCGCATTTTGACCGCTTACCGCTTATCACAGGGCGGCACGGTGGCTGAGTGGATAGCACTCTCGCCTCTCAGCAAGAAGGTCCTGGGTTCGAATCCTGGTCGGACCAGGGCCTTTCTGAGTGGAGTTTGCATGTTCTCCCCGTGTCTGCGTAGGTTTCCTCCAGGTACTCCGGTTTCACCTACCACTAAAAATATGTCCAATAGTTCTAGCATGCGCCTCCTGTACTGGCGACCCGGCTCCCATCTCTGTGTGGAGTGAGAGACAAATGCCCAAAATTGACAATTGTAAACCGCTTTGAGACTCAGATCTGCAGTGAAAAGGCGGTATATAAATAAAGACTACTAAAGACTACTTACTTATTCTTGTTAATTTGGTCTTTACCTAAAGTGAGAATTATTGGCTTGCAGTCACGTAACGCATCAACATCCGGTTAATGAAGTGGTGGTCAGGCCAGCAAAAACAGCTGGTGATATGCAGAGAAAATGTGACTCTTCTTGTATTTTTCTGGCTTTTTTGGATGTTTCATGACACTTTGAAGCTACTGTGGTTAAAGTTCTAACTCATCATTCTAACAATATGCACAAGGCAGTATTTTTCCACAACATGCTTTGGTTATCTACACGATCCTAGACTGTCCCATCTCACTTTAGATTCTAATTCTCGAGATCGATACTCGATCTCTAAAAAGTAAAAGTGTGTAACGGTGTAGATCCTAATGCGTTATCCAAGAATGATTTGATTTGATTTGATTTGAGAGTTAGAAAAATATCTGCCAGTTCAGTTCCCTGATATCTCAAACTATCTAGTGTTACAATCAAGCTTTTGCACTTTAAACAATTGAAGGCTTGGAAAAACATGGATGCTACAACGTTTTCGTCTGTCTGTGGGTTAAGGAACTCGGAGTTAAGGTCCTGAAGGACAAATGTGTGCTGTGTTATTATCAGGTCAAACATTCAGTGTTTATCTAAAACGCAAACTTATACCTGAAAGTTAATCCACAAAAATATGGAGATGTAATAACTGCACATGGCTGGGTAAATAAATAATCCTTCGATGTAAAAGCGTTTGCTAGGGAAATTTTAGCGAGCCATTTTTCCTGCGTCTTTTCGTAAAGTCCTTAGTGCGAGGCTCTTTATAATCTCTTCACGAGGAACCCTAAAGTATCCTTTGTCGGTTTCGCAACTCGATCGGTTAGAACAAACTAAAGCAACACACGCAAAAGGCATATTCAAACACGCTGCTATAGTAAAGAACTAGCTCGGCCGACCACCACTTCTCGATACGCATAAGTAATGAGGCGGTCGTGGCGTCAATGGCAAGCAAGCAATAGGACCAATCCATCTGTCAATATCATGCTTCATCCACATTGCAGATAATGATCAAATATATTGTGATAAATGCTTGATTCAAATGGATTTAATCTTGATTTGAGAACATCTTGTGTGTATTGTAACTTGTATGTGACAGTGTTTGTGAAAAAGAGTTTGCCTCAGAGGACAATAAATCTCTATCTTTCTATCTATCATTTTGAGTTCCTGGTTTATTCAAGTGCAGATACTATTCATTTCTCATTCCAAGGCGGGATTTTTTTAATACAAGACTTTTTTGCTTGTACCACTAGCAACTCTTGTTCAATACAAATGCAAATGATTTTTTTTTTTAACTTTATTTCACTTTTTGCAAAAAGTCTAATGCATTCTTCCCTCACTGTGAACAAGAGATATTTCAACTCCTCCACTTCAGGAAGGAGCTTTGCCCCCACCTGGTCAAGGCACGGACTCTCTACCACCTCAAATCTAACTCACAATGGCAATGTTTGTCAGAAATTAAAATCACAGTGAGATATTTTGCCCAAACGCTGTAGTGTAATCAGAGCGGTCCTGGACAAAGGCCTGGTGTCTGTCAGATTCCACATGGATCACGTCTCTGCACAACAATGAAAGCAAAGACCGGGACCAGCTGCTGCCCAGACCTCTGCACAGACCTCTGGACTCGGACTCTCCACAGTCTCTTCTTTGTGCTGCGCTGAGGTCGTGTCACGTCCTACCATCAACAGCACATGGTTTGAAGAGGATGAGCATCGGAACAACACAGACTGTCTCATGTGTCTACTATAAGACACTTATTATTCTCAGTCTAGTCTCTCTCTTGGTTTTGTCTGGTCTGTCTCTGGTCTGTCTCTGGTCTGTCTCTGGTCTGTCTCTGGTCTGTCTCTGGTCTGTCTCTGGTCTCTCTCTGGTCTGTCTCTGGTCTGTCTCTGGTCTGTCTCTGGTCTGTCTCTGGTCTGTCCCTGGTCTGTCTCTGGTCTGTCTCTGGTCTGTCTCTGGTCTCTCTGTTGTGTTATGTCTGTATTTGTCTGTGCACACTGGGGACTTTTTGCTAATGTATTCCAATGTGGTCTTTTTACTGCAAATGGCAAATAAACTGAATCTGAATCTCTGGGCTCTCTCTCTCTGGTCTCTCTCTCACTGGTCTCTCTCTCACTGGTCTCTCTCTCACTGGTCTCTCTCTCACTGGTCTCTCTCTCACTGGTCTCTCTCTCTCTGGTCTCTCTCTCTCTCTCTGGTCTCTCTCTCTGGTCTCTCTCTCTGGTCTCTCTCTCTGGTCTCTCTCTCTCTGGTCTCTCTCTGGTCTCTCTCCCTCATTGCTCTCTGGTCTCTCTCACAGTGTAATAGAATAAACATTATTTTTAGGATCCGCAAATAAAAGATTGGATTTTAAAGAATTTACTTTTATTTAAGTCTGGTTGGTCTCTCCCTGGTCTCTCCCTGGCCTCTCCGTGGCCTCTATCTGGCCTCTCGCTGGTCCCTCGCTGGTCCCTCGCTGGTCCCTCGCTGGTCCCTCGCTGGTCCCTCGCTGGCCTCTCGCTGGCCTCTCTCTGGCCTCTCTCTGGCCTCTCTCTGGCCTCTCTCTGGCCTCTCTCTGGCCTCTCTCTGGCCTCTCTCTGGCCTCTCTCTGGCCTCTCTCTGGCCTCTCTCTGGCCTCTCTCTGGCCTCTCTCTGGCCTCTCTCTGGCCTCTCTCTGGTCCCTCGCTGTTCTCTCGCTGGTCTCTTTCGTGCCTCCCTCTGGCCTCTCTCTGCTCTCTCCTCTGCTCTCTCCTCGGCTCTCTCCTCTGCTCTCTCCTCTGCTCTCTCCTCTGCTCTCTCCTCTGCTCTCTCTCGGCTCTCTCTCGGCTCTCTCTCGGCTCTCTCTCGGCTCTCTCTCGGCTCTCTCTCGGCTCTCTCTCGGCTCTCTCTCGGCTCTCTCTCGGCTCTCTCTCGGCTCTCTCTCGGCTCTCTCTCGGCTCTCTCCTCGGCTCTCTCCTCGGCTCTCTCTCGGCTCTCTCTCTCGGCTCTCTCTCGGCTCTCTCCTCGGCTCTCTCCTCGGCTCTCTCTCGGCTCTCTCTCGACTCTCTCCTCGGCTCTCTCCTCGGCTCTCTCCTCGGCTCTCTCCTCGGCTCTCTCCTCGGCTCTCTCCTCGGCTCTCTCCTCGGCTCTCTCCTCGGCTCTCTCCTCGGCTCTCTCCTCGGCTCTCTCTCGGCTCTCTCCTCTCGGCTCTCTCTCGGCTCTCTCTCGGCTCTCTCCTCGGCTCTCTCCTCGGCTCTCTCTCCTCGGCTCTCTCCTCGGCTCTCTCCTCGTCTCTCTCTCGGCTCTCTCTCGGCTCTCTCTCGGCTCTCTCTCGGCTCTCTCTCGGCCTCTCTCTCTCGGCTCTCTCCTCGGCTCTCTCCTCGGCTCTCTCTCGGCTCTCTCTCGGCTCTCTCTCGGCTCTCTCTCGGCTCTCTCTCGGTCTCTCTCTCGGCTCTCTCTCGGCTCTCTCTCGGCTCTCTCTCGGCTCTCTCTCGGCTCTCTCTCGGCTCTCTCTCGGCTCTCTCTCTGGCTCTCTCTCGGCTCTCTCTCGGCTCTCTCTCTGCTCTCTCTCTGCTCTCTCTCTGCTCTCTCTCTGGCCTCTCTCTCTGGCCTCTCTCTGGCCTCTCTCTGGCCTCTCTCTGCTCTCTCTCTGGCCTCTCTCTGGCCTCTCTCTGGCCTCTCTCTGGCCTCTCTCTGGCCTCTCTCTGGCCTCTCTCTGGCCTCTCTCTGGCCTCTCTCTGGCCTCTCTCTGGCCTCTCTCTGGCCTCTCTCTGGCCTCTCTCTGGCCTCTCTCTGCTCTCTCTCTGCTCTCTCTCTGCTCTCTCTCTGCTCTCTCTCTGCTCTCTCCCAGGTCTCTCTGCTCTCTCTGGTATATACTGGGAATTTACAGTATGACACATAGGACTAATAATAATTACATGGTTAGTACATTTTAAAATCTCAATATTGATCTAAAACTATTTAATAAAATATTTGAGGAAGTCAGATTATCAGGTGGCATTTGCAGGATGGGTCAAATGCAGAGGATAAAGTTAGTAATACCAACAATACTAACATTTAAACCCTCATCCAGGAGATCATGGACACATGGAACGGTTTGAATGAATATGAGATGGATTACTTTTCTCCTAGTTTTACACCATTCAAGAGACAGTTTGTGAAAAACTTTTGAAGAAGACAAAAACTACAGAGGAAAGCATGCTGAGAACTATAATGGAATCTCTGTAATCAAATAGAGAAAATAGTCTAGAATATTTCAACAAGGTAAGGTACTGTGCCATAATTGTACGTATGATTTTAGTCATATATTTATTTATTATTCTTGTGACAAGGTTCGAGTGGCGACAATCTCTATGTCACATCTGTCGAAACAGGATTAAACTTTTTTTTTTTAACTCTATTAAATTATAAATGTGTTGTTGGGAAGACCACATCCACCGTATTTGTAAGTTTTAGAGAAATGAAAAGTCAAATCTGTCAATACTGGCTTTGATAAGAAGGATATGATTCTCAGCCATTTCTACACACACTGCAAAAAGGGATTATAAATAAAATAAAAAATAAAAATGCTCAAATTTGGCATAATGTATCTTGATTTGAAAACATTTGGACCGCTCTTAAACAAGATTTTCCAATGGGAGAAAAAAAATGATCTGGTTTTGAAATAATAAGAAATCTCTCCCTAGGAATGAGAAAATAAAGCAACAGATCTTGAAATGAATGGCTTTGTCCGATTGGCAAAATTGGCATTTTGAATAAACATAAAAATCACTAAATTCAAGCATCATTTAGTATATTATTGAATAATAATATAATAATAATGATAAACGACCTTGTTCCAATGTAATATTACAATCTTGGGCAGCTCTTTCTTATCTGGCAGGACTTTTTCTGTCATTCAACAACAGAGATAAAGAGGTTACAGGAGAAAAAGAGATAAAAGGCTAAAGTTTATCTTCTTGCTCTTGTCTGAATTGTTGAATGAAATGTCAATGGGTTATAGACACGTAACAGGAAAAAAAAACCTGATTTTAACCAGTATATTAGTCCAAATGCAGAGAGCAAAGTGAATGGGTCTGAAAGCAGACGATAGTGGTGGTACTAGTTGTAGCATGAATGATGAAATGAGATGCTTTGGTAGTATTGTATGACCTAAAGGTAAATAGAGGGATTTGTCTACTTCCAGGTGGATCATCATTACGATTGGTCTTCCCAGTTGTCAATCATTTTGGTGATACGTGCTCGTCAAATAAGACCAGAGAGTTTTGTTCAAAAAGTGCAGAGGGCGGTTCTTTCCTAAAATTCGGGAACATACCGTTAACAACAAGGCAATCCCAATTTGTAGCCAATTCTTACACTGCAAAAAAAAATCAACTATAAGGTCATTAATGCTTGTGTTTTTATTTTATCTTTGAGTAAATTTTGACTGCCTTAAAAGAAGATTGGCCAATGGGACAAAGCCATTTATTTCAAGAACTGTTGCTTTAATTTTTCTTTCCAAAGAAGACATTTCATGTATATTTTTAAAACATAATTATTCTTTGTCCCATTGGTAAATCTTGTTTTAATGCAGTCAAAATGTGTTCAAATTAAGATACATTTTGCAATGAACGTGTATTTGAAAGCAGTTGGATATAGTAGTAGCATGAAGAATAAAATTAGATGCCTTGATTGTATTAAATTAACAACAAGGCAATGAGTTTGTTGAATGTGAAAATGATAATATGAATGGACATGGGTCTGCTGCAGTTGAAGCCAGGGCTCCACACCCACACACACACACACCTTCCTTGCCTGGTCATTGTCCTCCATCTGGGTCAGGTCTCTGCCGCTGGCCTGGGCGATCCGCTTCCCCGACACCAGGTTCCCCACCATCACCGACGCAGGGCCGATCTCTGCAACACACCAGGAAGATTCTACAGTTTAGATCAGGCCCCAGAAAATGAAAACGAACACAGCCCTAACCCGAGCCAAGGTGAAGGATTTATAGGATTCAGCATTGAAATACTTTTTTAAATTCTAGGGATATCTCTCTCTGGTCTCTCTCTCTGGTCTCTCTCTCTGATGTCTCTCTCTGATGTCTCTCTCTGATGTCTCTCTCCTCTCTCTGGCCTCTCTCTCTCTGGCCTCTCTCTCTCTGGCCTCTCTCTCTCTGGCCTCTCTCTATCTGGCCTCTCTCTATCTGGCCTCTCTCTATCTGGCCTCTCTCTATCTGGCCTCTCTCTATCTGGCCTCTCTCTATCTGGTCTCTCTCTCTCTGGCCTCTCTCTCTCTGGCCTCTCTCTCTCTGGCCTCTCTCTATCTGGCCTCTCTCTATCTGGCCTCTCTCTATCTGGCCTCTCTCTATCTGGCCTCTCTCTCTCTGGCCTCTCTCTCTCTGGCCTCTCTCTCTCTGGCCTCTCTCTATCTGGCCTCTCTCTATCTGGCCTCTCTCTATCTGGCCTCTCTCTATCTGGCCTCTCTCTATCTGGCCTCTCTCTTTCTGGCCTCTCTCTATCTGGCCTCTCTCTTTCTGGCCTCTCTCTTTCTGGTCTCTCTCACTGTGGTCTCTCTCACTGTGGTCTCTCACTGTGGTCTCTCACTGTGGTCTCTCACTGTGGTCTCTCACTGTGGTCTCTCACTGTGGTCTCTCACTGTGGTCTCTCACTGTGGTCTCTCACTGTGGTCTCTCACTGTGGTCTCTCACTGTGGTCTCTCACTGTGGTCTCTCACTCTGGTCTCTCACTCTGGTCTCTCACTCTGGTCTCTCACTCTGGTCTCTCACTCTGGTCTCTCACTCTGGTCTCTCACTCTGGTCTCTCACTCTGGTCTCTCACTCTGGTCTCTCACTCTGGTCTCTCACTCTGGTCTCTCACTCTGGTCTCTCACTCTGGTCTCTCACTCTGGTCTCTCTCTCTGGTCTCTCTCTCTGGTCTCTCTCTCTGGTCTCTCTCTCTGGTCTCTCTCTCTGGTCTCTCTCTCTGGTCTCTCTCTCTGGTCTCTCACTCTGGTCTCTCACTCTGGTCTCTCACTCTGGTCTCTCACTCTGGTCTCTCACTCTGGTCTCTCACTCTGGTCTCTCACTCTGGTCTCTCACTCTGGTCTCTCACTCTGGTCTCTCACTCTGGTCTCTCACTCTGGTCTCTCACTCTGGTCTCTCACTCTGGTCTCTCACTCTGGTCTCTCACTCTGGTCTCTCACTCTGGTCTCTCACTCTGGTCTCTCACTCTGGTCTCTCACTCTGGTCTCTCACTCTGGTCTCTCACTCTGGTCTCTCACTCTGGTCTCTCACTCTGGTCTCTCACTCTGGTCTCTCACTCTGGTCTCTCACTCTGGTCTCTCACTCTGGTCTCTCACTCTGGTCTCTCACTCTGGTCTCTCACTCTGGTCTCTCACTCTGGTCTCTCACTCTGGTCTCTCACTCTGGTCTCTCACTCTGGTCTCTCACTCTGGTCTCTCTCTCTGGTCTCTCTCTCTGGTCTCTCTCTCTGGTCTCTCTCTCTGGTCTCTCTCTCTGGTCTCTCTCTCTGGTCTCTCTCTCTGGTCTCTCTCTCTGATCTCTCTCTGATCTCTTTATGTCTGGCCTCTCTCTTGATTTTGTTTTTTAAAATAAATTAAAATCTAAAATCTCTCTGGTGTCTCTCTCCTCTCTCTGGTCTCTCTCTCTCTGGCGTCTCTCTCTCTGGCCTCTCTCTCTCTGATCTCTCTCTGTCTGATCTCTCTATGTCTGGCCTCTCTCTTGATTTTGTTTTAGAAAATAAATAAAAAAATGAAAAAGTCAGTTCAAATGTATGATCTAATAGAGTTGCTGGAGTATATTTGACCGACAGCTGTGGTCGTACCCGGCTGCTTCTGCCGTGGTTTGGGCAGGTTGGTGACACAGGTGTGGGGGCACATGAGAACGTTACAGGGGTGAAGCGCCCCCTCCAGGAACAGCTGCTTGGTCTCTGACAGGTGGATCCCGCCCAGAGGGGTCTTGGGGAGGGTGTTGGAGGGCACCAGGGCCAGGCAGTACACGCCCACCTGGTGGATACCATCGATGGCCTGAGCACAAACACAAACCATCAGCCAGAGTGAGAGAGCGAAGGTGACCGGCTGAACATGGAAATAACATTATATTGGAAGAAATACAAGTACCTCGGGTTGTCCAAAGAATCGCAAAACCTACATATTAATATAAAATGTACTATTGTGGTAAAGTGGTCAGAGTAAGTTTATGGTCTTATTTTGACTCCTTGGTTTGGAACACTCGTTTATTGTCCAAATAGATTGGTGAATGAGTAAAGTCCTGGAAGCTAATGGTTAAGCCGGGGGTTGACAACCTGCGGCCCTCGAGAGCCTCTTCAAAAATATCTGAAAATGGTGCTGCAATGAAAATAAAAATTAAGTAATCATGGATGCATATTATGTACAGTATTTTGAGCCTTTACTTAGTCATTCTGATAGCAGCTAACATAGCTAACATGGCTAATACAGCCTGTTGCCTTTATTTAAGCCTTATTCATTTTCTGTGACTCCAGACATATTTGTTTTTAGTTTTTTTGTAAAATCTGGCTCTTTGAACCTTTTGAGTTGCTGACCCTAACCCTAACCCAACAGCCTGGGTTAAGCTGTTCAACACCTCATTATTAAATCACGTTGTGACCAGTTAAAACAGTCGCCTATTTGCTACAACATGAAAACCTGCCTAAATAACACATGTCGTTTGTCCCAACAGAAAGTTAATGTAAAATACTGTGAACAAATCAGTCCACAACATTCTGCTTTCATCTAGTTAGAAAACATTATGCCTCTCTATGGCTCTCTGGTAAGAAAGATCCCTGAGAGTCACAGCTTAACACTTTGAAACTTCTCTACCTGAAAAAGCTGATCTAAAAATGGTTGTATATTTTCTGGTATGAAAGGTAGGTACCCCAGCATTAAAAAGAGACATCAAACATAGAAATCAAGGTGTTTTATGCAAAGTTCACTTTTTGGCTTGAAATAACAAGTATGCAGTTTCCCACTGCCCTGTCCCATGTTTGTGTTCAGTCTAATCACAAACTGTAAACCCACGTCCAGAAAACAAAATAAAATGTTCGCTGTGATCATGTTAGACATCTCTTTCATCACAGTGAAGTCCCCAGCTGCTCTGCGTTTTTCTCGGGCCTCTTTGCTGACGTTCTTTGACAGAGAGCTCACAATCACTGACGTGGGGGAAAAAAAAAGAAAACACACGTGGTTCCGATTGAAGTGGGGAAAAGTCAGAGCGGTTTTATGGAGCTGCCGCAGCCTCAAACAGAGCGGGTAGAGTTTATCAGGAGAGCATTATGTTACTACAGGAGAGACGGACTGTGGACATGTGATACGCAGGTGGCTTTGTTCTAATGATAAACCCGAAAGTACATGGATATAGCAGAGCGTTGGGCTTTAGAATAACTTATGATATGGTTTACGAGCTGCTCCCATTTCTAAAGTTACAAAGAAATGGGTTAAATTTGATCTTGTATGTTGAACGATAAGCGATAGTTTCTTATCCCCCCAGACAGGCCTGTGTAAAGTGGTTCACATGGTCCAAGGCTGGATTAAGGAGTTTGGAGGGATGAGGATTTTAAAGCCTACACTTGTAGCAGATAAAGAAGGTAAAACTATATAGAATACGTTGTTTTATGATGGGAAAAGCAACATGGGGGACTCAGTATTTGCACAACAATGTGAGCTGCAAGCATAGACTGTATTAAGATTGACAAAGCCAACCTCCTAACTCAATGACACCCAATAGGGAAGTGCTCATGGACAAAGTTTTGCTCCTATAGAGGTTTTACACCAACGTGTGACCTACATAGCAACCGTTACTACGCCGCCATGTTAGTAGTAGTAGTAGTAGTTTATTTTCTTCAGGCAATATGTACATTAGATCTCAGGTCATAAGTTTTCAAAGATTGTATATACTGCACATATTACAATAAAAAAAAGACGGCAGTATATGGGAAACTGTCTCATTTTTCAAAATACCGGCCATAATAAACTTTTTCTCTCGTATAGTGTGATGGCAGTGTTCCTTATACTGCCATCTAAAATGGCGGCATAGTAACGGTTGCTGTGCAGGTCATGTGGTGGTGTAAAACCTCTATGGACTTACCTTGAAAAGTAACCTCCTCTAGTTCAGTAAGCATTGTGTGCTTAAACAGCCATGGTATAGTGCTCTCTGTGATCGTGGTGTATATATTTTTTGACATTGACTTTGTAAAACTTGATATGAGCTAAAGATTGATCAGATTGAAAACTCCAGCTTGCCTCGATAACAGTTAGTTTGTATCAGCCCTGTTACGGCTTGTTGCTAACACTGTCGCAACAAATGCCCATATAAGGAAAATGGCTCCAGCAAGCGAAAGTTCAAATCGGCTTCGTAGGTCATTTGGCAAAAGACATTTCCAAAACAACATTTGGAGACAATACTTTTGGTGTAAAAGGCAGAAAACTTCATATCCATGATGAATTCTGAGGATTCTTATGGTGCAGGTATACTTCAGGCGCATCGAACATGTTCAAAGTAAAAGTAGTTCTTGATCTAGGTTCAAGTACATTTACAAAAGAGACAAACAAAATATCTCAGTAGCAATTTGAAAAAAACACAGCTTGTCTCAATTCTTCCCATTTTTGACTCGGGTACAGTCATTTTGTGAGGGGATTCTCCAAGATCAAAAAGAGAAAAACATTGAGTACGGTCTCCTCTTATCTTACAGTGTTGCCCCTTCAGAGAAAAACAAAAAAAATCGTCAAAATGAAGTTTATGAGCCACATCTGTTCCCAGTTTAGATAGAGCCTGTGTTTGGTGCTGTTAAAAGAGAAGTGTATCAAACTAAGGCAAAGGGCAGAGCAGGACCCAGTCCATGAAGCACAGTGTACAGCGACACCAGAGATGACTGAATTATTATATTATTGTGCAGTATTTTAAGGTAAGGTGGTTCATCTGATCATTATACTGTTGTTCTGTAAAATCTGCAAAACATACAGGGCGTTTTTTTGTTGTTGTGTGTTTTGTTAAGCACTTTGAGTGGCCTTGTGTATGAATTGTGCTATACAAAATAAACTTGCCTTGGAAAGGATTCGTACATATATGAAAATATAGATAGAGAAAAATGTATCTTTTTTGAGCACATTGTGACTGCCTTAAAACAAGATTTACCATTTACAGTAGCTCAGTTGGTAGAGCATCGGCCTTTGGGCCTGAAGGTCGTAGGTTCGAATCCACCACGAGACCTACTTCACAACTCCCACTGATGTCTGCTGTCGTTGTGTCCTTGGGCAAGACACTTAACCCCACTTTGCCTGAAGTCCCCACTGAAAGATCTCGGCTCCTGTGGACTCACCACCTGCAGGAGGATCAGTGAGGGGCTGGTGCTCAGTGACAGGGTGCAGCACTGACTGCCACCCCCCGACCCAGAAATGGATTAAGGGGAAGAAAATGGATGGATGGAAATGGATAAGCCTTTGTTATGGATTAGTGCTTTCCAAAATGTCGAGTTTTTAACGTATTAACGTGAAATCAACATCAACAGCGTTTTTTTTTTTAAAAGCACTATTCATTTGTGTGACCTACTTCAAGTGTAGTTTTTATTTTTATTTTTTTTAGCTGTGACCACGGTTAGTAGCGCTAGAAAAACTACAGAAACCAGAAACCACCTGCAGCACGCGGCTCATCCACTGAAAGCTGTCTTCCTCGGTGGAGTCCGGCCTCTGCTCCGCCACCACCACGATCCTCTCATCGTGCAGCACCGTGATGGAGAACACTGCGATCCTGGACGCACAACGACAACCTCTCAGCCAACGCACACACCGACTCCACCATAACAAACAACACAACCTTATACATAGTTCCTACATGACGTCACTACATACGGGGATTTGCCGACCCGGCGCCATTTGTGTTGGCATTCTGTGGGCAAAACAATAGAAAAAGAAGCTGAAACGTGTTAATGTCGTGATAAAGTTGAAAATGGTCATCTCCTGCTGGGTCAATGGATGTTCAAATCGTGCCGGAGGTTCCGTTAAACTTGGATTTTACAGTATACCCATCATTAGACTTCATGAATGTGAGAAGACTAAGCTTTTGTCAGAACAACCACGGAGGTTATGGCTTGCGAAGATAAACAGGCAAGAAACTCCCTCAAAACACGCAAGAATATGCTCGGAGCACTTTGTGTCAGGTGCGTATCGTATCTTATAATGTGTTGACAGACGTAATTTACTCAGTACTAACTTGTGTATGCTGATAGCTGGTAACTTGAGAGTTTCATTATTTAGCGTTAGATTACTTTATTATGAGGAGGATCGGTGTCGCGTCCGAGGCTCTCGAGGGCAACGTAAATGTATTAAATAGATAATAATAGTTCTATGGTGGGCTAAAACAATGTTCACGAACAGCATTGCTTCTGTAAAAAGATCTGTGTCATAAAATAAACTGCTCTTTACGCCTGGAAAAATCAGTTGCCCACCATTCACCAAAACATACGGTCAAAAACGCGGAAATAAACAATAACAGCAATCCAGAGTGTCCGTGTGGCATTAGCATTAATTAAATTAATTGTTAATATAATTAAAATAATTAAATGGAGCTCCAACTGGTATTGAATCTAAAGTTTTTGAGAAATGTTTGCATTGCTTGTTAATTTTTGCTGCATAATTTGATCAAATATGTAAAACATGTCCGTAGCACGTTAAACTGTGGTGCCATTGTATTAATATACAATTATTTGCTCAAAAGTTGCCCTTTTTTCCAATTTGCGTTTGAATATCTACATTTATTCTCATTCTTCTGTTTAATGGAATGCACAAACACAGCAGCGTGCCATCAAAGATGGCGTCTCCGAGGAGGTCATGTGACATTCATTGGTCTGTGGGAACTATGTATTGAACGAGTGAAGGACCATCCATGCGGCAGATACATCGGTACATGTAGCTAGAGAATGTATGTGTAGCTGGGGAAAGTGATATAAGTGTTTTGTGATAAAGAAAACACATATTATTTAAAAAAGCCTATTCAAAATACTTCTGATTTGATAAAGGCGATAACAGCCGTGACACAGCAGGTCATCAGATTATGTGGTATCTTTTTCACTTACCATTTGTAAATATTAATAAATGATTTCATACAATTCAGTTAAAACAATAGGCTTTTGGTCCCTTTTCTATCTCTCCATTTGAACAAAAATCAAAGAACATCATTGATGCATTTAAGAATATAATGTATTGAAGAATATTTTATTTGTAAAATTCTGTACATAAATAAAAAAAAAAATCTAAATTACAAAAAATGCTTAGTTTTAATATTTAAATTTAAAATATATTTATTTTTAAACCTTTTTTACTACACACCTCTAAATGTAACTATATGTTTTAATATTGTGATGTTTGTTATCGCACCAAAATGTCCTTGATTGTGAATTTGATGTTCAATGGCAATAAAAACATTCAGATACTATTATCTGTATGCACAGCAGTCCGCATACCCCCGTTTGAGAAACATTGCAGCATTTACATAGAGTACAACACAAGGCACAAAGGCCATGTGACTCACCTCCCTCTGTAAACAAACTTCATTGGCTCCACCGCGAGCGCCGTGGCAACGATGTCGTCTGCGTTGTGTCTCCGCCCCCCGACCACCATGAGTCCGTCCATCTTCCCCGCCACAAAGACCAGACCGGCCGGACCCACGAAGCCCAGCAACCCGGTCCTGGTGAAGGGAACGTCCCCCAGAGGAGAACCGACGTCGGACAGCGGGAGCACCTGAACACACGCAATGCATTATGGGAAATGTAGGAAAAAGGGGTCACCAAATGAACTCACATGTCCAGCAGAAATTCTATCACAACAGCTTCAATTCATTTTTGTATAGTTCTAAAGCTACAAACAAACTTAAACGTCAGACGTGTGAGACTGTGGCTGCAATGAGAGCCACAATATATTTGAACAGAAATAGTGGATAAAAGTACAATCTCCATCATGTTTACAACAGTATCCTCACAGTTTGGTCAAAGGAAAGACAGCCATTTACGAAAACAAAGACAAAACGGAAAGTAATCATCAACGGTTATGTGCCACAAGCTGCAGGAGGATGTAAAGTTATTCATAAGCGACAGGACTCACTTCGAAGGTGTTCTTGGTCATCCCAGAGAGGCCGTAGTAGGATGTTCCCGTGGCCGGAGTACAGACGCACAGCTCTCCGATCTCGTCCGTCTTACAGAGCAGAGGGAGGCCTTCAGGCTTCACCGCACACATGAGAGCTGCAGGGACAACGTATCAGTGCAGCATCCTCAATGGACTTTTGAATTTTAATACTTTATCGTGAGCGATTAAAAATATAACATTCTGCGTCATAAAGCCAGCACTGTACCCACACACTTGGGTAACATATATACAGAATGAAGAATAATACAGAACAAAAAAGGTACAGGGAGAATCTGTACAACAGATATTTTTTTATATATATTTTTTTATATAAGGCTCAAAAAGGAGTCGGAAGAAAACTCATGTGTTCCCACCCCCTGTTCCTAAATGTCTTTACTTAGCTTAGTTCCTGGTGTCTTTCAATAGTTTCTCGTATAACGAAGGTTACGAGTGTAACTATAGTTCTATGAATCCCGGATGACTGCCAGAGGGCGGTGCATAGCACTGAGTGACAGAGCGCCTCTGACGGTCAGGAGGGATGAAATAGAACGAAGGTTACGTATGTAACCTCAAAGAACAGAAGCCAGAGGGTTTAAAGTTTAGTGAGTGAGGTGTCTGATATGAAGTCTTATTTGACACATAATGGCTATTGATGATTGTCTCACCTCCTGGCATAACGGAGCCCACGTCCTGCAGCGTCAGCACCGACAGCTTCTCCTCAGAGTCCACCCGGATCACCCCATGACTGAGACCGGACATAGACAACACGCCTCGCCCGGGGGGGTCACTGTCCTCCTCCACCGGCCTGAAAATATAAAATATACATGTGTTCAATAACAATAGGAAAAGCAAGGCATTTTTATTTGTATAGCACAGTTAATACACAAGGCAACTCAAAGTGATTAGATTCAGATTCATTTATTCGCCATTTGCAGTAAAACCACATTGGATTTGGATTTGTAGAAGTCCCCAGTGTGCACAAGACAGATTAACAAAACAAGATAGAAACAGTCACACAAGGCATTCAAATAAATATAAATAATCACAGTCCATTAGAAAGAGAGAAGGTACAATCCTCAGAACTGTCAGGGTATCATATTTTCAGGAAGACTGTTCCAGATTGTAGCGGCATAAATCTAAAATGCTGCCTCCCCATGTTTAGTCCTGACTCTGGGCACCTGCAGGAGACCAGTCCCTGTGCTCCTCAGAGTTGGTTCATATGGCACCAACGGCACAATACTGTTCACTGACAATGAAATGTGATTATGAATGAGGTCATGGAATATTAAAGAAGACATAATATGCTTCTGTCTGCAATAACAATAATTATTATCTCAATAAAATCTCAATATTGAAACTCTTTGTTCGAAAAGAGACGAGTCAGTCAGCGCACTTGTGTTCACTGTAAAGCTCAGTGCTCTTTCTGCAACGTAAGTGAAAACATGGACCCCTAAAATGTTTCTTTCCTAAACGCACAACCCTCTGACACTTCACAGCCTCAGTCCTGCGCATCACAGAACTAACTCCTCTGATACAGGATGATAAAGTGCATTTATATTTGAAATGTGAAAAATGACAATATTATAATTCCATCAGAATTGTAAAAGTGACAAAACGTTTTGAAAAATTGGCAAAAAGTTGTAATCCTCGAGCTACAATCTACATGTTTTGTTACTGGCAGTACATTTTAAGGATTTTCTCAAGAAGGTGAACAACTGTGTGACACTAAAATAGACCTGGCTTTTGAAAAAATAAATAAAAAAATACCACATGGTAAAAAGTCAAAGTGAAATCCATTCAAATATTTTACTAAAGACAATATTTTAAAACCCAATATTTTACCTATATGTTTTTGCTAATTATTTACAGTATAAATACAAATATGAGAAACATTTGAATGTAGTCTTAAATATCTGTGTGTATAGTTTATATACAATATCGGAAAAAAAAAAATCATATTTTTGTTATTTCATTAAAGATAAATAAATAATTAAAAACAACAAAACAAGATTTGCCGATAGGAAAAGCAGAATCAAGAAATGTCCCAGTTGAAATGAGGAAAAAAATTGCAAGAACTTTTGAAATGAGACTAAATGGCTTCGTCAGAATGTACTAAAATTAAGACAAAAACCTCATATTTGATGATATTTTGCAGTGTAAATTCAGGTTTCATTACCATCTATAACCATCTACAAAACTTGAGATTGGCACCTTTAGATTTTTGGCACAGACCTAAACTGAGGGTTTATTGGCGTAAAACAATAATCTATATTTAAAACAGGTGACATTCCACTAAACTAAGCCAAAATTAGCCATAATTATCCCCGTCACTTCCACTTTAACTAGTGTGTAATTTCAGGTGGAACGATTAAAAATAGTTAGTGCCATTGAATCAGTCTTTTCCAATAGTTTAACTCTTACCTGCTCTCACTTCTATCCCAAATGAACTACTTTATGAAGTTAAGAAACCATTTGAACGCACACAGTCCCACGTCACATAAACAGCTTTTTAGTGTTTTTAATCAAACGTCTTCTTATTGGCGTTTTATGACCACCTTCACGGTCCTTTTACGACATCTCACGACTTTACAGAGGACTCCTGCGCTGCGAGAACGACAGGATTTATGGCATGTAAATGTGGGGTTGTGATGAAAAGAGCAGCTTTACTACAGAAGCCACATGCAGTAAAGCACTACTTTAATGTGGCGCTTTCATATGAGCAGGATGTCAGTGAGCCTGGTGCATTGTGGGACGTGTGCTCTTACACATACGCCCTCTGCTTCGTACATGTTAAAGACGTTTACGGTTTTGTTTCAACGTGAGTTTGACTTGGCGTGTGCTCCACCTCCTCCCAAGCTGGTACCTACTGTGACTATAGGTACCAAACTCTGGAACACTAGGTGGCGATTGGACTCTCTGGACTCTCTCTGGACTCTCTCTGGACTCTCTCTGGACTCTCTCTGGACTCTCTCTGGACTCTCTCTGGACTCTCTCTGGACTCTCTCTGGACTCTCTCTGGACTCTCTCTGGACTCTCTGGACTTTCTAAATCAGATTATTCTCCGGGAGCTTTACGTGTCAATCTACATTCCCTCCCTCACCTCTGGTCATGAGCTTTTGGTAATGACCGAAAGAACGAGATCGCGAATACAAGCGGTCAAAATGAGCGTCATCCACACGGGAGGAGCTTGGAGTAGAGCCGCTGCTTCTCCACCTGGGTACGTTCCACTGGGAGGAGACCCCGGGGAAGACCCAGGACTCGCTGGAGGGACTGTGTCTCTCTCTGGCCTGGGTACGCCTCGGGGTCCCCCTGGATGAGCTGGACGAAGTACGTGTAGAGAGGGAAGTTTAGGCCTCTCTGCTTAGACTGCTGCCCCCGCGACCCGGCAACGGATGAAGCGGAAGAAAATGGATGGATGGATATTCTTGGTAATCTAATTCTATTGTAAATGTATTCAATTCTGTATTTTAATATTGTGTGTGATGTTTTTAACCCATTGTAAGGTGTTCTTGGGTGTCTCGAAAGGTGCCGTGAAACAAAACTTATTATTATTATTATTATTATTGTTATTATTATAATTATTATCTTAGTCTAGTTCCGTCTGAGGGTCCAAACAACAATGATAAAACTCGACTAAAGCCGTAAGACTAAGTCTGTGCCTCTGTTTTGTTGTGTGGAGGTACATAAGATGTCTCACTGCGTGTAACGTGTATGTGACAATAATAAAAAACTAAATTAAAGTAGACACAAACATTTATTAGTCTAAAGCACAACAACTATTAGTATCATTGGTGCCTGGTTATGGATAACACTGGGTAACAAAAAAATATTTTTTGAAAATAGTCCAGGGTTTTTCAGCTGAATTAGACAAATTTTGATGCTCTGAGTTCGAAAATGACCTTGGTTTTGCTCAATCAGGTCAGGATTTTTTCCTACAGAAATATTTTTTTTAATTGATTTTGCGTAAAAAACAAATTTCTGCGGATCATCAGCTGAGAAACCCCTGACGTTTTTTCCGTTTTCCTCAAGAAATAAAAGTCAACGTATCCAAAGTCATTCAGTTTTTATTTACTCCATCAAATTTGATAAGCAGAATTCATAATAACGTAGACGTACGTAATCCGTAACACTATGGCTGTATCTCAAAAAGTTGACCTGATAGAGCAAAATGCATGTGATATTCGGACTCCGAACACCAAAATTAGTCTAAATCAGTTGAGAAACCCCTGACCATTTTTTGGTTGTCAACTTGTGTAATCAGCCCTGAAAAACCATATTGAACCCTTACAAAGGAGTAGATAGATTGGTACCTCCTGATGGCGACGGTCAGGGCCTCGGGGGAGCTAGCACAGGGACAGATGACCTCCGGCTTCAGGCCTTTGGTTTGAAACACGTTGAGGAAGGCATCGCACGACGAGATGGACCCTGGACATCACACAAACACCACAATATTCCAATTCAATTCAATGTATTAATTAATAGCAGTCGTCTCAAAGGGCTTTACAACTTTGCCGATTCGCCAGCACAGATCAGAGAATCAAACGGTTCGAACTCAGGAAATGCAATAATAACAAAATGTTGATGAATGTTGATGAATGTCCATAAATCTCCCAGATTTATGGAGGAAAAGAAAAATGTTCAATATGTATGCATATTTTGTCTATGTTTTGTTTTAAAAGGACAGCAACAAGATAAGTGGTTATTGACTAATTTAGTAATGGGTTTTTTAACACTCTGTGAGTAAGAAAAAGCCATAATTACTGCCAAAAGAAACGGAAAGGCATAACTTATAACTCATCTTGAAGAGTTTATTTGCCATTTGCAGTAAAACCACATTAGAAAAACTGTGCAAGACAATCCCAGTGTGCACCAGGTGGTTCTGTATTGTTGAAATCTAGCCTAATATTCAAACATGATTTTATATTAACTCTATAACTAGGTATCTAATAGAGAAGGGAGAACAGTTAAAGACAAGAAGAGCATTTTCGAAAAATAAGAGAACAAAAATATATACATTTTATTCATATTTGCATTTAATATCAATGCAGTTTGATCAATATTTTGGCATTAGTTATCCATATTTTTAGAGGAAAAGATGAAAGTATTTCATTTTGAGTTCAGTTCAGGTTCAGTTTAAGTTTTGACAATTTCAGGCACAAAAAAAGGTGAAAATAAGGTCTGAAAAAAGAGTGGGTAGAAGCTAAAGCTAATAGACGTCTGCCTTTAGCATGTGTTGAATCTGTTTGTGAGGTGCTCAGAGTCTTACATGGGTTGGATCCGTCGGCCACCAGCAGCATCCGGAGGGAACTCAGGTTGATGTCCCTCTGTTCTCTGTGAGCCACCAGCGCCCAGTGCATGTCCCGGGACTTCACACAGGCCACTCGAGCTGCGCACAACCACACAACACACACATGAAGAGCACAACACACACATGAAAATCACAACACACACATGAAGAGCACCACACACATGAAAATCACAACACACACATGAAGAGCACAACACACACATGAAGATCATAACACACACATGAAGATCACAACACACACATGAAGATCACAACACACACATGAAGAGCACAACACACACATGAAGATCACAACACACACATGAAGAGCACAACACACACATGAAGAGCACAACACACACATGAAGAGCACAACACACACATGAAGATCACAACACACACATGAAGATCACAACACACACATGAAGATCACAACACACACATGAAAATCACAACACACACATGACAATCACAACACACACATGAAGATCAAAACACACACATGAAGATCACAACACACACATGAAAATCACAACACACACATGAAGAGCACAACACACACATGAAGATCACAACACACACATGAAGATCACAACACACACATGAAGAGCACAACACACACATGAAGATCACAACACACACATGAAGATCATAACACACACATGAAGATCACAACACACACATGAAGATCACAACACACACATGAAGAGCACAACACACACATGAAGATCACAACACACACATGAAGATCACAACACACACATGAAGATCACAACACACACATGAAGATCACAACACACACATGAAGATCACAACACACACATGAAGAGCACAACACACACATGAAGAGCACAACACACACATGAAGAGCATAACACACACATGAAGATCACAACACACACATGAAGATCACAACACACACATGAAGAGCACAACACACACATGAAGATCACAACACACACATGAAGATCACAACACACACATGAAGATCACAACACACACATGAAGATCACAACACACACATGAAGAGCACAACACACACATGAAGATCACAACACACACATGAAGATCACAACACACACATGAAGATCACAACACACACATGAAGATCACAACACACACATGAAGATCACAACACACACATGAAGAGCACAACACACACATGAAGAGCACAACACACACATGAAGATCACAACACACACATGAAGATCACAACACACACATGAAGATCACAACACACACATGAAGATCACAACACACACATGAAGATCACAACACACACATGAAAATCACAACACACACATGAAGAGCACAACACACACATGAAGATCACAACACACACATGAAGACCACAACACACACATGAAGACCACAACACACACATGAAAATCACAACACACACATGAAGATCACAACACACACATGAAGAGCACAACACACACATGAAGATCACAACACACACATGAAGATCACAACACACACATGAAGATCACAACACACACATGAAAATCACAACACACACATGAAGATCACAACACACACATGAAGAGCACAACACACACATGAAGATCACAACACACACATGAAGATCACAACACACACATGAAGATCACAACACACACATGAAGATCACAACACACACATGAAGATCACAACACACACATGAAGATCACAACACACACATGAAGATCACAACACACACATGAAGATCATAACACACACATGAAGAGCACAACACACACATGAAGATCACAACACACACATGAAGATCACAACACACACATGAAGATCACAACACACACATGAAAATCACAACACACACATGAAGAGCACAACACACACATGAAGATCACAACACACACATGAAGATCACAACACACACATGAAGACCACAACACACACATGAAAATCACAACACACACATGAAAATCACAACACACACATGAAGAGCACAACACACACATGAAGATCACAACACACACATGAAGATCACAACACACACATGAAGATCACAACACACACATGAAAATCACAACACACACATGAAGATCACAACACACACATGAAGAGCACAACACACACATGAAGATCACAACACACACATGAAGATCACAACACACACATGAAGATCACAACACACACATGAAAATCACAACACACACATGAAGATCACAACACACACATGAAGAGCACAACACACACATGAAGATCACAACACACACATGAAGATCACAACACACACATGAAGATCACAACACACACACATGAAGATCACAACACACACATGAAGATCACAACACACACATGAAGATCACAACACACACATGAAGATCATAACACACACATGAAGAGCACAACACACACATGAAGATCACAACACACACATGAAGATCAAAACACACACATGAATATCACAACACACACATGAAGAGCACAACACACACATGAAGATCACAACCCACACATGAAGAGCACAACACAACAAAACAATATAAGGACATACATTCTTAAATTAATTTTTTTTTTATCTTGAATTGAATACATTTTGATAACAATGGATCAAGTTTAGTCTAATTTCAAGTGTAGCTGCAATTCATTTCAAGAATTCAAGAATATTCTTGTCTTGTGCCTTCCCATTGGCAAATCTTGTTTTAAGACAGTCAAAATCTACTCAAAATAAGATACATTTAGCCAAATTCAAGCAATTTCTAATCTATTTAGAATTGTGTATTCTATAAATCGATTTCATTTCATTATATTTTCAAATGTTAGAATGTTTCCGAGATCATTATTGATTCAAAAACCACAAAGCCATATTATCTTTATGTCTGAAAATCCTTTTGACTGAATATTTTCACCACTTCTAGACACTTTTAGGAGAAAATAAAAAATATTTGTTTCAGTATTTTTTCCATTTGTGGATTGGCCCAGGAATTAGAGAAAACATCTCTGAGAGTCACTATGGTTTCCAGGACAGATTTTTCAACTGCCCCCACCACAACTTTAATCTACATGTTCTTTGAAATGCTGTGATGTCACATGAACACAGCCTATAGTAGTGCAGTTCACATATTGGTCAGGACTGGTCCAGGACTGGTCCAGTCCTGGTCCAGTCCTGGTCCAGTCCCGGGGCTGGTACCTTTGTACTGGCAGACCTTCTGGATCCAGGACAGAGGGTTCACCTTCATCAGGGCGTAGGGGATGCTGATCACGTGCATCATGTTCATGACACTCTGGAATGTGACATCACACAAACACAAAAGGAATACGGCCGGGACAGTTAGATAGAGATCCAGTGAGTACATATACATTTATACACATATACACACATACATACATCTACACATATAGTACATATACATATACACATACATATATTGACAAAAATCTATCACACAGTACATGGTATAAATGTTCACAAAGAAATAGTAAAAAATAAAAACGTTGTTTATTATACAGAAGGAAATCTTTTAACCAGATTCAGGTTAGCAGTAAAACAAAGCTCAGGTTTGACTGTTCTCCATGATCCTCCAATAATAACATTATTTAATCAAAATAAAAAACGGCATTAATGCTCAGTTAATAATGGTCAATAGTTGACCATCAATAACTGAGCAATCCGGTGACCTTATATATCTAGCAGTTAGCAGTTAGCATTCAGTAGTTTTTGCTGTATTTCAAGTCGTATAAAAAGATAGTCCTTGAAGATGTAAATTCCATTGATATGAATGGGAGCCGTCAAAATGACTGCTCTGGGAGTTCTAGTAGTTTCAGAATTCTAATAAATGGTTCTGGTCGGATCAAAACTGGATTAACATTTATAACAGTCTTGAATAGTATTGTATAGTAACAGTTTATTTATTCAATTCTCCCCAAAATATTGTATAAATAAATAAAAGACAAAACCAACTGTCTCTGTTTTAAAATAAATAAATACAGTTCTGCCACAGCCTTTTACTCTTTTGAGTCTCTGCGACTCTGAACACACGGATTGTCATTGTGCTCCGTATTGAAATTACATTTATTGTGTGAGATTTCCCGTTACTCACCGTGAGGACGGCGTGCCACAGTCCCACGTCTTTCTTGAAGTCCAACACATTCACTATGGTCTCGGCTGAAACGTGGAGACATGAAAGGATGAGAAATTGTCATGAAGTGGATTTGTATCAGTTTGGAAGTGGGTTTTATTTTGTAATTTCAGTTTTCTTCTGAGTTCTAAATGGTCTGTTGATTGTCTGCCCCGATCTAAAGTCTCCCGGTCTCTTTCCCTCTTTCTGTCAGTCCATTGTGTTTGTTCCTTGTGTTAGTTTTTATATTCTGGACTTATTTTAAATTAAATCAATTCTCATCTACAGTTGGGCACACATGACATCAAGTCAAGTTTTGAAAGTGAAGTGAAGTGAAGAGCATATTTTAATTTGTTTGAAACAATATAAACTCTTTCACATTGTAAAACATGAAATGGCAAAGTAAACATTCTCAGTATGAATACTAATGCAGTACATTTGCTTTGGGAGGGTGTGTACCTTCAGTGTAGGAGCAGCACTGGGTTAAGGCTTGACAGTGGGCGAGCATAGCCGTCCGGGGCACGGTAACTCCAAGCACACTGCCGTCTTTACACGTCTTGTACTGTCAAACAGGGACAACATCACACACGTGTTTGTTCCTGACACTTTCTTGACAAAGTAAACGGCTGTAATTGTGGCGACAGTATCTAAACGTCTACAAGGACATAACTAATTTTATTCAAATGCATACACTGCAAAAATTGATGAAAAATTACTCAAAAATTGCTCAAATTTGGCAAAATCTTAATATGAGCACATTTTGACTGCCTTTAAACAAGTTTTGTCAATGGGGAAAAGCAAAAAGATCTTGTTTTAAAAAGATACAATAAATGTCTCCTTTGAATGAAAACATTTTTAAACAGTTCTTGTTTTAGGACAGAATGTCCTCAAATTAATAATAATAATAATAATAATAATACATCAGACTTATATGGCGCTTCTTTGGACACTCAAAGACGCTTTACAAAACACATAAAAACATTGAAGAACAAAATTAAGGAAAGGCTGAAACAGGTGGATTTTAAGAAGTGATTTAAAGTTCTGTAGTGAATCTGAGATAAGCCACTCAATTATTACATCAGATTTGATCATTTTTGCAGTGTAGGATAAAATCAGGTACTTTCTAGTTAAAGTGCTCATCTACGACTAACCTCGATGTAGGCGGTGTCCTGGTTAGCGTCTTTGGTCAGAGGGAACCAGTCTCGTGGAGGTTTGGAAAGGTGCTTGGACTCGGTGACGAACCACAACACTTTAGGCCAACCTGTCAAACATAGAGAGAAGAGAGAGACGCAAACTGGTGACTTGAACACATAGACCTTCTTTATAATTAAGATGTATTAGTTCACTGTTAAAATCAAAAAGGAAAATCCCCCAGAAAAGTTACACTGCACCTATTAAAAGTATTTTGTGATATACAGTGAGTGCTCTTGCCTCTCCAACAACCTACTCATTTGCCCTCCTCCTGCTCGATTCCAAAGAAAAAATATTTATTTGACATTAATCAGATCTGGTCAGACATGCTAGCCTCTGCCAAAGACTGTATGAGCAAGAGGGAGTCCGGTTTGGGGACCAAACATGATGGAATTCTGGCACAGTCTTCTGTTATATCTGCTCACAAACATGTCAAGATTTTGCTTGTGACGCTTCATCTGATGTTTTTTTTTTTTCCAAAATCAAAAACAAATGTCTCCTACAAAACACAACAAACCTTTAAAAAAGCGACAAATTAACAGAATTCTGAGGCATGGTTAAAAAAAAAAATGTAGACATTTTTGAAAGAAATCTGATCCAATTTCCTGCCAAAAAGTTCTCTGGATCTTTCCCTTTCGCAGATGACTTGTCCCAAAGGCTCGCTGCTCAAGTCCCCATAAATGAGGGAAGGATGGAGCACGAGTAAGTAAGTAATGTAAGTAAACAAGTGCATAATGTTTTATTTAAATAATGCATTTTTTCAGACTAAGATCCAAAGCCCTTTTCCAATGTTCAGAGTTCAGATATTTGTCTACACGGTGATGACGGAAGCGAGACACTCTGGAGCATTAAAGCCTCCAACCAACACCATCCTTTCATTAACTCACATTCAGAGATTTACAGACGATCCGTGCAGCATTTGCAGTGATGCGGTCGCTATGTCAGAATGTTGTGGTGAAGAGGGAGTAGCGTCTGCAGTCAGAGCTGTATCAGACTGTGGTGAAGAGGGAGCAGTGTCTGCAGTCAGAGCTGTATCAGACTGTTGTGGTGAAGAGGGAGCAGCGTCTGCAGTCAGAGCTGTATCAGACTGCTGTGGTGAAGAGGGAGAAGCGTCTGCAGTCAGAGCTGTATCAGACTGCTGTGGTGAAGAGGGAGCAGCGTCTGCAGTCAGAGCTGTATCAGACTGCTGTGGTGAAGAGGGAGCCATGCACAAAGGCAAAGCTCTATTGGTTTAATCCACGTTCCCACTCTCCCAGATGGTCATGCGATTTTGAGCAATGAGTGAAATGACAAGAATGCAGATACAAGATACAAAAATAGTTCGAGGCTGGGTGCTTCTTAGGGGACAGCGTGAGGAGCACAGTAACGAAAAAGGAGCTCGGAATAGAGCCGCCGTTCTTCTGAATCCTGAGGAGCTAAGTTGTTCCAGAAGTGTCCCATCAGAGAAGACAGTGAGGACAACCCAAGTTACACTGGAGAGGGACCATGATTCTTAGAAAGACTCTCCAAGGACAATGTTGAAACGTATAGTATGACTTTCTATATCCATGGAATCACACATGCTGTCAGACTGTACAATGAGAACTGCTGAGCCTGTACATGTCATTCATCTGTAGATAGTAAATAATGTAATCATGTGCAATGAACCTACATGTATATACCTTTGCACTAGATACTGTATATAGAGATAGATACATAGATTTACATATACAGCTAGCTAAAAAAACATAGCAGCTGTTTGCATTGTATATTTTGTGTGCTCCCTGTGTGCTCTTACTACTGTCCTGCATGTAAGCTGCAACATTGAAATTTCTCCACTGTGGAACCAATCAAGGATCTCTTATCTCATCTTATGTGAAAGCACCAGAAAGTTACATAGTGTATCTTTAAACGTATGACTATAACTTATTATTATTATAAAATTCCATATTCAGATACAACTTAACAAAACAAGTGTAATGGAAGAAGACATGGAGGACCCTTCCTAAACTTGCCCCTTGTTGGTCTGAAAACAACACCCTTCCGTCGCACACAAGCGTGGACAGAGAGCCAGTGTTGTATGAAGAGATGCAATTACCGGCTCCCGTTTTACACCCGGAGACACGGCCCCGTGGAGTTAACATGGAGTGAGAGGTGCCGGCGCAGAAACAATCTACTGTGAACCAGACGACTCCGCTAATCAATAAAAGAGCACTCAGCACTAATGAAACATACTGAGGGAGTGTGTGTGTGTGTGTGTGTGTGCATGTGTGTGTGTGTGTGTGTGTGGAAACAGCCTAAGGAGTCACGATCACAGCCTCACGATTTCCAAGGATGCAACAGGGAATTTAAGGAGGAATAAAACATTTCACTATAAACAACGACTAAACAAGTCACTTACTAGAAAAGAAAAGAAAGCGTGTGGGTTGCAAAAGTATTATTTACAGCTTGTCAAGTCACAAACATAAATATTTTACTTCGAAAACGTTCATTTTGTCTTGAGTTGAATCCCAAAAAGAATATGTTCATTTTTATATTTTACAACTGTGAGGTAAAAGCAAAATAATACATGAATTTGTCAACAACAACAACAAAATACTATGTGCAATACCCTGCGCCAACAGCTTTTGGCTCAATATTTGTCTAATGTTTTTAATTATTCAAATGTGTGAGTTTAATGTGAGAGAGAGATAACATTTTAATACTGTTGAATGTGTCCCCTGCTACTTGTGGCTTTATTCATGCAGTTTTTTTTTATTTACCACTTGTCCATAAAGGCCAGTGTAGTGTAAGACTAATATTTGCCTCGTGCAAAGCCGTGAATGTCTGCAGATCCAGAGTAACCATTGGCCTCTTGTCTGCACAGATCACAACACTGAGATCGTAATGAGTTTCCTCTGTTGAGAAGAACGAGTTGGGATGCCTCCTGGACGCCTCCCTGGGGAGATGTTCTGGGCATGTCCTGAAGTGTAGAGACCTATAGGACGGACACGGACACGGACACACACACACACAGACACAGACATACAGACACACAGACAAACAGACACACAGAGACAGACACACAGACAAACAGACACATACACAGAGACAGAGACAGACACACAGACAAACAGAGACAGAGACGGACAGACACAGACACATACACATACACAGAGACAGAGACAGAGACAGAGACAGAGACAGAGACAGACACAGACACAGACACACAGACACACACACACGCAGGCCTGGGAACCCTTGGGAATCCCCTGGGCCAGCAGGTGGAAGTGTGTGTGGAGAGGGAGGTCTGGGGGTCTCTGCTGACTCAGTGACTCAGCAACAGATAATGCGGAAGAATATAAGTATAATGTATGAATAGATTAGTGAAACACCAGGATGTTGTAGAAATGGTTTCTCTTTCTTTCTACAGCATCTACTGTAAACAAAGACAGTCAAGTTCTAAAACATTTGAAAAGCATAATCTAGTAAAGTCATCAATATCATGTTAAAGGGCAAAATGTAAACACATAATGTTGTATCTGTTCTTTAACACTACAACTCCCAGAGCAGTCAAATTGACAGGTTTTAGTTTTGGAAGCGTCATAACTCCTATGTCATTATTTTTTTTAAAGTTATACTTTATTTTTTAAATCTGAGGAGTTTTAGCATTAACTCCCAGAGCCGTCATTTTCACTCCATTTCAAATTGTCAGTAGTTAGCATTTGGTAGCCTCTTACCAAACTGTTTTTGCTATTGTTATTACAGATTTAGCCACTTTTAGAAAAGGTGATTAAAGGTGAAGCTAAAAATTAACAGTTTTACTCATAACATGTTTTCAAATTTGCTTTCATTTGAATGGGAACCGTCAAAATAACTAGGAGTTTAAGTAGTTTCAGAAGTCTGGGATTCTTAGTGTTAAACTGGACTAAGTCATGTATCAAGTTTATCAAGCATCTATGTAAACAATCTGTATTCCAGAGCACACAAACACACACAAGAATCGACGGTACTACTTTAATAGAGATAAATCACCAACAATAATGCTGGCCACAAAACTCTAAATGTTGGACCTCACCTTTAAACTGCTGTATCTCTCCGGTGGGACTCTTGGGTAATCCTTTATGACAGGCATCACTGGTCAGAGCCACCGTCACGCCACAGCTGCCCAACAGGAAGCCAATCTGCTGACTTCCTGCATCCTACAGACGGAGAGAAGGACACAAAAACAAAAAAAAAGATTATAAAGAAGTAACTTAGTATCTTAGTTGAGTCGTAAAGGGGAGGCAGCAGCGTGAGCGAACCTTCCTGGAGAGTGGGACTTCAATGGGCACAGGAACAACGTCGGCGAGGAGACAGCCGTAAAACGCTGAGATGAAAGCTGCGGGGTCGTTGTTGGGGTACACTAGCGCCACCTAAAGATGAGACAAATGCACACACAAATATCAAAGTTAAGGAAAATGTATGCGATTTTGTTAATTGATTGTTTTGGGTTTTAAAATATGCATTATTTTTGGCCATTAAAAAATAATGAGGCTGTTTACTTTGTCTTTTGGGGTTTTAAAATCTGCAAAAATATTTATGAAGTAGAAAATTCATTCTCCGCCCCCTGGTGGTACACTAGAGGGAGGAGTTGATTTTTTAATAAAAAAATAATAAAAAAATAACAAATACCGGCTCCAAAAACAGTCATGTAAATAAAAAAAGTAATTCATGGGTAGTACTTTTGTTTTAAAATGCCTCTGAATGTGGGATGGTAATAATGATTCCTTCTAACGCTGTAACTTTGGGGCTGAAGTTCCTGTTATTGGCATGGCTTGATAAAAAACAACTCCAGGTCTGTTTTTGATGAGGAACAATGTTGTAACATGGTTGAAAGCTCAGAAATCAGCGTTAGAAAAATGTACACTTATCCATGTTATTGTCGGAAACAACTCAAAAGTCTTGAGTATTATTTTATTTTGTATCCAGAGAATTGAAGTCAAATCGATCCCAACACCTGCTGACCATACACCTGCTGACCATACACCTGCTGACCATACATCTGCTGACCATACACCTGCTGACCATACACCTGCTGACCATACATCTGCTGACCATACACCTGCTGACCATACACCTGCTGACCATACACCTGCTGACCATACACCTGCTGACCACACACCTGCTGACCATACATCTGCTGACCATACACCTGCTGACCATACACCTGCTGACCACATACCAGCTGACCATACACCTGCTGACCACATACCAGCTGACCATACACCTGCTGACCATACACCTGCTGACCATACACCTGCTGACCATACACCTGCTGACCATACACCTGCTGACCATACATCTGCTGACCATACACCTGCTGACCATACACCTGCTGACCATACACCTGCTGACCATACATCTGCTGACCATACACCTGCTGACCATATACCTACTGACCATACATCTGCTGACCATACACCTGCTGACCATACACCTGCTGACCATACATCTGCTGACCATACACCTGCTGACCATACACCTGCTGACCATACATCTGCTGACCATACACCTGCTGACCATACACCTGCTGACCATACACCTGCTGACCATACATCTGCTGACCATACACCTGCTGACCATACACCTGCTGACCACATACCAGCTGACCATACACCTGCTGACCACATACCAGCTGACCATACACCTGCTGACCATACACCTGCTGACCATACACCTGCTGACCATACACCTGCTGACCATACATCTGCTGACCATACACCTGCTGACCATACACCTGCTGACCATACACCTGCTGACCATACATCTGCTGACCATACACCTGCTGACCATACACCTGCTGACCATACACCTGCTGACCATACACCTGCTGACCATACACCTGCTGACCATACACCTACTGACCATACATCTGCTGACCATACACCTGCTGACCATACACCTGCTGACCATACATCTGCTGACCATACACCTGCTGACCATACACCTGCTGACCATACACCTGCTGACCATACATCTGCTGACCATACACCTGCTGACCATACACCTGCTGACCATACACCTGCTGACCATAACACTCTGCTGACCATACACCTGCTGACCATACACCTGCTGACCATACACCTGCTGACCATACACCTGCTGACCATACACCTGCTGACCATACACCTGCTGACCATACACCTGCTGACCATACACCTGCTGACCATACACCTGCTGACCATACACCTACTGACCATACATCTACTGACCATACATCTGCTGACCATACACCTGCTGACCATACACCTGCTGACCATACACCTACTGACCATACACCTGCTGACCATACACCTGCTGACCATACATCTGCTGACCATACACCTGCTGACACCGCCATAACTTTATAAGAGGATTTTCCCAATGTTTAGGACAGAACCGCCCTCTCCACTTCTTGAACAAAACTCTCTGGTCTTATTTGACGAGCTCGTATCTCCAGAATGATTGACAACTGGGATGACCAATAGTCTTGATGATCCACCCGGAAGTAGAAAATCCTCCTATATACCTTAAATCCCTAATGCTGTGGATTGTTGTCACTTGTGTCTGTTTGCCCACGCAGACACGCTGACACATCTCTGACATTCTGGCTTCCTCCCTCTCCTTCTTTTCATAGCTCCAGACGGTAGCTTTCACAGCAGCCGCTTATGAGACCTCATGTTACTGCATCCGGCCTGGGCTCTGGTTACATGTCGTGATGATAACACAAATGTCAGTAAGTGCTGTCTAATAGCTTTCATATATGCAGCAGTAGCAGGGGAGCAGGAACATGGAGTGTGTGAGAGCGTAGTAGAGGATGAGGAGAACACCGTTGACTTTCTTTTGCGTTATAAATTGCAATCCAAGCAGAGACACTCAGACACACTTTCTCCAGCTCATCCTCGGAATCCCGGTGTTCATTTCTTTATTTAAGGAACACTGTCATTTATTTAAGGAAATGTCATGGTTTGATTTTCTTTTTCTTCTTTTTGGTCATATTTTACATACTGACACGTTTTACAGTTCAAACATATGAGTAAGGGATAATGTATAGTACGCAGGTCACTATCGGAAAATAAGTACCAACAGGGCGGAGCTTCTGCCCTGAAGGTACATTATCACGCTTATTATACGGCTTTGTACCAAACGAAAACACACAAAATAAACTTCAGTCCACTTTTATGAATGCCGAAAGGTTTATTTAATGACTGCAAATAAAAGAGTTCCCAAAGGTTTTCCCGTGGCTATGCAAGTAACAGTTAGGCTAGCAACTTCCAAACTAGAACTCTACATGAAAACGGAACAAAGAATTCTGAACATAAACTCAACCTAAATCCATAATTCGATCCTCTACAAATGAGTTTTAAGATGTTATATCATGTTAATGGTTACTTCTGGTTTACCACTATCGCTTTTGTCACATTCAAACAGTATTTTTGTCATGAAAACGTTATCATGAAAAACAGATAATTCTGAAAACCTCCGTGCATGTGTGTTAAGAATGTTTATGCATAATGTATTCTCCCATTAACATTTAAATGTGTTGATTGATTGTTATACGGGTCTATTGAGCGTGGCTAGCTCAGTAGGAGACAGTAGTAGCGACGAAGTGGCCGGGACTACTTCCGGAGTAATCTACACATCTGAATTACAAGCAGAGGGTGCATTGCCAAACGGCAGCGGTCATTATTGTTTTGAGAGGTCGGTTATCAAGAAATTATGATCAGTAGAACGTTTTGAAATTACATTAAAATCAACAGAGCGTTCTACTGCTGCTGTGAGGAGCCGTGAGATAATATAATATAATGAAACCAAAAAAGGAATAGGGAGAAGCAATGCTTAGTCAAGTCTATCTATTCTACACCAGGTTTAACCAGCTTTATCTGTCTGGTATACCATAATTAACCAACATACAAAAGACACTTTTCATATTCTTTAAACAGTTGAAACTTAAAGATATATAATAGGATTTTCTACTTCCGCGTCGAGCATCAAGACTATTGGTCTTCTCAATTGTCAATCATTCTGGTGATACGTGCTCGTCAAATAAGACCAGAGAGTTTTGTTCAAAAGGTGGAGAGGGCGGTTCTGTCCTAAAAATTGAGAAAAACCTCCCATTTACCTTTAAGATAAGTTTTAAATTGTAACAAATAAGTATTTTTTTCAAGTCTTTGCTTAAGTCATTCGATAATTGACAGAAGATTTGGAAAAATGTGGGAAGAAGAGTTTACAATAGCAACAGCTGTTTTGTTTTAGAGTTGTTGATCTACCCACTTCAGTCCTAACTTTAATCCAACTAGACAATATTAAGACTTGAAAACGTTGCTTTTTGGTTCTGGTAATCTTTGGAAAGCTTGGCGACATAATAAACTTGGCTTTGTAAAATTGTTATGTTGCTGAAACCATCCAAAGATCGTCAGAAATAAACGTGCATATTATTTTTGGCTTCATTCTAACCACACATGTCGTCCCATCATCCAAAACACAGCGATAAAACCACAATCTTTATCTCAAATACGATCCATCTGCTTTTCCGCCTCTCTATTCTGTATTAGTTCTATTAAATATGCAACAATAAGTCCAAACCCCGCTGTCAGCAAATTCCACATTCACTTTGGTTGAAAATCCATTTACATCAGAGCACATGTGATTGCTAGCAGGCGGCGTTTGACTCATACGCTACGCACCAACTATTTCTGTATCATTTCCCGCTCTAATTAGTCTCCTCTGTAATCACTCACACGTTTCTATAAGGACGCAGTAAATGGGAAAAAGCAGGTTTGCGACTCGGAGGAGCTGTAATTAAAAGAGACTCCCTTCCGGCTCGTGTCGGCTCAAAAAACACGGTCGATGACTTATTATGTTGGTCTTGTTTACAGGGGAATGGGAAAAGGTCACAGTAATAATTATTATATTTGTGGTTTTTTTAGTGAGAATATGTCTCAAAGTGTGTGTAATTAGTTTTCTTTTGTTTTAAGGATGCAGTTATATACCTTGTTATCATAAGACTCAAAAGATAAATATTCTACAAGCCTAGTATGTCATTTTTAGCTCAAAGATTACTACTCTGAAAGCATGAATATTGTTTAAAAATATAAAATATCAACTACATCTGAAAAAGTCTTGAACCCATGGCTCATCTCAAAAAACTGCAATATATCCAGAACTCTGCCGTCCACCTGCTCACCCACACCCGCTCCAGAGACCACATCACCCCTGTCCTCAAAAAACTCCACTGCCTCCCTGTTCAATACCGCATCCAATACAAGGTCCTCCTCCTCCATAACCTGCTCCTTCTTACCTCACTGACCTCCTCCATCATCACTGTCCCACCCGCCGCCTCAGATCTACAGACTCCAACCTCCTCACTCCCCTCAGACCATAGTGCCGAACCTTGGGGGACTGAGCCTTTGCTGCAGCTGCCCCCACTCTCTGGAACTCACTCCCACAACACATCAGGAACTCAGACTCACTACAGAACTTCAAATCACTGCTCAAAACTGCCAACACTTAACTGTTTATTTTTAACTTTTTATTTTTCTTTCTTATTTTTCTTCTGTACAGCGTCTTTGAGTGTCCAAAAAAGCGCATATAAGTACGGAGTATGGTGCTCATGATTTCACCTGTTTGTCTAAGGAAAGAAAAAATTCTGGGTTATGAACAAGGAATATTCAAAATTGAAGGTTGGCTCTTCATTAGGAACTTAAATATAGTTGAGGGATGTATATTTTAGCATAATCTAGACTGAAACAAACAGATGCCATACATGTACACTCGATCTTGTAGATAACAAGCTGATAAGTTAGATGCTTTCTTATGACTTATGATCAGAGGTGGGACAAAGTCATTGTTTAGCAAGTCACAAGTCAGTCTCAATTCATTGCCCTCAAGTCCCGAGTCAAGTCACGAGTCAAGACAGGCAAGTCCCGAGTCGAGTCCAAGTCAAAGGCCAACAAATCTCAAGTCAGTCCCAAGTCCTACGGTTTGACTTTCGAGTCCTCTCGAGTCTTTTTGACCGCGATTTGTTTCTTGTTGGTCTCCACGTACTTTTGTAGGCAAACAAAATAATGTTAGGAATCATTTTGCTGGTGCATTCTCGTTGGTCTCTGACCCATGGACTAACAGTTTGTTCCATGTCGTTGGCTGCTGATTAGGGATGTAAAAAACTATGAATTTTCATGACCGACCACCGAGCCTCATTAACCGGTTGAAACCGGTTAACCGCGTAGTTTAAGATAGTCCACGTTCTTTGAAATAACAGCCATTTCGAGCCGCGTACTTTTCATAAGAGCAGCTCTGCGTTCTACTGGATCAGAGCTGAGACAGCGGCGCCCAAACCCGCAACAGCTCCGGCACCTTTGCGCACAGAGAACTGCTTTTTTAATCTTCCCATTCTGCTGTGCTGCGGGTTAATACCAAAACTTTCTAGCAGCAAACGACGGCTCGTTCACATGGTCAGAGCAGCGAGTGACGCGTCTCACAGGTCTTCACAAAAGTTTAAATACAAGTGATGTGTGTGGAGCTGATCCCGAGGACCATAAACACAAACATGGTCCATATGGTTTGACTGGAGCTGCGTATTTGCGCGAATCCTTTGGGCTCCGTGACACAGAGGAGCGCGACAGACCGGTGTGTGTGTGTGTATGTGTGTGTGTATGTATGTGTGTGTGTATGTATATGTGTGTGTGTAAATGTAAGCTCCAATGTAGTTCTGACCCGCGCCAGTGTGCAACTTTGGCGGTAACAGAGGGGAGAGATGATGCGTGTGGATGTTACGTATGGAGAGGGGGAAAGTGTGTGTGTGTGTGTGTGTGTGTGTGCGCGTGCGTGCATGTGTGCATATGTGGCTCGTGCGGCGTGAGAGTCGTCCCGGAGTTTATAATACATGGGCGCACACAGCTAGAGACAGACCCGCTCATCACACCGTGCAAATAGGGCTTGAAAAAGCGTTATTAAGAGACCTCCCCTCTCCCCTTTTTCTCTTTTTTAACCGACAGCTTTGACCGGTTAACGCTGTGACGGTCAACCACCGGTTAACCGGTCGCCGATTTACATCCCTACTGCTGATAAATCAAAACTATCTACGTGATCTAATTGGATGTTGTGCCAGATGCAGGCTCATTTACACATGCACAGACCACACATAAAATCAGAGCAGTCCGTGTCAACATACTTTTTATCTTTGGGGTTTTTAATGGGAAGTAGCAAGTGCAGCATATATGAATATGAGTATTGGGCTAGGACCTGTATCTATATAATCAGTTTAATGTCCGTAGTGGTTATTGTTCCAAATGTCCTACTGTAGAATAGGGGTAGTATGAGGGGTCTAGGCTTTGGACCTGGGGCAGCTCGCCATCAACTGGACCAGCATTAGCAATATCTCATAATTACCAATATATCATTACATAATAAAATGTCTCATATAAATTAATTCAATCAGTCAAAGCACTGATTCTCATATCAATGCACCATAAACAATAGTGCAAATATTAATCTAGCTTAGTGCACATAATCAAAACAACTATCTAATGTATGCAAACTTTAGCAGGATGAGCACAGCAAAAACATACTCATAATATTAGGCCTCGGCGCCCACACAGAAAAATATAAGAAAGAGCCAACAGAGCAGCGCAGGCTAGCGCTAGTTTGACTCACCAGTTCCTCTTTAAAACACGGCACACAGTGTGACAACTGCGTCGATTCAATTGTATGAGGCGCCTGTAGTGAAAGCATATCAATTACGGTTTGTAGAACAAAATATGACGTTAGGTCGCGATAAATACCTGCAGCTCGCTCATTTCCAGCTCCCCTAGACAACACACCCACCGGTGAATGCAGTCCGCTTGTTTAGGGAAGTGTTGCTGCGCGAACTGCCTGGAACTCACGTTCGAACTCTCTCGCGAGCGCTACAACTACCGCGAGGCTTTGTTTCTTCAGAGACGGCATAGATAGAAAGAGAGATGCGGAGAAAGGTAAAAATGGCCCGGGTTACGCAAGTCTTTACAAGTCAATTGGCGCAAGTCCAAGTGAAAGTCAGAGTCATTGATGTTAAAGTCCAAGTCGAGTTGCAAGTCTTTTTATATTTGGTCAAGTCGAGTCTAAAGTCATCAAAATCATGACTCGAGTCTGACTCGAGTCCAAGTCACATGACTCGAGTCCACACCTCTGCTTATGATTATATTTATGGTTGGATATTGGTCATATTACAATTCATTCCCAGTTAGTAGTTCCCATAGATTCAAATCATTCCCAGGTAAAGTTCCTAAATATAGAATATATCCCAATTGCCCCAATTTAATTTCCCATGGATATTTACCAGAAACTTTTAGGAAATTGACAGGACATTTTCTGCCCGTTTGCAACTATACATGGAAACTTGCAGGGAATTCTTAACCTCAAGACAGGTACGCACTGTGACTTTAAAGGAATTGTTTGATTTTGACATCACACCTTTGAGCTGCAGGTCAACTTGGGTCCCTAGTTACTATGGATTTCTCACACACACACACACACACACACACACACGCACCCACACCCCCACACCCACACACCCACACACACAGACTCACCCTGTCCCCCGGCCGCACCACGGGCTCCTGTTTGGATCCCAGTTTGTGGAGCAGGTTGTAGGCCACCTTCACACTCCGGGACCAGAGCTTCCCTGCAGAAACACAACCACACACTCTCTGTAAAGCGGAGAATCTGGAAATGCTTCGTATAAATCAAATAAATTGTTGAGTGACAGTGAATGACAATTTTCATTTGCAATTTCTGGATTTTTGACAGCTTTCAAGTCTACCATCGTCAAGCTGAGAAATACCGTTCCATTCAATGAGATTTAGAATGATGTGTGACGCTTGCTTTTCACATTTGAAACCATTAGAGTTTGTGAACCATTAAACAAATCAGTGGCAGTCCTCACTCTACAGCCACAGTCCTGCATCGCATGACCTCTGTCCTCGTTCTACAGCCTGAGTCCTGGATCTATAGCCTGTCCGTTCGTGGGAGCAGATCCCTCCCTTAACATGGGCCGAGATTTCCCTACTCTTTCTCCCATTGAGTTTTTTGAGTTGTTCCTGGCATGATTGGAGATGTAATGGCAGATTGATAGTGTGATAGCCGTTCAGATCTGTTTAGCTGTGCATACAACTGAGGGAATTTACCTTTACTCTCTCTAAAATACTTATCTATGATTTTCTTTTGTTGCCATCTTGTTTTATTAAGCGCTTTGACTTACCTTGTGTATGAAATGTGCCATACGATTAAACTCGCCTATCCTTGCCGAGATCACGTCGTATTAAAACATCAGGACAGAAATGTGACCAGGTCCATATCAAACCAATCTAGTGGCGCATACTTGTTCATTACCAATCCAAGCAATGGATGATCAGGTTCCACATATTTTCCAGGCAATTTCAGGAAATAATACTGCTCATTCCCATCAACGTCCATCTGACCGAGGATTACACATTATCTGTTCCGTATGCACAGCTCTAGGCTTTGTTCATTATTGCGGCGAACAAAAGAATGTATTTCTCTTAATTCAGAATGACAGGGGAGGAAGCCAGGCAGGGTACTATATTGTTTTAAATGACTTCTGCTGATGTTTGTCGCTGATATGATGGACGGAAAGAGAGGGAGGGATGGTGGAGGAAAGAGAACGCAGCGATGGTGAAGGTTTGGACCACACAAAAATCCCCCCATTTGCTACACGCCTGTGCCTCCATTTACCGGGGTAAACAGTGTCTCACGACTTTGAATCCAGCTCGTGCAGCAACCTGCCTCCTCCTCAGTTCTCCAACAGTCAGGGCCTTCTGTGTGGCTGGTTCAAAGTTATGAAACGCTCAGTTGTAGTGTTTGAAGTCTAATCTTCATAATTTCTCTGCTCTTATTTGTTTTTTCTGATTTTATTATTTTAAACCGGTAGAAGAGATTTTTTTTCCTATTCTCTGCCTTGTTTTCTTTTTTTTTATTTACCACAAACTCCTGTGTTTGGAAACTCTTTTGTGTTGTGTATTTCGATTCATGTTATTGGTTTGTGAATTAGGCTTACTTTCATAATCTATATTTGAATTCCCTCCGTTTATCATGAAATATTTCTGCCACAGTCTAAATGCCACAACCTTATCCAACATTCAATACACAAATATGTCAATAAATACAATTCTAGCACTGCCCTGACTAAGACTTTTGTAGAAACGGGTTGGTTCAAGTTAAACAGAACACAGTTTTCAGAGGAACTCCTTCTCCAGTTCTTTCATTGCAACAGTTTTCTCAAGGCCACGAGTTGGATGAGAACCTGTAAGTGTTTTTAGTATCTTTGATCCAGCACTCGATTTGCGATCCCTTCACTCAAATACAATTCTAGTAGGTAAGTAATAAATGTCTAAATGTTTTCCCAAATCATGCTTAAAGATTCACAAAGCTTCTACATTACTCTTAAGTCTGGAAGTCCTTTCTACTGGCCAACATCAGACATAAATGTATGAATATTATCACAAATTCTAGACATCTTTATGAGATGTGGCCAATTTCTGCCAAATGTTCGGTAATTTTTTAGCTTAACTTTTGCGTGTGTATTCCAATGTGGTTTTACTGCAATCTGAATCTTACGTGGATTGGCCCAGGAACTACAGACTAGTAGAGATACGTTTCCGCCACAATATCAAGCTTTAGGCCGTGTGGAACATTGTTATGTTACATACACTTTAGCCAGAACCCTTTTGCATTTTAAAATTGTCAATCAATGCCGTGAAATGGTTCTTGCTTTTCTTTTTTTGTTCAAATAAATTATAATAAACTAAAGAAAAACCTGGAATAAAAGCAGCAAAGCATCTCCTCCACTTGCTTATTAGGGGTTACGTGAAGTTCGGGAAGAGCGGGAGAGAGATGCCGGCTGTTCCCGAGGGGGCGGAGACCGGAGGTAACAAAACAAGCGTGTCCTTGTCGGAGACTTCAAAAGGGCCGGACGTGGAGAGAATGAGAGTTGTGCGCGCAGCCGGGATTGAAATTCAACTCACGCGACGTCTGTGAGGGCTCCGGAGCAAACAGGGAGGCTTCACAGGCAACTAAGGCCTGAGCATCATCATCATCATCATCACTCAGAAACGTGTGTGGACTTTATCAACATTTATAGACATTGGTCATCTGTCACTTATGGACCAATGGCTCTATGTATTTTTTTTATTTTTATCACTGCATTTCTTGGGTTTGAACTGTTTGATTCTCTGATCTGTGTTGGTGAAACGACAACTTTGCAAATTCCTGCTGTGATTTAGGGCAATACAAAAATGAATTGAATTGTACAGAGAAACACACTGGTTGTATGTGGGAGATGAGCAGTTCAAAATGTTCAGAGGAAAAATAAACAAATGGATGAAAAGACTATTCCAAAAGCTTTACCGTTTCTTGCGTATGTAATGAAAAAAAGGAAATGAATGTTAAATATGAAACAGACCACCAGACATAGGCCAACCCAAGCCTTGATAAATGGTAAGTGGTCTTAAAGGTTTTGGTTCTTTGGTTCTTCTCTAACAGACAATAGTAAGATAGTGATGTTGCTGCTCTTCCTTGGACTTTCTCTTTCTCTTCTCTTTTAATTTCTTTATTTCTTGCTTGTCGAATTATTGTTTGTACTTTTACTTAACTGTGTGTGTGTGTGTGTGTTTCTTACCTGCCTTAGGACAATGGATGCAATTTAGCTACTGTGCTAATTCCAGCATTCTTATGTTGACGCTGTTTGCAGACGCATCGATTAATATGTACTGTCCTAAATTCAAATAAATGAATAAATAAACGTGTGAAAGACAGCACCACCCTCATTCAGCCAATCAGCTCTAAGCCCAACGGCAAGTTTATCTGTATAGCACAGTTCATACACAAGAAACTCTGCTGAACAAAACAACATAGCAATTCAATTAGTGACTCAGAGGGCTAAAATTCTCCTAAACTTTTACTTTTACAAGACTCTTTCTTTTGGGACAAACTACATGCAGTATATTATTCATGAAACAAACAAAAAAGTTAGGTATCCCAGCTTTAACCGGTGGCACAATTTTTGGAGTCACTGTGTCAATTCCCATATACCAGAAGTCATTTATCCTTACTTTAGTGCGGTTGGCATTTGGACTTGAAACCCCAGGACTTTCTCCATGCACTGTAGATAAATCCAGTGCAGAAGTTGGAGCCCGAGCCTTCACAGAGACTGGACTAATCTGGATAAGGGCCGGACTCAAGCCAAGCAGTGATTTAAGTCTACTCTCCAGAGCGTTTCAGATTTACACCCCTCCACTGTTCTCCGACAGCAGTGTAGAGGTGTGACACTATAGCACGCTGTATGGGGAACGTTCTGATTATATAAAGTAGATCTGCGCTTCAATACCCCAACGCCTGATCATGAATTATAGAGAAACTAGATTTAAACTATCTGCGAAAAGAGTTTAGTGTAGAATCAAACGCTATCTCTGCCAAAACAGATGATTGTTATGTTATACCTCATTTTAAAACTCAGAATCTAATAGCTCATCATTGGTAACCAGCTGATATGTCAGTTAAACCTCATTGTTGGTGGATTTTGAATAAAATCATTGAAAACATTAAAAAAATTGAATTTGAACTCTGAGGTTTTTTATATGCATTTTTATAAATGTCGGGGTAGAAAAAAAAAAATGGGTGAAGGATCAGTGGAACATGCTCTGGATGGTGGAGACGAATCTAACGTAAATCGTTGGATTAGAAATGTTACTTTATCCACAATCTATGGTAAATATGTACAAAGAGACAGTCATTTGTAATAGTAATGATTGTACAACAGTTTAAGTAGTTTTTTATACTACTGTTCTCCCTAATTTCATTGTTAGTTACTCAACGTTCATCAAAAATGCTGGACATTGGCCCCTTATGGACCAATTCCAATGTATTTTCTGTTAGGTCTTTGGACCTAATGGTCGTGGGTTAGAGCCCACCACGACCCATGCCACATGCTCCCACTGACGTCTGCTGTTCTTGTGTCCTTGGGCAAGACACTTAACCCCACATTGCCCGAAGCTCCCGCTGAAAGACCAAGGCCATCTAGTCGATGACGGCGAAGGCATCTTCCCGTGGACCCACAGTGAGGGACTGGTGCGATAAGACTAGAGTGGCAGCGCTGATTGTCACTCCCCCCCAACCCAGAAATTGATTAATAAAGGGGTAGAAAATTCATGACATTTCCTGTGTTTGAACTTTTTGATTCTCTGATTTGTGTTGGCGAATTCAACGGTTGTGTAAAGTCCTCCGAGATAACTACTGTTGTGATTTAGGGCTGTACAAGAACAAATTGAATTGAAAGCGCTTTTCCAACAGTTATAATCAACATCATATAAACGATGGCGTACCGTATGTGAGGACGTAGAGTGGTTTTCCGTTGGGGTCCATGGTGCTCAGGCAGGGGGCTTTGGGGGAGATGGTGCCCCACCGCTGCAGCGCCGCCTCCAGGGACGGCGGCCAGTTGGTGACCACGCCCAGCTGCTCTCCCTGAGTCGGAGACATCCGCGACCCCTCGGCTCTGGGCTGGTTCGGGTCGGGCTGCTGGACTGGAGAATGGAAGAAGACAAAGTATAAATGCCGTCCCAGAAATAGCCTGAAATACACTGCCAAGAGAAGAAGAAGTATTCACTTGTTTAAAATGCATTGGCGATAGTGCTTTACTGAACTGTTGGACCTTTGGGGCCCTCAATTGTTTTCATTGTTGTGTTGTGTTGTTGTAAACTGATGTTCTGGCAGAGGCTGTGGGTGACTACAGCGCTACATGTGTTTTTCAGACCTCTGTATGTGTCACTGTGATCGTGAACTGATAATAACCGATAAAGTGCTTACATGATGTAGTGTAATAGCTTGCAGGAGGAGGAGAGTCTGTTTTGGGAATGAGATTAAAGGATATTTCTAAATTAAAAAAGAAAATTGTCCTTTATATAATACTTTCATGCTTTCAGGCTTTCTCTGATGCAGTGTTGCAGTCTACAAGCTAGAGTTTAAAGTTATATGTTTTGTAAATCAAAATGAATCTTCTAATGTCCCTCAGCAAACCTGCATCTCTATCACTTGGCTTTGGGAACTTCTATCATCAAGTTACATCTCATTTGGTAACGGCCTGCATGTAAAAGAAATAGGGGCTCAAAACATACACATTTTATCAACCATATATATTTATTTTTTGTTTTGATGTTTTATTAGTGCTCCTACATTTTGAAAAAAAAAAAAACCCAAAACAAACTATGGTATGGCAATTGGCGAATCATCACACAAACATAACACCTACAATTATTTTTGTGAATTTAGATTTAGAAACTTTGTGCCTTCAATCATCCCTGCACACTCATCTGTAGAGGGACAAACACAGTGGGACACCATTCCACAGCTCAGTGTACCTTCTAAAAGCTCCTCAAAGTCGTCAACAAAGAACTCCCGCAGAGGAGGCCGCTTGGGTCTCTTCAGGGTGTTCACCAACTGCTGGATTTTAGCCGATACTCTGCTACTGACCGGGACCCCTGCATACAGCCAGAAGGAAACCTGCTGTAACTAACTATTATAAGGCATCAATCATTCAATAGATAAGACATACATTATATAGGCAAGGTAGGACGAGTTTATTTGATTAAGTTAAGTGCTTATTAAATACCAATTGACAGTCAAAATAAAAAAGAAAAAATAATGCGCTGGAAAATGGCGGCAAGTGTCTCGGAAACAGTTGTTGTTTTCTGCTTTATGCATTATATTTTGCTTTTTTCTACCTAAGATGTTGCTGCAGTACAGTGTTCATGGTTTTGCGGGGATCAATAAAGTATCTATCTATCTATCTAAATTATCCATAAATTATACACTAACATACACTTAAATAGCTGTTAATTAGTGAGGCCAATGACTGCATTTCCTGTGTTCCAACAGTTTGATTGTCTCATCTGTGTTCATGAATCGACAACTTTGTAAAGACCTCAGAGACGACTGCTTCATTTGATTTACAGCTGTACAAAAATAATTCAAATTGACAATAAATGGCATCACAAAATCACTAATAATGAGTGGAAAAGCCTCTCTCATTATTTGTATATTCTCCTAAATATCTCCAGTGTGTGTGAACTGTGTATGGAACATGGTCGTCTCACCGTCGCCCGTCTCCATGAGCTCTGCGTTGCCGTATTTAGGCGCGTGTTTGTGTGCCGCAGGACAGGGCACCCGGTCGGCCTGGGTCCCATCGGAGGAGGACGTGGAGTTGTTGGTGTAACCCGTGACGTCTGGAGGAGCCGAGTGGTTTTCTGTGAGAGAAGAGACACTGTCAGTGGTGTTTAGCTAAAGGATAATTGTCCTATTTGGGTGGAAATTAAATAATATAAAAGTCTGTCACAATAACACACTAATTTCAGAGATCTATAGTTATAAATTATTTTATGGAAGGACTTTTGACTGTTGACATTATTACAAAATTGAACAATATCTGAAGGATATAAATAAACAACAGAATTGGGATAAAGTTACCCCTACATCCTAAAAAACCCAAATATTAAATGTATTTTAAATGTTCGGATGAAACATTATGAAATCATGGGGTAATAATAGATTCAGACTAAGATTTTAACATCACATCAGTAATATCAGTTTTTTACCATCTAAAAAGCATTGCCAGAATCAAAAATACAAAGTCTAAAGAAGACTAGGATCACTGGGCTCTCCAAACAGGCAGTAAAACTGCTCCGTTCTAATCAGTAACAAATCTAACATTGTGTCATTAAAGAACATACATTTAGCAAAATTGTCCTTTTTGAGTTTTTTTTACAAAATTCCATTGTTCCTTTACCAAAACCACATCAACGGCACAAAGGTTTCCCCCCCTTTGTTCTGTTTTATTGCTCCTTCATCAAACTCAAAGCAAAAAACTATTTTCTAGCTTTTAACCATGTTGCTCATCATTTACTTTCTTCAGTCTTAAGATTGATTTCTGCACTTCCCCCTCACAAAATCTTCAATGTTAACACCAAGGCATGCAGATGTACTGTAAAAAATTCAATATTTTTTGTTTTAAACAAGAGAAAACCGCATTGAACTTGACAGTCTAAGATTGTAACAATATTGGAAGTAAAGCCTTTGCAATGACTGGGAGGGGGATGTGTTTGTGCATATTTGAGCCAGAAGTTCTACATTTTAGTATGGATGGAGCTACAACAACCCCAGAGCTGATTTCCATAGAACAATGTTATAACACGGTTAAAATCTCCAAATAGAAGATTCTGCAGAATGTTGTATATGTGTATATACGGTAAATATAAGTGGTCAAGTTTACTACAAAACTATAGAGAGCGCTTTAATAACAATTCTCTATCCCTGCGGCTTTTTCTCCGTCGTCAACAACTTTACTTCTGCGACAAATGGAACTGCTGACTGTGGAACCATGTGAAGTAAACTCAACAAAAGCAGGTTTATATGATTTGGCCTCTGAGAGAAGTCTTTGAGAAATCACTGTGAAATAGAGCCTGCAGGAGACAGGAGACTGGAGGGATACGCCGGAGTGTGACTGTGACCGCTGACTGTGGAGGAGGTTCTGTAGAGAAGGGGTTTTTAAGAGTGATTTTGAGATCCTTATGATGTCCTGGGATCAAAAGATTAAAACTGGGGTACGTGACTTTCAAAGAACTAACATGGGTTCCCTCAACGCTTTCTGTTGAGGGAAACAACCAGTGGTATTTCTGGGTAGGAGAGAGAGGGAGAGAGACCAGAGAGAGACCAGAGAGAGAGACCAGAGAGAGACCAGAGAGAGACCAGAGAGAGAGACCAGAGAGAGACCAGAGAGAGAGAAAGACCAGAGAGAGAGAGAGAGAGAGAGAGAGAGACCAGAGAGAGAGAGAGACCAGAGAGAGAGAGAGACCAGAGAAAGAGAAAGAGAGAGACCAGAGAGAGAGAGAGAGAGAGAGAGAGAGACCAGAGAGAGAGACCAAAGAGGGAAAAAGAGAGGAAAGAGAGACCAAAGAGAGAGAGAGAGAGAGACCAGAGAGAGTGAGACCAGAGAGAGAGAAAGAGAAAAGAGAGAAAGAGAGAGAGACCAGAGAGAGACCAGAGAGAAGAGAGAGACCAAAGAGACAAAACAGAGAGACAAAACAGAGCGAGACCAGAGAGAGGGAGAGGGAAGGAGAGAGCAAGAGAGAGAAAGAGAGGGAGAGAGAGACCAAGAGAGACCAGTGAGAAAGACCAGAGAGAGAGAGAGAAAGAGAGAGAAAGACAAGAAGGAGCAGGACTGAGGGCTATGGGGAGGCCAGAAAGACCAGAGAGAGAGAAAGAGGAAGAGACCAGAGAGACAGAGACAAGAGAGAGAGAGAATTGATCAAAGCAGTGTGCTGCGAGCGACCTCTGACCTGTGCGATGCAGTCTGTGGCGGTGCAGGTGCGCGTGCTGCTGTAGGACGTCTGCCAGTCGCCCCGCCACTCCGCCGCCGCAGCTGCCCCGGGACGAGGAGGACGAGGAGGCGCTGGAGCCAGTGGTGGTGCTGGAGGAGGCGGGGTGCAGGCCGCGGCTGGCCCAGTGCTCTGTGGTCAGGCCGTCCTCCAGGCTGGACGTCCCATTGCCGCCACCGCCGCCGCCTCCCACCCGCTCCCCCTCTGCGCTTTGCTCCTCGCCGTCTGGCTCCGCCTCCGAGCCCGACGACGTGTCTGCGGGAAAGAAGGCAAGGCAGTTTAATTGTCTAGCACGGTTCATACACAAGGCAGATTCAGACTAATTATTTATCCCACCAGGGGAAATTTGTTTGAGCAGCACATACAAAAAAATACACTAAAAAATATATTTATAAATAATAATAATAATAAAATAAATAAATAACATGAAAACACAGGAAATAAGCAAAGGAAGGTTTCTCACCCATCATCTGTACTTCTTAGCAAGTTTTCCCGACGTTTCGTCCTCAACCTGGGGACTTCTTCAGGGAATGAATTCTCGGACCGCGCGTTGGAGATTTATAACCTATGGGTGTGGTAAGCCACACCCTAATCCTGATACTAACTCGTAAACAATCTCAGGTCTGCTTGATGTAGAAGGGAGCAGGTCTAACGACCCTGCTGAGGCTAACGACCCTAACTCCTTAGCATGTCACAGACCTATTGTCTGCTGGGATCATCAAGTGGAGTGCAGGTTTCACCCCTCCTAACTCATTAGCATGTCACTGACCTTGTCCCAAGTTAGGGCATTGTTTTTAGGATGTCGTCATAGATGCGAGGCAAAACAAATCTTAACCCTCCTCCTCTGTTAAGAGAAGGTTTTTGTTTCCTCACAAAAATGGCTTCTTTCACCCCTCTCTCAAACCAATTCTTCTCCCGAGCCAGAATTTTAACCTCTGTGTCCTCCACCGTGTGGTTGGAGGCCTTGAGGTGGAGATGAACAGCCGACTGTGGCCCACTAGAGTTTTCTCTACGATGTTGGTAAAGTCGTTTCTGTAGAGTTTGTTTGGTTTCTCCAATATAGTGGTCAGTGCACTCCTCTTCACTACATTTAATTGAATACACCACATTGCTCTGTTTGTGTCTGGGTGTTTTGTCTTTGGGATGCACTAATTTCTGTCTTAACGTGTTGAAAGGTTTGAAATACACAGGGATTTTGTGTTGCCTAAAGATTCTTTGTAGTTTCTCTGAAACTCCCGCCACATACGGTAAGGACACCCCTCTCCTCCTACTTTCTTCTGTCTGTAGGACTGTGTCTCTGGCCTTTCTCGTCCTTTGGGCTTTAGTAAAAGACCACTTGGGGTAGCCACATCTGGAAAGTGCTCTCTGAACATGTTTGGTTTCTCTGTTCTTTCCCTCCGAGCTAGTGGGGACCTGGTGGGCTCGGTGTTGAAGCGTTCTAATGACCCCGAGTTTGTGTTGTAGCGGATGGTTTGAATCAAAGGCCAGGTACTGGTCAGTGTGAGTGGACTTTCTGAAGACCTCAGTCTCTAATTGTCCGTTCTCCAGTATGATGACCGGACAATTAGAGACTGAGGACAAGAACGGACAATTAGAGACTGAGGTCTTCAGAAAGTCCACTCACACTGACCAGTACCTGGCCTTTGATTCAAACCATCCGCTACAACACAAACTCGGGGTCATTAGAACGCTTCAACACCGAGCCCACCAGGTCCCCACTAGCTCGGAGGGAAAGAACAGAGAAACCAAACATGTTCAGAGAGCACTTTCCAGATGTGGCTACCCCAAGTGGTCTTTTACTAAAGCCCAAAGGACGAGAAAGGCCAGAGACACAGTCCAACAGACAGAAGAAAGTAGGAGGAGAGGGGTGTCCTTACCGTATGTGGCGGGAGTTTCAGAGAAACTACAAAGAATCTTTAGGCAACACAAAATCCCTGTGTATTTCAAACCTTTCAACACGTTAAGACAGAAATTAGTGCATCCCAAAGACAAAACACCCAGACACAAACAGAGCAATGTGGTGTATTCAATTAAATGTAGTGAAGAGGAGTGCACTGACCACTATATTGGAGAAACCAAACAAACTCTACAGAAACGACTTTACCAACATCGTAGAGAAAACTCTAGTGGGCCACAGTCGGCTGTTCATCTCCACCTCAAGGCCTCCAACCACACGGTGGAGGACACAGAGGTTAAAATTCTGGCTCGGGAGAAGAATTGGTTTGAGAGAGGGGTGAAAGAAGCCATTTTTGTGAGGAAACAAAAACCTTCTCTTAACAGAGGAGGAGGGTTAAGATTTGTTTTGCCTCGCATCTATGACGACATCCTAAAAACAATGCCCTAACTTGGGACAAGGTCAGTGACATGCTAATGAGTTAGGAGGGGTGAAACCTGCACTCCACTTGAGCATCCCAGCAGACAATAGGTCTGTGACATGCTAAGGAGTTAGGGTCGTTAGCCTCAGCAGGGTCGTTAGACCTGCTCCCTTCTACATCAAGCAGACCTGAGATTGTTTACGAGTTAGTATCAGGATAGGTTATAAATCTCCAACGCGCGGTCCGAGAATTCATTCCCTGAAGAAGTCCCCAGGTTGAGGACGAAACGTCGGGAAAACTTGCTAAGAAGTACAGATGATGGGTGAGAAACCTTCCTTTGCTTTGACTAATCCCTGTACGACTGAGGGCTTACACAAACACAGGAAATAAGGCAACTCAAATTGAAAAACAAAACGGGAAAATTAATTAGCATCATAGATAATTATAGCGCAATTAAAAAGAGTGAAGATAAAATCCCTTCGTTGTATACACAGATTAACAGAACTGTTTTTAACCTGGATTACACGATTAGTTTTGTGCAAAAACATAGATTTTTATTTAGTAATTGATTCTAGTTCTGTTCATTTCATTCAGAAGTAATACCGTATTTTCCGGACTATAAGCCGCTAATTTTTTCTAGTGTTTTACCCACTGCGGCTTGTACAACAATGCGGCTAATAGTATGTGTAGGAAGCATTAGCACAGTATTGTATCACATTTGACACATATTCAAGCCTCTTCCTCTGCTTTGTGTGAGGGAGCAGGGCGGCGTGTGGCTTTGGGAGGGGCCGCGGAGGCAGAGTCTGATGTTTGTCATTATGTCACGTCCATACAGCTCCAGAGGCGAGATGCAGCAGATATGAGGAAGAACAGAGGATGACCCAGTTCTCACAGGTGTCTGGGTCCCACTGGGGAAAGAGGGGGCTGGGGGGAGGGGGAGAGGGGCGAGGGGGGGAGTGCAGAGGTGAGGCGTGACCTACTAAAGCCACAATATCCGCCCAGACTTTCAAAGGAGAACTGTGGGCGTGAGATAATAATAAAAAAATATATATATATTATTGTTGGCGCAGCTGTTAGAGCTTGTGGTTCACAGCAAGAAACTCCTGGGTTCGATTCCACCTCCAGGCCTGGTATGTTCTTCCTGTGTCTTTGTAGGTTTCCTCCAGGTGCTCCGGTTTCCACATATGGCTAAAAACATATACAATACAATATAGGTATGAACGTAATGAGTGGTTTTGAATGGGGGCTTTTATGCACCAGTGTGTTTGGCGTCTCGCTTCCGTCATCACCGTATGGAGAATAGAGAGAATGGGGGTACAAAAAATCTGAACTCCAAAAATATTGTGAAGCTCTTTGGTGACCTTGGTCCGAGAAATGTGCTAAATGGAAAAAGATGACTTACTTACTTAGTACTATTGTGCCAGACCCTAGTATTAATATGTTTTCATTTCAGCCTTTAATCATGATCTACTATGGCATATCATGTTTGAGAATATGAAATTATTTCTTAAAGCTGAAATGTTTAACTTTGAAAGGACAAAAATATTTTCTCACATAGTGGCACAATTACTATGTCCTATCATTACAGGTTTTTTAGACAGGAGGGGCTGAGTTCCATGTGTGTGCCAGAAGTGTTTGATTTTAGCGTGAATGGGTCTAAAAACAACTCCAGATTTGTTTTTTTGATGAGAAAACAATATTGTAACATGATTAAAAGCTCAAAAAAAAGTCTTTAATAATGTAAAACCTAGGCTGTACAGAGATGTCCCCATTCTCTTCTATGGCCTCATTTTACAACTTAAAATCCATTTCTCTTTGTGTCTGACTCCTGGCTGAGTTTGTGTGTCCAGGTTCAGACCAGGACACTGCAGTAGTCTAGTCTCTCCCTCAGACAGACGCTGCCTTTACCATCCCCGCACTAAATCCTCTCTCCTTCTTTGACAGACAGGGGCTGGTTCCATGTTGTGTGCCCCCTCCGGATCTCTGTGGGCAGTTCTGGTCGTGGCCACATTGTTTCGCAGCTTCTTGTTTTAACTGCTGTTTTATGTCCCACAGATTTGTCAGCTCTACATGAGACGCCAAAGCAAAGAATCTTGGGAGTTCATGTGTGGAGATGAGCAGTCGGAATGTTGACAAGGACAAACAGAATACAGGACACAAAACAACACTCAGATAGGCCTAAACACTCTCTGACCCTACACCCCCATCACTTGCACTGTGCTGAGGGAATCCACCACCTCTTTAGTACTTTTAATCTATACTTTTGAATGTAACCATATTTCAAAGTACCAATACTGTATGTAAGATTTTCATGTCAAGTCATCATTAAATGGCCCTAATCTGTCAAAAGGCATTAATAAAACATGTTAGGGTAAAAAAATTAGTTTTACAGCACCCTAAATCTTGTTGTTGTTTTCATTTTGATGTCCCGCCCTCCACCATTTCAGAAATCAGAAATTCCGTGATCCGGGTTGCCAGAACTCACCGTGTCGAGGTGATCTGGTAAAGTACCATGTTGCGGCAGAACTAAAAAAGGTCACGTTACGATTCACAAATCATTAATGACAAAACAAGGAATAAAACCAGCATTTAAATCGGGGCCTTTGTGAAAAAGGTTTTGGTTATAGATTTGACAAAACTCCAGTCTATTCAGCTATTATGGTCCCAGCTGGATTCGTCTGCATATCTGGCAACCTGAGTGAGGGAGAGTGGGAGAAGTTGCAGTATCACTTTTGGCCAGATTTGTTAAATATTGCTGCTTTAACATGTTTTTAAGGCTTCACAGCTTCACACGGTACACAACATCGGCCATAACTCAGTCTGTCGTGCGTCTGCGATACTTTTCTCAACACTCATGTGAAACGCCTGCATCCAAGACCTATTTCTGGAGGAATGTCCCAAGTGCATTTAAAACAGTTCTAGCACACTGTGAGCTGCATTCTGTGGTCACAAAGAGGCCGTATACATATATCACGCATGAATCAATATAACTGCAACTTATAGGAAGCTCTTTTTGTACATTGTGTTTAGCCAAGCGTCAAGGCCGTCTGGGTCTAGATTTGTGAAAGATTTATAAGATGCAACCAGAGTAACTTTTGTGGCGCTTGCTCGTCTCTTTGGAGATGTTATTGCAGTAAAGTAATGCAAGAAAAGTGTTCAGATTTATTCAGAATGTCCATAATAGGTGCACTTTTCAGATTCAGTATTTGCATTTACTTTAGCATAATAAAGAGGCAAGTATATGATCTCTAGCTTTAGCATAATAAGGAAGCAAATAAAAATTCTCCAACATTAGCATAATGAAGAAGCAAGAATTAAGCATAAAATCTCAGACTTTACCATAATAAGAAGAATAAAGTCTCTATCTTAAGCATAATAAAGAAGAAAGTATAGAAATATATTTTTGTATGTACATCTGTAAAACCACATTGGAATGACTGTGACCAGAGTACCCCATGTGTGCACCAGACAGAGCAGATAGCACACGACAGAGCTCTTGCCACGGCGCCATTTCTCAGTGACATGTGCTTTTCCTCATTAAAAAATGTTTTCAATTACACTGGAGTTGTAGAATATAAACTTTAACCATGTCTTTTTCTAAACCATTAAAGAGTTTATGGAAGAAAAATCACAAATCGGTTACGTTTAACTTTGTGAAATCCAATTGAAAATGCAACACTATGATTTGTTCGCTCAAAGTGGGCGGGTACCTATTTGCTTCTGACCCATCTGTGGTTGGACTGGGCCTGGATTCAGTGGAGAAGGTGGCAAGATCAGGGCGATATTGTTGAACCAGAGCCATCCCTTTAACTAATTTTTTTTTCCCGCCAGAGAAGCACCGTGAGCTCCAGACACGTCTCTCTGAGATGCTCCAAGGACAGATTTAAAAACTCTTTTGTCCCTAACGCCATCAAGCTTTTTTAACAAAACCACTTCAGGGAGGAGCAGAGGGGGAAGAGAGAGACGTCTTGAGCAGTGCCTTGACTTCTCATTTTATGTAGTTATGATGAGGTTTTTTCTTTTTACTTTATCTGTGTATCTATCTATCTATGCATCTATCTATCTATCTATCTATCTATCTACGTATCTATCTATCTACCTAGTGTTCCATCCCAATGCCCTGCAAAAACTCTAGACTATTATTATCAACAATATGAATACAAGTTGTGCTATGTGTTTTCCCCAAGGACAAACAAGGATTCTACTGGAAACAAAATCCACTCACTTTGTTTAAACCTTCACTTTGAAAAAAACAAGTCCAGGATGTGACTTCATCTTCCCTCCAATAAAAAAATGACAGAATGTGTGCATTATCCCACATTAGTCTAGTGTTAGGTGACTTCAGCGCAGCCTGGGAGCACATTGGAATCACTTAATAATGATGATTAGAACAATACATGCCACAGACTCTTCACATACAGACAGCAGAGAACGTTCTGGACAAACTTCTGCATGTTTACAATTACAGTGTCCAGTAGGATTACGGCTATAGTGGGAAACGTGGTGATTATGGCCCATTGTAGCAGTGACCGAGGCTGTGTCTAAAGCATACACCCTCAATGAGTTTACGAGGCAGAAATGCAGTTAATTATACCGTCTGTTGGAAAGGCAGACACTTTGCATGGTGCAGTTATTTCCTAGTGGCCTATGGGAATCTTACATGGGAAAGAAAGAAAGAAAAGCTTGTTTGTGATTTGCTTTTTGCTTAAAGAATACAAAACATGCTTCTCAATGTAGCTATTGATATAAAACTATGTAATAATTGGCGGTACTGTGGCAGAGTGGGTAGCATTTCACTGTCAGATTGTGGCATAACTACATTTCATTTTGATTCGAGAAAAGATACTCAATGCTCAATACTGATCGTTTTCAAAGTAATTTCTAATGAAAGCTATTTTTGGACAATAAACTAACTTTGAACTGAAATGAATAATACTTTTGATGTGGCCATAAAGTTTTACGTAAGTTCCTTTGGTATAGTTTTAAAATGATTAAGAAAAGCTAAATAAATGTCTAATTTGGTCTTGTTTCTGTAACAATTTTGCTTAAATTAGTAAGTTTTAGTACTCAATGCGTTTGTACGTTTCTTCCTGTGTCTGGATGGGTTTCCTCCGGGCGCTCTGCTTTCCCACACCACCCAAAACAAGAAATATTCCTCCAGCTCTGGTAATCCTGGTCAAGAGCATCAACATCTGCTGCTGACAGAGACCCAAGTGTCACTGAAGGATGGGTCAAATGCAGAAGACACATTTCCAGTCTCACGTACAGTACGTATTTATAATTGCTCTATGCTTTCTCCTTTTAGGAAACAAATCAAATCCATAAATCACATCTAAAGAAAATAAAATCGGAGACCAAATTGTCGTCACTTTGACGCAAACAAATTGACATCACTTGCGCAACACGTTGGTCACCACAAGGCCCTTACGTTTCCTGCCGCGCAGCATCGAAATGTTCTAACTACGTAAGGGTCGCCGCAAGGAAGCTCCGCTGTGATTGGTCCGTGTGTGTGTATTGGAAGGAAGCACAGAGTGGCTACAGGGAGCATGGACGAGGCACTATGGAGCAGACTGCTTCACGCTTCGAAGGAATCAAAGGAAAAGTAGTTTGGGCTCATGGCCGAGCCTGATATACGCGGAGACTATGGACTATCTAACATATATATAACTTATAAACTGTGCAGTCGTTTGTTTTGCACTGTTCCTGTCTTGTCTGAATCTGCATTCGTAGCTTATTGCGTCTGTTCCATTCCTCCTGCACTTATAAATTGTTCATGTTTGCCTCAGATATTTACCACTTTTATTGTTTTGCTGTTTATGCTGAATAAAATTTAATAATAACTATGTTTCCAACAAGAACTGTGTCTTTATTCACAACATCACAGTTAAGTGACTTAATAAATAATGAGTCCATAGAACTATCGCATAAACCTACAGCAGAAACACATGTAATGATCTCAAACAGCTCGGTTTGTTCATGTTTTGTTCTGAAGAGGAGAAAGTAGCAGCGTAAAGACCGCTTTGGTATCTCAAGCAACTCCTGTGAGATCGCCATCGTGCGGTTGGTTGTGCGATTACAACATTCTCCTCAAAATATATAAATTATATTATATATAAATGTATAAATTAAATTGTGCTTGCGTAGGTTCACCGCAACCGCTAACGTAAGCAGCGCCGCGCAAGTATACACTAGGCTTTAGACCTTAAATAGTTTTGCTTTGTTATAGCGAGCACTTTAGCCCTCTTACTTCCGCTAGATTCCAATTCACTCCAAGAATAACTGCCATGGTTTAGTTGGCTGAACTTCCTGTGTTGGTTGAAAAGCAGCGTATCATGATAATAGTGATATAATTATGATATTTTTCTTACCTGGGGGAGTGTAAGCGTCCACTGAAGTCTGAACCACCAGAGACCTGCGTTTGGAGGGAATGGGGACGGCCATCTTCCTCTCCTTGTGTTTGGCCAACGCAGCCTGAACCGCTTCTGTGTGAACATCTGCGGAACAATAAACATAAATATTAACATTAGCCCCTACAGTTTGCTTTTTTGTTGTTGTAGCCATTTAAAATCAGACTTTATTCAGCCATCGGCCAGTCCAACTTTGACAAATTGGCATAGGCCTCAGAAAATCAGTCGATCTATGGTTAGAATGGTCAATTTTTTGTCTGTTTGCATATAATAGACTATAAATGACTTCAAATAACAGTGGCTATTTGAGTCCTTGTCCCTCTCTCTCTCAGGCCTCCCCTCCAGGCCCTGCTCCTCTGTCTCGCAGCTCATATACCTGATCTGTAGCGCTCGTCCCTGGAGCCGGATAAGCGTCTGCGGCTGTAGCGCGAGGATGAAGATGGAGTGACCGGCGTCTTCCTCTCCTGACCCATGGGCGCTTCAGAGCCTGAGACTGGACACAAAATAACACAAGGGTTAGACAGAGATAGACCTCAATGATTGTGGCAAGATATCACTTTTCTTTTGCGTTCCCTCATGATTTACTTGAAAAATGGAAAAAGCGACCACACTAAATTGGCTTTTTGCTGTATTGCTGGGTCCTCCCAATTTACCGCAAAACATTAGACTATTAATATCCTCAATTTGAATACAAGTCGTCCTCTCCAAGGATTAATCAGAGGGAATGACGGGAATGATAGATCGTACTTGCATTTACTTGATGATCGTAGATTGTTTTAGTAGTTTTTCAGAGGTTGTTGACCATTTTTATTTCAAGAGCTACCGGCCACTGGGCAAAGAAACATTAAGTTGGCTAAAGCAAGTGTCTAAGCAACTACAAATGTCAAAGTAGCAAAATATTTTCGCTCCAAAAAGTGTAAATAGATTTATCCTAGTCAAAAATACCTACATCTACAGCTCACATTTAATGCAAAATAATTGAGTTTTTTTGGGGTAATTTACAACATTTACCTCCGTAGGTGTGTTATTCTAAAGACCTATGTTTTTATGAGGTTTTTTTTCTCCTGGGACAACAGTTGGAAACGTTGGTATAATGTTTTCACCACGGGGTAAACAGGAATGTGTCAAAATGAAAAGGTCAAAACAAACTTTGGGCTTCCGAAAGACATGAAAATATTAATTTCTAAATTGTTCACTGAGCGCCCCTCGGCAAAATGTCTATGTCGCGAGGCGGGTTGAATGTCGAGCCACTTGGACACATGGCTCAGTGTGTAAGGAAGCGGCATCCCGTTTAATGAAGGTTGAATTAAGAAATCATTTATAATCAAGATCACAGTTAGAAGCCAAATTAACACACAAAAGATGCGTTATATTTGTCCATTAAAGCATTTTAATATTACGATTAAGATAGCCTTAATCGTAATATTAAGGCTGAGGGAATATTAATATTGCTCTTCTCCCTGTACACCAACCACTGCACCTCCAGCCACGACTCCGTGAAGCTGATCAAGTTCGCGGACGACACCACCCTCATTGGACTCATCTCCAACAACGATGAGTCCGCCTACAGGAGGGAGGTGGACCGGCTGGTGTCCTGGTGCAGTGGTAACAACCTGGAGCTGAACGCCCAGAAGACAGTGGAGATGATTGTGGACTTCAGGAAGAGCACTGTCCCCCCACCCCCACCCTCCGTGATGGACTCCCCCATCACCTCTGTGGAGTCCTTCCGTTTCCTGGGCACCACCATCACCCAGGACCTCAAGTGGGAGCCGACCATCAGCTCCCTCATCAAGAAGGCCCAGCAGAGGATGTACTTCCTGCGGCAGCTCAGGAAAGCCAAGCTGCCTACACAGATGTTGGTGCAGTTCTACACGGCCATCATCGAGTCCATCCTCACCTCCTCCGTCACCGTGTGGTTCGCTGGAGCCACAGTCAGGGACAAACAGAGACTACAGCGCATTGTGGTGCAAGTGATCGGCCGCAGCCTTCCATCGCTGCAGGACCTGTACGTCGCCCGAGCTCGAGGCCGGGCTGGTCGTATCACAGCCGACCCCTCTCACCCTGCACATGGACTATTCCAACCACTCCCCTCAGGCAGGAGGCTGCGGTCCATCAGGACTAGAACCTCCCGCCACAAGAACAGTTTCTTCCCCTCTGCTGTTGGACTCTTGAACACTTCTTAACCTGTCCCCCCGCCCTTTATAAAGTCACTTTACTGCCCATCATACGTCACTTTACTTCACTGTACTGCTGTCACCTTACATTGTGTGCACCATGTGCACTTGTATATTGTAAATAGTAACTGTAACTCTATTTTAAATTTAAATTTATTCTTTAGAAGTGTTTTTTATTCTTATTTTTATTATCTCTTTTTGACTGTTGCACTGAGCCAAAGCAATTTCCTAGTCTGTGACCTCCTGTTACTTACGTGGCAATAAAAATGATTCTGATTCTGATTCTGATTCTTTGTAAGTCACAAAGTGGGTAAATTTCAGTGTTACATTACAAGTTATAGAACAGTAGGAAAGAGGAGCACACAGCACAAGGTAAGATAAGTAAACAATAGCTGTACTAAAACAAAACCTTTAACTCTAGCATCAAAAACAAGTATAAAATCTAGATCTTGAAAATAATGATTATAAAAAGAAGTGTGAAAGTTAGAGCCTGTCTATACAGTTTTTGGTATGACATTAAAAACAGCATTCACATGGCTGGAAGACTGACAAATGACCAGTTAAAAGCCCCTGCATTGAGAACCTTTGCCCACCCGCCCACTGTGCTCCTGGCTCAGACCAATCGATGGCTGTTAGTGATACCCCAGAGTTACGGACATCCAGAAGAACTAAACGCTCAGACTCCTCGCCTCGTTCGTCTTTGTTAGTCCTCCCTCCCAGAGCAGAGCAGCTGGGAAACTCTGCAGAAAAAGCTCAAAAGTAGATTATTCCAGCATAGAACCGCCGTATGAGCGTTCTGGGAAAAAAAAATACAAGGTTTTACCGCTTCCCACGAGAGAAAAGTAGGAGGAATGGACCGCTTTTTCAATTTAATTTCAATGCAATTCCATTCAAAAAACAAAAAACTAACATCTTATTGATTAAATCTTCATTAAAGTCACGGAATCTCTGACTAGTCACTATTCATGTTTGACTTCAAGTAGCGAAAACAGAAAGCGGAAACTATCACAGCGTAGACAAAAGTCAAATTATAAGGCGTATAATATCTCCTTTCATTCAACATGACATTTAGAGTTTGTTTGAGCCGAATGAGAAATGATCTGAGGGACATTAAACGCATCACGCTGCAGAGGTGTGGGTTGTGTTTGCTTGCCCTCGGCTCGTAGGAAATGTCAGCTTTCTGTTTAGGACATTTATATTAGCAGCACAGTCTCATGTCTTGATGAAAATTTTAAGCAATTAGGAACAAGTAAGATCAACATTGGACACTGGTCTAGTAGTATTTGTAAGTAAGTCTCAGATATGATACTAATACGAATTTATTACATCTGTATTTACAATATTTAAAACATTGTGCTCACAGACAAGGATGAGTGAGAGGAGTTCAAAAACAGAAAAAAGAATAATAACAAACACATGTGGGATGACCAATGTCCACAAATGTTGATACATAAAAATAATAATGCATCGGTTTTTTTTCAATATTCATTCAGTCCATACACAGAGATGAAAAAATACTACAGTAGCCACAGCTGCCCTGGGGGGCACTGCCAGAAGCGAGGCAACCAGTAGTGCCATCGGCCCCTGCGACCACCACCAACTAGGGGTGTGACGATATATCGATATATTGCAATACTTTCTCCCGCGATTCGATTATCGACATGCATTTGTCAAGTATCAATATCAATTTTGAAACAAAAAAAAGATTTTTTCTTTTTTTTATTTGAAGAAAAAAATAATTGGTATCAATACTTAATATATGGCTACATTACACTTATCCATTCTATTTATCATAAAATAAAGTGTATTTTTTCTTTTATCTATGTCATAAATTGGCACATTGTATATTTCTGACCACTAACCATTCACACACACACACCAGACTCATTCTAGTCAATGTGGGTGAAGTGTCTAGCCTAAGGACACAACATTTTGGCACTTTACAGCCGCATCCGTCCCACTGTGCCCCTTGGTGTTCCGAGAGGTCTCCCATCACAGCACTAACACAGTACTAATTCCTGCTTAGCTGCAAACGTCTGATGGGCTCTGGCTTTTCACATGCAGGTATCAATAAATACATAAATAAATATCCAGGATCATAATCAAGTTTTTTCACAGGGTTTCATTCCAACAGCATGAACTAATCAAACGACAGAACAATGACGTAACTCGGCGTCAGTCTGAAGGAACGGAGGGACTTCCACGTCTGCTCAGTACAAAGGTCAAGTCTGTGCCGGCTCCCAGAATGACTGACAATACTTTAAGCAGCGATTATTTTTATCACAAGTTGACTGACAGATGGATGTGCCCGTGTCATGCCACTGTCTTTAGAGGAATCAGAAAGGAATGTGGCAAATATGCGAGAAGGACGTGAAAAGTTAAATGATTGACTTTTAAAAGCATTCAAATGGACATGGATATATCTTGGCATGCAAATGAATAATGTACAGTAATAAATGTGTTTTATAAGGTATTCCAGGTACCAAATCCCATATTCTGTGTGGAACATTTCAAGCAAAGAAAATGGAATCAGTGACATCTCTTATCGTCCATCAAAATGTGACAAAGTGCAGCTTTTGAATTGCGAAAATTAGACATGTGTCATTAACATGTGTCCGTTTGCTTTGTAAGGGATAATGTATAGCCTACAGGTCATTATCGGAAAATAAGTACCGACAGGGCGAAGCGGACCCCGACGCGCAGGGGTCTGCTTCCGCCCTGAAGGTACTTATTTTCCGATAATGACCTGTAGGCTATACATTATCCCGCTTATTATACTGCTTTGTACCAACTTAACACACAAAATAAACTTCAGATCACTTTTATGAATGCCAAAAGTTTATTTAATGACAACAAATAAAGTAGTCCCAAAAAGTTTTCCCGTTGCTCGGCAACCGCGGGCAACAGTTAGGCTGGCAACTTCCAAACTAGAACTCTCTGGAACTGCATGAAAACTGAACAAAGAATTCTGAACATCAGCGGTGAGTGACCCATACATAAACCTAACCTAAATCCATAATTCGATCCTCTGCAAATGTGTCCGAAAATGTGCCGGTATCTTAAAATGTGCCGGTATCTACTTCCGGGTTTTTCGGGATCGCCTTTTCTCGCATTACATCAGTGTTTTTGTCATGAAAACGTAAACGGAAAATTCTGAAAACTTCCGTGCACTTGTATTAAGACTGGATATGTATAAATTACTCTCCGATTAACATTTCATTGCGTTGATTGATTGGCATTTGCGTTTATTGAGCGGCCAGAACTACTTCCGGGTTTTTCACGATCGCTTTTTGACGCAGAGAAATAGTATTTTTGTCATGAAGACAAGACCAGAAAATTCTGAAAATTTCCGTGCACGTGTGTGAAGAATGTATATGTATAAGTATTCTCCGATTAACATATAAGTGTGTTGATTGAGCGTGGCTAGCTCCGGAGTGGCCGGAACTACTTGCGGAGTTATCCACGCATTTGAAAGACAAGCAGAGAGTGCGTTGCCATGGGCACCTCTGCTGCTGTGACCCGTCCTGCTCCACCTCTTCTGCTGTGACCCGTCCTGCTCCACCCAGAGGCTACTCCACCTCTTCTGCTGTGACCTGAAGGGCTGTTGCTGATTATTACTACTTCTCCTACAGAGATCAATAAAGTATCTATCTATCTATCAATGCAAAATATCGCGATACTGAACAGAATAGATTTTTTCCGCCATGACTAATGTTAATAACTGAGAGCTGTAAAATACATGAGGGAAAATCCGGGAGAGACAGAGCACGGCAGTGGACACATAATATTGTTATTTTCATATCTCTGCTCACAAACTGATTCGATTAGACCAGTCGGCCACTTTTAAACCACAGCAACAAAACCAGAAATCCCCTCCATCTGTTGTACAACCGACAAGAGACAAAAATGGGATTCTTTGACTGAGAAATCCCACACAAGTATCAGTTTAAATGTAAGAGTAAGTTTTACCTGGGGACTGTGGCAGATATGCACCAATCAGCTTGGAGCGTTTCTTCTCATAGCCTTTCTGTGTGATGTCACCTGAAGCAGAAAAACAAAAAAGCAAGATTTGAGTATTTTACATCTAAATTGGAAAGATAAAAGATACAGGGATTTTTAACTAGATTTCTGAGAAGGAAATATACTACTTAAAAGGTCAGCTGTTATTAAAAAATATCTGTTTTAGCTCCATTTGCGCTAAAATTATTAACTTCTGTGTGTAAGACATTTGGAATATTTGTAATCAAAGCAGTAGCATTTGGGAATGAGGCAGAGAGGGCTAAGAATATGCCAACAAACCAAAAAACAGAAATTGCAGATCTCAAAATAAAGGTGAAACATAGAATATTGTTTCTTTCTGCACAACGTTTGAAATAAAGTCTTACCATATTGTTTTATTTTCACATTCTACTTACAATGTGACATAAAAGACAGACTCCTTACAGGCTACTTTTGATTAAATATATGATGTATATAATTTAATGTCACAAATTTTACATTTTTTCTTCTTATTAGTTCGTAACTTGCTTTTTAATGAAATGGAAAAACTGCACTTATACTGTATTTTATATCTTATGTTTCTGTGTTTTTTATGTATCCCCACTGGGGCTCTGTCTGCAAATGAAGTTTGTCACGGTTAAATAAAGTTATTTGAATTGAATTGAAATGAAACGATAAAAAAACGCTTAATGGGATAATGCAGTTTTATTGAGCTAGCATCAGTAGCATCAAGAAGCTAAGCTAAGAGAACATTTATTAGTCCCACAGTGGGTAAATTTCAATGTTGCAGCGCACATACAGGGCAGTAGTCAGAGTACACAAGGAGCACACAAAATATACAATATAAGTAGCTGCAATAAGTACTTCAGCTATTTTTAGAAGCAGGCTCAAGACATACCTTATTAGATTAGCTTTTGATTAGCATTGACTATGTATTATTTCATTTTATTTGTTATTTATCTCTTAGACACATTTTATTTTGGTTTTATTTACTTAATTCATTAATTTTGTTTTGCTATTGCTATTATCAATATCAGGTAGCAGCCATTTTCTTTTTAGAATTGGGATGATATTTCTGTCCCAAAATGTGGAGATTGATTATCTGCATGAATAAAGGGCAACGGTACCGAGCGGTGTTTGACGTGACAGATTAATATGGAGTGAAGTGAATGAGAAATGAACGTGTCAAACCCTCAGCGGGAGGAGAGCGTAATCACATCCCGACACGGAGGAAAAGGGGATGAGCCCAGAAGGAATATGTTTTGATTCTTATGTGACATTTCTGTGATTTAACACCATCGCTGTCGATTTTAGTTCACAATGTGGATGTGGATGGGGCCCTTTTGAGAAGCAGATGAATGAACCCGACCCGTGGATCATCCGTTCTTTTGATTTTCTAAATAAAACCATTTAGAACAGGAATAACGATTGATGATTATGATTCTCGACATTTGAATTTAACGCAAGATTGAAATATTGGTTTGTCTTTTTGTTTTCTGCGGATCAAATTAAATTAAAAATGCAGTAAACCAATAATGACCGTCTAAATTACTTTTTTGCGATTTTCCTTTGAAACACAAGAGCCCAAAATGTAGTGGATTCAACTGATGGATTTTATCTTCACTCTTTTTAATTGTTCTGTAATTTCATGTTTTTAATGCCTTGTGTGACTTTTTCTATCTTGTTTCATTAAGAACTTTCAGATGCCTTGTGTACAAACTGTGCCATAAAGGCTAGTTTCAAAGCCTGATACTGTTGGATCGCAAAAGCTCACCAGTCCAGGGTCTGGTTAGTGCTGTGATGGGAGACCACTGAATACCAGGTGCAGTGGGTTATTTGGGGCTCGACCGATTATCGCCCCCAAAATAGTATGTATAATTTGTTAAATAATTAATAATTTTGACCAGTATATATATATTATTTACTGGTCAAAATATTAATCTAGTGCAGCCTACAAGTCGAATCTATTAGCATTCATGGACATTGGTAATCCGCCTTTTATGAACCAATGTATTTTTTATGGTTGCATTTTCTGTGCTTGGACTGATTCTCTGATCTGTCTTAGCGAATCGACAGCTCTTCAAACTTGAATTGAATAGAATTAAATGTGTCTGTTGAGCTACAATATTAGCTTTAGACCTAAAACAGATATAGTGTATGTATCTCAGTGGAAATGCAGTTTGAGTATTATTATGTTTAATCCACATGCTCAGAGTGGCTTCTTTAACACCATATCTCCCAGTGGGTGAAATATTCATTGACCTTGCACCGACGCATATAGACTGTATAGAGCTTCTTATAAATTATGGACAGATGTATACATATTTCACACTGGCCTCAGTTTGACTGCGGCTGAGACATAATGTATACATATGAGAAGCGGCCTATGGCAACCAATGACGACCATAGTATCAGACTATCGGGGACGTGGAGGACAGAGAGCAGCGGTGGAAGCAACGATAATAACAAAGTGAAAGTAGGTTAACACAGGTGGTTCCAAAACTGTGGGTCAGAGCACTGTTTTTAGCTTGTAAAACGACATAAGGAAATCTTAAAAAATTAAAATTATAAAAGGGAAGTGCATTTTTCTCAACAAAAAAATACTTCTTTTATACAGTGGAACTCTGTACAACTGCCTGCTCTAAATTATATCACGCCATGTAGGGCTGGGTATTTTAACGCAAATACTGGATTCAGATTTGCCATTTGCAGTAAAACCACATTGGAATACATTTGCAAAAGTCCCTAGAGTGCACATAGATAAAACAAGGTTAAAAGTGCAGGAATAAAAAAGGGCTGGAAACAATTGACACTGTGAGATTGATGAACTAAAACAGTTGAGGACTATTGGTGCATTTGTATTTAATTTATTGAAGATGAAAGTTAAAACAAATACAATATATATAGATACTATAATAATATTGATGCATTTCTTTTGTATAGCGTTTTTTTCAGACGCTTCACATGTCATTACTCTTTCACTCCAAAGACAGTGGTGATGAATTACTACTGTAGCCACATATGCCCTGGGGCACACTGACAAAAGCGAGGCATCTAGTATGTGCCAATCGACCCCTCCGACCACCACCAACCATTCACACACACACCAGACTCATTCTATTTAAAGACCTTATGCCGGGTTTAAAAAAAAAAAAAATGTGGATATCAAAATTACATGACAATGTCAATCTAAAATAAATTCCGGCAAAAAAAATCCTATATTTTATAAAAAGAACGTGTTTTTCATGAATTTAATTGTCTATGCTCTAACCTGTGTGTGACGTCATAGCAGGTAACGCCCATGCATTGAAAACCATGGATCTATGCCACAGGACTGCCTTTTCTCTCTTCTCTCCACTGTTGCCCAACACAATACTGCACTCTACAGGTGACAATTGCTCACTACACATAAATTACCGTTTTGAGAGTGAAAATGTGTCTGAGGTGGGATTTGAACCCCAGTATCTGGATTGGCAGTGCATCGACATAACCACTGGACTATCTCAGTAATCTGCTACTCGCTGTACACCGCCTTTTCATCTTGAATATCCGTGAAAAAAGAATGAATACCAAATTGTAAACAACTTACAGCGTTGAAACGTACCCACGCTGACAGGGCTGTGAAGTTTTTTCGTCTCTAAGGGCGTTGCTATGGGGTTATTTCGATTTGGGGGAATCAGACAAAAAAAACAACAACTGATTTTGAAACCTTTAGTAGTTCTCTTCTAATATAAAATGGTATTAAAACAGAATATTTCTAAATAAATCAAACCCGGTATAAGGTCTTTAATGTATTTCCTAAGGACAACCTTACAGCCGCAACTGCCCCACTGAGGCAACTGGTGTTTCCCAAAGGTCTCCCATCACAGCACTAACCAGACCCTACCCTTCTTAGCTTCATAAGTCTGACGGGATCTGGCTTTCACACGCAGATATAGCCACACACCTGCAAAAGTCAAAGTAAATATAGTTTAAGGGCCTACCGTAAACACACAGTATATTGTATGTTATTTCGGGTTATCTACTTCCCCGTTTTGTACACTACACCCATTTTTTTGTACGCTACCCAGACATTTTCCCCATAGAACTCAATGTAAACTAAAACAGCTCGACCTCAGCTGACAGAGAACCTGAAAGAGAACCTACAGCTTTCATAAAGATCGGATTTTGTGGGGATTTTAGTGTCCCTTGTCATCCTGAACTTTATTTCTTCTTAAATCCTTCGGTTTTCTTTAAATCCACACTTTAGTGCCACAAACTCTGCTCGTTTGGCTCCCGCTCTAACTTCGCTCTGTTCAGCAGCCGGGGCTCGACTGCACCGTTAAAACGACATGACCCCTAAATACTGCTCTGAGTAGGGACTAGTGTGAACATTTCAGACACAGCCTCAGTCCACCTCTGACATTTCCGAATTTGACAGAATGTAATTGATCCGTTTCAATGTTTTTAAATGTCAGGCGTGTCTGAGTTTCCCCTGTCCTCTTCCCTGGCTGTGGTGTGGAGTGTGTGTGTGTGTGTGTGTGTGTGTGTGGAACAGAGAGGACTGTGACGGATGCTTGCTTTGGTTAAATAGTTTTTTTACACTCCCAGCTGCGGCACGAGACACACGAGCGACCCCATTACCTTATACAGGCACAAAGCACCAGAGCAGAGGGAGCAGGAGGGACTGAGCCAGGCCAGACCAGCCCTGCACACACTTCATTGTCATTACCTGCGTCACTGCGAGAGAGTTTTAGACTATTTTGAATTCCAATTTTGTGTTTTCATGCCTGGCTCCTGCTGGATTCAGGTTAGACTTAATTGCTGCTCTGAAGGGAACTATGACTAATAATAATTTGGTTGTTTTGAAGTTTTGAGCGATGGTTTTTTTGTGTCGAAACCACAAGAATCCATCTCAAAGCAACCGATGTATTTTCTAATTTTATAAAAAAAATGTCATGGTAATGCAACAAAATATCACAATGATCCAGCAACTACAACAATAATACATTCCCTGAAAAAAATTAGAATACAGAATATAGGTTATTTCCATGATATGAAGTGTTTTTGCTAATGTTACTGTGTGTGAAATAGAACCAATAGTAAATATTTTTCAATCATATACCAAAAAGTAGAACAAATTCAATCCATGGTTTTCTGAAGGATGAGGAATAAGGACCAAAACTGTATTATTGTACACTTTGAAAAGGGCAAAAGTAATTCATAAGCAGAAAGCTACTACTACCAAAATGCTACTTGCTTAAAATAATATAGTTGCTGTCTCATATTTCTCCTTTCGACTATTCAGATGAGAAAATCGGCGAACAAAGTAAAAGTATTGGGTGTGACACATTGGTCTCAATTATAATACAATTTAAATGACTCGAATATGTAATGAATGAATCGCTCTACAACAATATTGAGCGTGTAAATGACAAGTGTATGACAAGTACATGCACACTAGGTTTAATCCTCCAGGTCCGGTAGTCCTGACCAAGCCGAGCATCAACATCTGGAGATGGGTTCCCGGGCGCTGTTACTACGGCGACCACTGCTCCTGATGTAAGCCGTAGTGGCATCAGGATGGGTCAAATGCAGAGGATGAATTGCCCTACGAGGATCAATAAAGCGCATCTTCACCTATACCTTTTTATATGTAAGAGACATAGAAAATGGCCTTTTTTCCAAAACAGTTCCACGCCAATATCAGGAACTTGTGGCACTTGTGTAGCTCCGCCCCTTCAGTCTAAAAGCTCCAGTTTCAGTCCTGTAATAGTATGATGTCATAGTAGCACCACAACAACTCAGCAGTTTTAATTCTTTTTAAACAAAAGCACTGCCCATAAATTAGTTTTGGTATTTTTTCTCAAGTGAAGGTTCTTTGCAATCACGTGGCTGTGTTTGAAGCTGGTAATTTTCAAATATGGAAAAAACCAAAACAAATTCTACACCTCCTTCTGCTGGTAGCATAGGAAAAAAGGGCTATCAATCAATCAATCAATCAATCAAAGTGTATTTTTAAAGCCCAGTTTCTACAAAATGTAAAGCGCTTCAAATTGACAACATTGGAAAGCAACAATCAGAAAATCAGCATACATTATTCTTGTTTCACTGTATATTTTCTACTGAAGATAATATTTCACATTATTAAATCTCAGTATCATTCTTGTACTCCTACTACTACTACCACACATTTTACACTGCAACAAGTGATACAATATAAGGTAATATTTGCTTGAATCAAGTGTTTTTAATCTTAATTTAAGTACATTCTGATGTGCTCAAACTATGACCCATTTTGCAAAATGTAAGAATTTCTTTACTTTACTTTTGTATCACTTTTTGCAGTGTACCACTACTATTATTATATGGCAAAATAGACTACTCCAGAGACAACTTTACAATCAGATATCCGCCTCTGAAATGTAAATAGGCTGAAGGCATTAGTAGTTTGCAGCTATAACAGTAGTGTCAGTGCTGCCCAAACCCAAACAGACATCCTCAGTCAGCACAGAGAAGCAGTGCACCTGTGGGAGCCCTCGGAGACTGTGAGACACTGTTTACACTGCTCCGGGGCTGAGTCACACACACACACACACACACACACACACACACACAGGCACGCACACGCACACACACACACAACAACACACATACACAGTGTTTTCACCTGCAGAGAAAGTGCAGAGTAAACACTGGTTGCAAACGCTGGAGGCTAAACTGATACTGACTGGGAGAATCAGATAACCTTATGTAGTCCATTTGCTGCTTTATCATGCCAAAGTTAGAGATTTTATATTTGCTTCTTTATTATGCTAAGGTTGGAGATTTTATACATAATTCTGGTATCTTTGTCAAGCTAAAGTAATAGATTTTATACTTAATTCTTTAACAAACTAGAGTGGGAGATTTTATACATAATTGTTGTTTCATTATTATTCTGAAGTTGGAGATTTTATATCTAGTTCTTGCTTCTTTTTTTATTTTTTAAGACAATAAAACAGACAGGTATACATTAACACAAAACAAAACAAAAACGATGTCTAAATAAAAACATACATTCACTCAAAACACCAAAGTACAATCCCAAACTGAATGCTAAATGCTAAAGTTGGGGATTATAGACATGCTTCTTTATTATGCTAAAGCTAGAGATTTTATTTTGTTTTAGTATAGATTTATCGTTTTGGTGTGTGCTCCTCATTACTGTTCTGTAACTGCTGATGCAACACTGAAATTTCCCCACTGTAATCGATTGACTATTTGTACTCATGTATCCACAAAAACAGATATCTACCAATTAGACAAGACAGGCCAATGTATAGATGTACAACTCAGGCTAATGCAATGGAAACAAGTGCTGAGCAAAAGTGACAAAATCCTCATAAAGTCAACGTTTATGGGAGTTTTGGTTTTGGTTTTTACTGG